CAGTTTTACCACTAAAGCACTCAGAGACACAAACGATGATAATCTGACAGATGAAACTATCGCTGTGAGAGGCGAACGCTGTCAGCACTCCAGCCCCAGCTGCAGGGGTGTGGATGCTGAACGCAGCCCTGAGCGTTGGCTGAGCAGACAGCTTTCTGACCTCTGGACTCTCCAGAAGCTTCGCAGAGGAACCGTCGACCGCTCTCTGCAGGTGCAAAGTGCTTCAGAGGTTCTGGAGACCGAAGCGTGCAGGAAACACCTCAGGGGCTGAAACAGGACCAGGATGTCTGCAGGAGGGGAAGCAGCTGATGTGGTGTACTGCCTGGCCCAGGAGCAGGACTTCCAGCAGGTCCCAACATTTTTCCATTAATAGTCACATGACTCTCTAAAGATCACAGGTCAGAGTGCGAGATGTGAACTCAGGCTGAATGCACAGGCTGAAGCCACTGATAGGACGACTGACCGCGGCTGCTCGAGCGGTTCTCTTCGCCTTTATGGCGTTTGCTCCATAAAACATATGAGGTGAAGGAGTGCACACCGCTGCAGCACGCCGCTGAACAGCTTTAAAAAACTTTGAACATCACATAATTTACTGCTGTGACTAACTAAAAAAACCTCATGGCCTCATTTCCTGTTTGCTTCGGCGCTTTGTCATTTCTCACAGGGACAAAGGACACACATGAATTGCAGGAGTCACAAGTTAGAATCGATACCTGAAGAAAATCTGAGCAGTCAAATAAAATCACAGTGATAAACTCTGAGCACCTCAGACAGACGACGCGTTCAGAGCTGATTTAAAGGTCTAAAGGGGTCTCCGTGGGGACAGACAGAGGCGTGGACCCTTTAGTTTCAGGCGAGGGAGGTTGCTGGGAGCAGCGACGACCTCTGACCTGTGGTTAACCTGGGAGATGTCGTGGAGGTGATTGATGGAAGGCTTTAACAGCCAAACTTAAAATCAGTGCTGAGCGTCACGGACCCGTGTGTCGTCGTTTGCTCTGCGCCAATTAGAAGTTGTCTGTATTCTGACGTCTGTTTGAGGCGGAGTCAGGAACGCCCAGGTGTCCTCAGAGCGTCGTTCCTAACAGAGCCCGTGTTGTCCCGCAGGTCCTGAACATCTGCACGCCTGATGACTACAACGGGCTCGATTACATGGCCGCCTTCTTTCACCGCTGGCTGCAGGAGCCTGGACGCGTCGTCTTCATCGCCCGGATCGACGGCAGAGTGGTGAGGCGTGAAGGCGAGCCCTGAGGAAGCAGACCGCAGTTTTCATTTCACGGCTCTGTTTTTCTACACTGAGCTGCATTCTCCATCTCCCTGCAGGTGGCGCTGGAGTCTGCGCTCCTGGTGGATGGCGGTCAGACGGCAGTACTTCAGGGGCGCAGGGTGGTGTCCGATCTGAGGGGCAGCGGCATCGCCAGCGCCCTCCAGACGCATGTGACCAACTACGTCCGCCGCTACTACCCAGAAATCTCTGCTGTGAGGCTGAGCCGAGGAGACAATCCTTCAGTGAAGACGCTCGCCAAGTACAGGCTCATCGCAAAGGAGGTGTGTCACAGTCCACCGGTTTGTGATTGTGACCAAAGTTGGTGATAATTCTTCATCACAGCGACGTCGCGCAGCTGTTTGCAGAAGCTGATGCGTCTGTTCGAGCGGCGCCGTTCCCTTTATTCTGACCGTGCTGTGCAGAAATGCCGCGTCCTCCTGAAGCACGTAGACTTTCAGTTCATGAACGTCGTGGTTGAGAAGTAAAGCTAATGTGTCGATATTCATAGGAAATGAATCAAAGGGTTTTTAAAAATAAATAACGACTTGAATTAATTTATAATTACTCTCCTGTTAGGACTGCAGGACCGGCACAGTGTCATCACACTGACGTTTGGTCAGAGATCACCGCTGGCTTCTAGTTATTGCAAGGTGGCCTTTGTTGTCGTGGTTACCGTGATGCTGCAGACACATCCTAAGACTGAGCGTGCTCTGAGCACTTACAGTTGAAGAGTCCGCCTGGTTTTTCAGCCTGGACTGTAAACGATCCCTCCGTGTCCACTGAATGGAAACTACAGATGTGCGGTTCTTAGTTTGGCCTCAGACTCGTGACGGGGGTGAAGAGCACACATGCCACGTGATTGGATGATGGACTGGATCACAGCATGAATAGTCCGGTTGCATGTTGTGACCAAGCCTGAACTTGGACTTGTTTCCCGAGCGACTGCGATGAGTCGAACCAGAACAGGTAAGTAAACCACAGACTCACCCCGTCCTCTCTGTCGCCCCCTGCAGGCCATCTTGTCTTTGTGCTGTGAGGCGGTCAACCTGGGCTCCTTCATCACTGAGCTTCGATCCAAACATCCGCTCCACGCCGACTCCTCCTGTGGTCCGGTCACGCTGAGCTGGCGGCAGGCTGAGACGCTGGTCCTGTCCGACCACGTGGTTTCCAACCTGCTGCCCGGCAAAACCATCATCAACGACTGGGAGCCCTTGAAGCCGGTGGAGGCCAACCTAGAGGTGCTGCAGCGCAGAGGCCTAACGTGGATCGTAGACCGTGAGTTCGAGCCCGCTGCCCTCAGTCTGGGCACGCCACCGTATGCCGTACCCTACCGCCACAATGCCATGCGCCTCAACATCAACATCTTTGGCCGCAGTCTGACATCGGTGTGCGCCGTGTTTCTGGCACAACTGGAAGCTTTCCTGCCGAGTCTTAAAGGTTACCTGGTCTGCCACACCTACGTGGATCCTGGGCTGTGGGCGGGCTTACGTCAGTTCTGTCAGAACGATGCAAACGTGTCATTTTTTAAGGACTACTGGGAGGAAGTCATACTGGAGACAGACCTCTGACTGGCCTCGGCGTGACAGCTTGAATGCTGGCGGATATTTTGACCTCTGCCAGGATTCTTTCAAACACTTCCAAACCTTTTGTCCTGGATTCCCAGGATCCCGTGAGGTTCCACATGTAGGTTTAATTAAATGTTATAAGTTTGTTTAGAAGCACTAGTGTGAGTTTTAACAATTCAATAGGAAATCATCATCGTCACTCAGAGGTAACCGCTAGCAGCTGAGAGAACCTCGGTTCTAGGTCAGCTGCTAGAGGTTGTTGTGGAGTTTCAGCATGTTTCAGATATTTTCCATTCTTCCAAACGTTCATAAGTCACGTGTGACAATCGGGAAGGTTTCTCTGTTCTTGGAGGATTGAATTGGCTTTGTGAGGACTGTCTTCATCCTTGAACGGTTAACAGCGGTGCCTCAAATGGCTCCTCGCACTGACGCGTACCTACGAGAAGAGTTTTCTCTGCTAAACAAAGCTTCGTGTTTAAATCTAAGACACCGTCTGACGGACATAAAGTGATTTTTACTGTCTGCGTGTGACAGACGCAGCAGTGTTGACAGGCTTGTCTTTGTGTGGAAGATAAGGTTTGTTTATGATCTCATGTGATGCACCTTTACCTGACACACACCTTTATGTTCACCTGCTGACCCACGCATGAATCGTTCTTAAAATTCTGACTGTCGATATGTAATCACCAGGTTGTTGCTGCTTGAATATAAATAAAATCAGATATTTGAATCTTGATCTGGCTCTGTGGTCTTTCTGAGTGCCTCGCCCTGTAAATCCACCGAATCAGGCGGGAAACCCATCAGCTGACCTCGCCTCTGGGGGCAAAGGTCAGTTTCTGGAATCGTCCGAGTGAAGTGAGAAGATATTTCTGTTTCTGTCCTCCAGCCACTTTTTACACATGCACACTTTACAAGGTGAACTAAAAGCTAAATGTTTGTCGATTGAGTCTCGATGTTCCTGCAGGGAGCCAAAGACGGCTCGGACTGGACGGAAACGACAAACCTTCAGATTCCCAGAATCACACTGTTCTTTCCCACATTATAAAAACCTTTCAGACGCTGTGTTGGATTTCTACAGCGTTATCGGAGAGCTTTAAAGGTGGTGAACTTTGAGTGTGGGCTTCTTTGTGCTTCTTGGATTGTGGTGTGTGTTTTTGTGTTTCCCTGGTGTCCACTGTGGAGTTTACTCGGTGTTGTGAAGGTTCCTGTTTGGGTTCTGACCGAGTAGAAAAGTCCAGAAAAGCATCATGTTGTAATCAGCCACACCTGCCACTCATTAGAGATCACAGAGGAGTCGCCCCCTGATGGACAGAAGAGGCAATGCAGGTTTAAGGAGCTCTGTCCATCTTTGTTTACAGTCTGTGGTTTAGTACTTTGGCTATTTCGTGTGTTTCAGTCTCTTTCTGTGTTTCTGCATCTAAATGAAGTTGATAGTTGGACGTCTGGATTTTTTCATAGTATCTGTCTATCCTTGTGTATAATTTAATTTTTTCACTGTGATTGGTCCTAAATTTGAGGTCATCTGCTTTGTTTTTTATGGTTTTTCATGTAAATGAAGTAGATTTTTAGTCATTTTGAAGTTTTGTGGTGTGGTTTCTGGTATCTGTGTCTCAGTAATGATTTTGGATCATGAGGCGTTGCTTCCAAAGGCCAGGACGACTTTTGTTTGTGCTTACTGTGACCTTTGAGCCCGAAGTTTTCACAGCTGCTCTAACCACAAACAGCTTAACAGACGTTTTACTGCTGCCAGAGTGCTGACTGCAGCATTGTGTGATTTATGTACCAGTGAAGCTTCCACAGTGTCACGCACACAGTCACTAACAGGCAGTGGCGTTTGACCTCTGACCTCCTGTGATTAATGAGTGATGGAAAGTGACACTAACATGGACTCTTGGGATTCCTGTTAAGCTACAAAGTCAGCAGCTGGAAGGATCCGCCTCCCGCTCCAGCTGAGTGAAGTCAGAAAACGACAGGGGAATTCGGCCTTCAAAATAAAAGCCTCACGTTTAGTTTTTGAGAAAAGAATCAGTAAATGCCTTTGTGTAGGCTGAGAATTAAAAATAAAGATGAACATGAGCTTCTGACAGTTTTCACTGCAGCAAAATAAAAACACAGCAACTTTTTTTAAACAACAATTTATTAATTGAATAAATTAAAGCGCATCAGGAAAATAAAGCTGAAGACGAACGTTCACTTCAGAGGAGAGGCAGGCTCTGCTCCCCCACCAATCAGCAGTCAAACGTTTGGATCAATAGGATCAGGTGTGACAGAGCACCTGTGCTGCGAACCCACGCACAGATCCATAAATATTACAGATCAATGATTAAAAACGTAAGACGTGGCTCGTAAAAGGCTGAGATGAACTCAATTACCCTTTTCTGATTGACTTACCTGATTGACTGTTATTGATGACTGATCATCGAGGGTAAACATGAAGAAAATCTGTGACTTTTCAACATAAATGAAAACTTTAGCGTTATGACGTCACATACATGAGGGACAGGAAGCGTTTGATGGTCCGGGGTCTCCTCCTGCTGGACCCAGGACCGAACCGGAAACCAAACACTGACGGGCTTTTATTTTGTAAAGAGGAAATGCGGTGTTTTATTGCGGAGCGCTTCACAGCAGCTCCCTCACGAGGCGGGATCAGCTGGTGGGAACTGAGTCACCACTTCCCGGAGAGCAGCACCGAGAGAAGCTCACGCCGCCGATCAGCTCTGATACCGAGAGCTTCACCTGAGCGCGAGCCCGCGGCTGAACAGGTAAGGGTGTTTGGACACCTGAGCGGAGTCTGTGCGCGGGACCGTGATCTGCTCCGGAGTAAAAATATTCCGTTACCTCGGGATCATCAGCGGGAAACACACGATGGTTACCACGGTTACGCCTCCATGACTCACAGACTGCGCGTGCGCACTAACTAAAACCCCTTTAACGTCTGATTAGTTGCGCGAGGAAGAGTCGGTGCACATCTTTATGACGTAGCAGATGTTACAGCTGTGGTAAATCTGCGCAGCTGCTTAATGTTCGGTTATTCGACTCACCAGCAGTCGGATACAAACTGATCTGACCTCTGACCCCGTGCCTCAGCCTGTAAACATGTTTGTTTCTGCCTGACTCGCTGCTGCCCCTGCGGCACAGCAGAGGAACTGCAGGGGGACCGCCCACTCCGATTTCAGACACGTCCTGAAATAACGTGGAAATCCCCCCCAATCAGATCAGACCCGCCCCTCCGTCTGAGCCACTCACACCTGCTTTCAGTTAATCCGCCTTCTTCACCGCACTTCCTGTCAGCGCGCCGCTGCCTCTGTTTGCTGCTCTTATCGATTCCTGGGGTCACATGACTCATGGCGCTCTGCACATCACAAACATCTCTGTTTGCTGCATGAGCTAAACATCACACAGGAAGTTCATCACCCCGCCTATGCCCTAGCCCACAGGAGGGCGGCGAAACTGTGACCTCACCGAGCGACCTGCAGGCGAGGGTTAAACTAGTGATGGGCAGATGAAGCTTCATGAAGCACTGAAGCTTTTCATCCAATTGGTTCACCCCAACGCGAAGCTTCTTGAAGCTTCATTTGCTCTAGCAGGACACCTACTGGACGTAAAAATAATAGCTGGCATGAATTTGAAGAGTGTGGCATTTTGCACACAGCCTGTAAATGTCAACAACAAAAGGAGTGTGTAAAACATGTATATTGTAGTGATGGCAGTATACTGTGTATATTTATGCTGGCAGAATGTAAAGACAATAAAACAAAGCACAAATATAAATATCACACACGTCACTTATAACAGTTGTATAATATTGTTATATCATTTAGTAACATTACTGCATCCTATATTATCATTGCATTTGATGGCTCACCTGGTCTTGCTCCACAATCGGTGTTCCTCTTATTCTCATGCAAAGCTCTGTAGTGCCTAAGCATGGATGAGGTGTTGTTGTTATATCCCAGCTCCCTGGCACATAGCAAACACTTCACCTTGTACAAAAGTAACGACAGCTTAACATAAGTTTTATTGCACCATCAGTATTATGAAAATACATCTTCTGTGGAAATTTACATACCTTGTTGGGAGGAATAAGATCAAAATGTTCCCACACAGGGGAGGACATCCTCCTCTTCTTAGCTGGCTCCATTCTCTCCTGACTTTCTCTCCTCACTCTCATAAACCTCCAAACTGTCTCCAAACTCTCACTAACCGCAACTCTCCATCAAACACCCACATTTTTGAATGAAGTCTGAGGGTTTATATCTGTCATAGCTCGCGGCAAAGTTCGAACCGCTTCCTGAACCAGTCACGTGGTACAGCCGGGCAGCGAGGCTGCGGACGTCATCATTTTCAGCTCCTCCCATAAATGAAGCAAGCCTCGATACGCGCTTCGCGGAAACGCCCCCTCCATTACTCGACACAAGCTTCGAAGCCTCGATACAGAACGTCACATCACTAGGTTAAACTTTAAGAGCACCGTCCTCATGCTGACTGATTGTGTGTGTGTGTCTGGCTCAGAGCAGCCTGTGAACATCGCATACGTCAGGTTTCATCGTCAGCTGCTAGGAGTACGTAATGCGTTAGTCTTTGCAGACTCACAGGTGTGATCCAGGCGCAGCGCCGCAGTTCGCCCGTACCTGCAGGAAACCATCATTCAAATGAAACATGTGTCTCACTGTGTTGTTCTTCCTCTGTCTGACAGACTCTCGTCCTCAGAGCGAGTCCACGGTTGCGGTCCGGTCCAGAGAGCTGACATGGCTGTCGCAGGCGGAGCATCCTCCTCTGTCCTCGTGTCTTCAGCAAAGGAAACGGCGGCGCTGAAGGTGAACCCGGCTGACGTCCCTGCCCTGGAGATCAAACTAGGAGCGCTGGCGGTCCTGCTGTCAGTCACGCTGCTGTTCGGATTTGCCCCGCTCTGCATCGTCCGAGGGGCGGGGCGCTTCAGCGTGCAGCCAGGTAAACTGAGCAGATAAACGTTTCCAACATCGGTTTCTGTGTGAGGAGGTCAGAACGTCAGAAAGAAAATATTTGGACTGGGTGGCTGAAATCACCCGTGCTCATGCTGGCTTTGCATGGACAATTCTTCTTTTGAGCATGGTGTTCTGCAGGTCAGAAACACGCTCCTCCCACTTTCAGCCAACGGTTTTCCAATTGGCCATGCCTCCTAAAGGCAGGTGGGTGGGGCTTCACATGCTCTGGTAGTAAAATACATGAGAGGAAGTGGGGAGACGCAGGATAACGGGTTTAGGTTTAGATCCCGCTGAGCCCGAAGCCACGCTCGGAGCTCCAGGATTAGTCTGCAGTGTTTTCATCTCACAGCTCGACTTCCTGTTTTCTCCTAACCAGCTGATTAGATGTGACGTCGTGTGATCTCTGTGCAGTCACTCGATCAGCTGCAGCAGGAGAACATGAATCCATGAGCGCTGCTCTGCAGGGCTGTTACACGACGCCTTTCATGACTCTGACTTTCTGTTTGCTTTCAGTTTCAACCTCTGGCTCTGCAGCAGTGTGATTGATCCGTGCGATTGACCTGTGTGATTGATCCGTGTTATTGATCCGTGCGATTGACCTGTGTGATTGATCCGTGTTATTGATCCGTGTGATTGACCTGTGTGATTGATCCGTGTGATTGATCCGTGTGATTGACCTGTGTGATTGACCCGTGCGATTGATCCGTGCGATTGACCTGTGTGATTGATCCGTGTGATTGACCTGTGTGATTGACCCATGCGATTGATCCGTGCGATTGACCCGTGCGATTGACCTGTGTGATTGATCCGTGTTATTGATCCGTGTGATTGACCTGTGTGATTGATCCGTGCGATTGACCTGTGTGATTGATCCGTGTGATTGACCTGTGTGATTGATCCGTGCGATTGATCCGTGTGATTGACCCGTGCGATCGATCCGTGCGATTGACCTGTGTGATTGATCCGTGTTATTGATCCGTGCGATTGACCTGTGTGATTGATCCGTGTTATTGATCCGTGTGATTGACCTGTGTGATTGATCCGTGCGATTGATCCGTGTTATTGATCCGTGTGATTGACCTGTGTGATTGATCCGTGCGATTGACCCGTGCGATTGATCCGTGCGATTGACCTGTGTGATTGATCCGTGTGATTGACCTGTGTGATTGATCCGTGCGATTGACCTGTGTGATTGATCCGTGTTATTGATCCGTGCGATTGATCCGTGTGATTGACCTGTGTGATTGATCCGTGCGATTGACCTGTGCGATTGATCCGTGTTATTGATCCGTGTGATTGATCCGTGTGATTGACCTGTGCGATTGACCCGTGCGATTGATCCGTGCGATTGACCTGTGTGATTGATCCGTGTGATTGACCTGTGTGATTGATCCGTGCGATTGACCTGTGTGATTGATCCGTGTTATTGATCCGTGCGATTGATCCGTGTGATTGACCTGTGCTGTCCGTGTTGCAGATTTAAGGCGCCTGCTGCTGAGCTTGATCAGCTGTTTTGCTGGAGGCGTGTTCTTCGCCACCTGCCTGCTGGACCTGCTGCCCGACTACCTGCAGAGCATCAACGAGGCCTTCAGCAGCGCCGGGATTAAGGTAGGAGAGCGCACACGCTCACCTGAGCACACGTTAAAGAGGCCTGAAGAGAAACCGCAGGTAAAGCCTCACCGTCACGCTCAGAGATGCTTTAACGTCTGAGCTGGCTGAGCCCACCGATCCTGCTCTCAGACAGTGATGTAACTCTGGATTTAATAAAAAACAGCTTAAAGTCAAAGTTTCAAAATCCTGTTTAGCGCCATCTTATGTCCGCACGACTGTGACGTCATGTGGTTGGTTGTTAGCTAACTCGTGACAGGATCGATAACTCTGAGTAAAAGCTTCAATGCTGCAACAATGAGCTGATGTTAGAGCGAGGCCTGTCTGTGGCAGGAAGTGACTGTTTGACTCGCTGCACTCGAACAGACAATGTTGGTGTTTGTAAAGCACAACCTCCGACACTCCAGCTGTTCAGGCCGGCTGCACCGAGCCTGCAGTCAGCGGCCACGCAGATGTTGGCGAGTGTTTTTGTTTCCCCACCACAAACAGTTTACTGCACGCGTGTCGCACCACAAACATCCATTAGCACGTCTGCAGGAAAACCCTCTGGGGAAAAAAAGGAAATCTGCAATAAGCACAAAAATAAGTACTTTTAAATAAATAATAAATATTTAATATTATTTCTCACAATTGTTGAATGAAGTTTATTTATAGATTTGGTCATGTCGGGCCTCCGTAGAGCTCGTTGCTGGAAATTCAGTTTGTCAGCGTTGAAATGCTTTTATTTTGAAGCAGCAGCTGGTTTATTTCCTGTCCTCAGAGTTCGCCACAGCGCTCACAGGAAACTGAGCGAGAGGGAAGTGAAAACGTTCAAACTCAGAGAGGAAGAGACACAGACGCTGAGCCGTCCGTCACTCCTCTGCTGTCTTAATTATTCAACATTAACATTTGTTTTCTGAATGTTTGGAGCTAATAAAGTCCGACAGATGCTTTTAATTTTGAGGACAAACGTAACAAATTTGAGTTTTTTTGACATTTTATTGACGATGTTGGTTTTTTGTTTTTAGAATATTCACATTTTTGGGACATATTTGTAGTTTTATTTTTATGTATTTATTTAAACTTGGAGGATTTAAAAAAACCTCTACAAATTTGGACATTTTAATGAATTCTTATGGTTTAATGTCATAAATAAATCTGGCATATAAAAATCATATTTGGAGATTTAAATGTAATCCGGTTGAAGCTGCATCTCTGATCATGTATGTCATGTGTTATTGATCGTGTCCATGGCGATGAGAACGTTCTGGAGTTTCTACTCTTAACGTTTTATTAAATATTGACGTTTTTTCGATGATTTATTCGGACATTCAGATCTGTGAACATTTAGGTCTTAGTTTTGGACCCTGGAGATAAATCCAGATGTAGGTATCTCAAGCTGACTCTTCTTCTCCTCCTCCTCTTCCTCCCTCAGCTGCAGTTCCCCCTGCCCGAGTTCATCGTGGCTATGGGCTTCTTCCTGGTCCTGGTCCTGGAGCAAATCATCCTGGCCTTCAAGGACCAGACGTCGCCGTCCCCGGAGGAACGGCGCTCTCTGCTGGTGGACTCCAGCATTCAATCCAACGATCACCGCCGCCGGGGCTCAGCGGACTCGGACGGTCACTTCCACGTGGACTTTGGTTCTCAGTCCGCCCTGCGCGCCTTCATCCTGGTCTTCTCGCTGTCGCTGCACTCGGTGTTCGAGGGGCTGGCGGTGGGGCTGCTGGAGGAGGGGCAGGAGGTGCTGGAGATCTGCCTCGCCCTGATGATCCACAAGAGCATCATCTCCTTCAGCCTAACCGTGAAGCTGTGTCAGGCCCGGCTGCGTCGCTCCGTGGTGGTCGGCTGCCTGCTGCTGTTCGCCGTCATGTCGCCGCTGGGCGTCGGCCTGGGCGTCGGCCTCACCGAGACCAAGACATCGCCGGGGCACCAGCTGGCCCGCTGCACGCTGGAGGGGCTGGCGGCGGGAACCTTCATCTACATCACCTTCATGGAGATCCTACCGCACGAGCTCGCCGCCGGCAGGAACCGCATCACCAAGGTGGCCATGCTGCTGGTGGGCTTTGCCATGGTGACCGCCGTGCTGTTCATCAAACTGTAGAGGCAGACGGCGAGAGGGCGAGCTCCGTGTGCGACTTCAGAGACGTCGCATGGTTCAGAGCTTCATTAGGAACACGTGTTTAATTTTTGTGACGTTAACGAGAGACGAAGACTTAAGCCAAAGAGAGACGGCGCGAGAGCGCCAGGGGGAGGAGCAGAACAACCCCGCAAACCTGATCCGTTAAAGTTTCGTGCCCTCCTTCGAGGTCTCCTCTGACCGCCTGCAGGGTTTGACAGAAACCCACCAATCAAACCCCCTCATGAGCCGCACCTGGTGACAGCGGGGAGCGAAAACTCCCTTTTAACAGGAGGAAACCTCTGGCAGGCTCAGGGAGGCGGGATGAAGCTAAGGAGCCGCAGCAGGCGATCGAACACCCAGGGAGGGAAGAAGTGCATCATGGGAAGCAGGCTGGCCTGCTGCAGCGCTATCTCAGAGTTCAGGGTGCAGCGGGAGAGCAGCCATATTTGATGGCTAATAGAGGCGTAACGGCAGGTCGTCGAGCTGTTCGAACTTCCTGTTTGGCAGCTTTTATTGGAGGTTCCAGGTGGAGACGCTTTGGCTGTTTAGTTACATCGAAGAAACGACCGACGGAGCAAAGACCCTGATCACATGACCGATACTCCGACCTCCTCGTGAACAAAGTCCCAAGGAAGGCCTGAAGTGATCGACCAACCACAAACCTCCAATGTGCTCGCCTCAGAGGAGCGTCCCAGAGGAGCGTCCCAGAGCTGCGCCCCAGAGCTGCGCCCCAGAGGAGCGTCCCAGAGCTGCGCCCCAGAGGAGCGTCCCAGAGCTGCGCCCCAGAGGAGCGTCCCAGAGCTGCGCCCCAGAGCTGCGCGAGATTTCAGCTTTTAGAACGAACGCGTTGCTAAACAAGGAAAACCTTCAGAAATCTGACTGGAATGTTTGGAGGCGTCGGAGCTGGAGGAGAGCATGTTTTCGTGGAGAGCTCTATTTTAACTGACAGCAGGATTCAAACACTTGTTTTTTGTAATAAAAGTATTTTTAAACATGTAAATTTACTGTAATCAAGTTTGTATAAAATCATGCAGAAAATAAACACGCGTGTTTGAATGTTTATTTCATGAGACGGCGTCCTGCAGCCGCACAGCCACGGGTCAGACGGACGCAGCACTGAGCCGAAACGACAGGAAGCAGAAACGCAGAAACATAAAGCGCATCTGTACTGAAGTAAAAGTACTCGATTACATTAAGACTCAAGTATTTTCAGAGACGTGAGGTCAAATCTCTGCTGCGTGACGCTTTCTCAGCTCCTGTAATCTGATTACTCGGCAAAGATAAACTGATTACTGATCTGTGGATCGGCAGCACTGATCCAGGACGAAGTCTGACAGCTCGACAGTCACATGACCGCCTCGGTACGCGTGACAACAGTCTGAGCAGCGATGACGCGTCGTGACGGATTTTTGTCCTCAGCTTTAGCCGCCGACCGTCCATCGTATCCAAACACGTCGGGCGCTCGAGCCGACGGAAAACTGTTTTATTCTCATTTTATCTGAGAAACAAAAAAGTGTTTTTATGCAAACTGCAGGCGGAAAACCAACATGGCGCCAGTGACTGTGCTAGTCCATCTTTTACATACAGTCTGTGTTCCCGTGGAACAGGAAACAAGCGTTTTCTGTTTGTAAAGCTAAATCAGAGCTGCCCTGTAAACAAGTTTGTACCATGTGGCCTCGGATCGCGGCGAAAAATAAATCACCATGACGACGACCACGTGGCACGGGCCTGCAGACTGAACGGTGACGCCTGGGGGAAATGTCAACTGCTGTCGCTGCAGGTTTCTGGGTCGCTGACAGACGCCCCATTTTTCCCTAGTAACCTGTGGTTGCCATGGTTACAGGCCATTTCCTTGGCAGCTGCTCTTCAGCGATGACCTCGCTGATGTCAGGATGTGAGGCGTGTCCTTGTTCAGGTGAAGAAGCAGTCGGAGCGCCGCTGAGCGTTCCTCTTTCACTTCAGTCCGAGCCGCCTGCGGTCGGTCTGCAAGCAGCTTTCAGCTCTCCCACCGCAGCCCCGACACGGTGTGTGTGTGTGTGAGAGATCACCTCGTTCATGTCAAAGTTTCACTGATGAGCCACAACAGTTCAGCAACACAGCGACACCTGTGTGACCTCATCAGTGCACCTGAGAGGACAGCAGCAGAGCGATCGCAGCTGAACAATCACCGCAAACGTGACAGGAGCTGAATTTCAGGGCTGTGTCCCAGTTCAGGGTCTGCAGCCTCAACGGTCCTCAAGGGCCGCGTACTCAAAGACCGCTGAGGCCGGAAGTGCGAGGCTTGTGAAATGGGTGGTCTAGCCTCCGTCGCGCTGCCCGGGTTGCCTAGCAAATCAAATCAAATCAGATCACTTTTATTGTCACATCACATGTGCAGGTACATTGGTACAGCACATGTGAGTGAAATTCTTGTGTGCGAGCCTCACAAGCAACAGAGTTGTGCAAAATACAATAATGTAAACAAGCAAAATACAAGAATGGCTACATCTGAAACTAATAAATATATGTACAATATATAATAGTATATGCATTTCTGGATGTGTATACTAAATATTTTTCTACGTGTGTGTGTGTGTGTGTGTGTGTGTGTGTGTGTGTGTATAGATATTTTACAAATTAAATAGAGTAAACAATAAATAAAATATATAAAAATATACAGAGTTGAATATGTGCAAAACAGTGGCATTACTGTACAGTATGGAGTGCATAATGTTAAAGTTCCAGTAGTGAAGCTGAGGTGTCTATGACGTGTTCAGCAGTCTGATGGCCTGGTGGAAGAAGCTGTCTCTCAGTCTGCTGGTACGGGACCGGATGCTGCAGAACCTCCTTCCTGATGGAAGCAGTCTGAACAGTTTATGGCTGGGGTGACTGGAGTCCTTGATGATCCTCCCCGCTTTCCTCAGGCAGCGCTTCCTGTAGATGTCTTGGAGGGAGGGAAGCTCACCTCCAATTAACCATAATAGCTGGAAACGCGTGTTTGGCAGAAATGAAGGAACATGCTTTGTTCGTTTGTTTGTTTCTACACGAGCTTTGTGTGATTTAAGTATCTGAGGCTGAGACCACAGGACTGTAAACATGATTGTTGGGCTTCATTTCTGTGCTAAACAGTCATTTTAAGATTAGCTAGTAAATAACAATTAGCTGATGTTGTTCATGAGACTAAAGTCAGTGTAAATATGAGATGGCCAATATTATAGTTATTATACTAATCATTATTAGTTATTACAGCAGTGAGTTTGAACTCTCAAATCAAATCACTTCTATTGTCACATCACATGTGCAGGTACACTGGTGCAGCACATGTGAGTGAACTCTGTCAAACACTGAGCTTCAGTAAAGATTCAAGTTGCAGCTATTTATATGTCCTATCACCTTAAATCTTCACTCAAAGACACCCCAGTACCTTTGACAGTGTGTATACAGATGTATTACATATAAGAGACAAATATTGTTCCTTCAGTATGTTGGCATTATTACATTTGTCTCAATGCTTACATATATGTGTAAAAAGCAAATGTACGAGCTGTGATAACCGTGTCTGATAGAATGAAGAGTAGACTGATATATGAAATATTCCTTTAATGGGTGAGAAAATGTCCAAATGTCTTCAAAATGAAGGACGCATTTGAGGGCTGCATTTGGATCAGCCTTTGAATTGGGACAGCCTTCGTCGCGCCGCTGTGACGTAATCGGCCTTAAAATGCGGCCTTTAAGGCTGTAGACCCTGACTCGGGATACAGCTCAGGACGCGCCTGAAGGTGCTGGACGAGCACAGGTGAGAGCAGCAATCACAGAGCGTGTTTACAACAAAACTTTATTGGCAAACAATGAAAAGGCCAAAGTGATCGGCTGACCTCATCGTTACATCAGAAATAAAACAAGAAACCCGCTGCTGACGATAAAAAGAAAATAAAAGTAATGGACCAAATGAAGAGATGTCAGGGTCAAGAACTTTGACCCTAAATCACAGTGAAGACTCAAAAACGAGGAGACGCGACTGAACTACAGGTGGTCTGAAGGTTTCTTCTTCTGCACTCTGTCTTCCACAGACTCGGATTAACTTTATACTCACACAGTGAGGAAGAATAGGATCCCCACCTTGACCTTTGATCTCTAATCTCTGCAGCTGGAGGGAAATGGAGGAGCAGCCTGCAGCGGCTGAACTCTGCCGGCAGGGGGCGCCAACACACCTCAGCCGAGCCATCTTAGCTGGTCTGTGAGCCAGAGGTTACACTCCCCACGAAGAAACGCTGAACTCTGTCCACGTGACCTCCCCCCCCCACACACACACACACTTTTTTAATACAACTTTGAATTGTTTAAGTCGACAGAAATAGGTTCGATTATTTAAATCTAATACATTAATTTTGATTTTGTAAATATCTTTAATTCTTAGCAAGATGAACACAAAAAGACTGAACATGCTTTCTTGTTTGTTCAGGATTGAAAAAATAATTAAAAGAAAAACCAACAACAGAGCTGCTGCCTCGTCAGCTCCTGGCTGTGAACCCGGTCCCGGTCTTCCGGCGGCTGTGAACACGGTTCCCCGGCGGGGTGTTTTCGGCCGGGTTTCGGTTGGTCCCGCTGCGAGACTCGCTGCTGGTTTTGGTGCTCAGAAAAAGCGGGGGAGTGATTCCTCTTCACCCCGCCCCTCTCTGAAATCGTTCCACTACGTCAGCTCGTCCCGTCCGCTCGGTGAAGATGTCTGCGACGGGCTCAGGCGGCTGTGGACCCGGGCCCGCCTCGGGCGCCGGCTCCGGGGCGTCCAACCCGCGAAAGTTCAGCGAGAAGATAGCACTGCACACCCAGCGGCAGGCCGAGGAGACGGCCGCCTTCCAGGAGGTCATGATGGACATCACTTCGACCAGGGTGAGTGAGAGGCGGCGGCAGGAGGAGAGCTGCCGGAGGAAGCGAGGCCTTGTCCGGGCTCGTCGGGCTCCGGATAAGCGCTGTGCGGTGTCTCTGCGCGGCGCTTTGCTGAGATTTGGCGCTGTTTTAGCGGCAATCACCTCGTGGGGACGCAGTGTGTGGGTTTTGTTGGGTGTTTGTCTCTCCGGGACGCACTGCTCTTCATTTCCGATACATCGTTAGCGCTCGAAGCTAACGCGGCTAACTTGTCTTGTTTACTATGTTACGTGAACGTCGCTGTCAGCCTCGCAGTGCCCCGCAGAACTCCGGCCAAAAACCGGATATTTTAACGCGACGTCACCTCACGTCACACACACATATCCAACACCTTCGACTTAATTAATTCGGGGTGTTTATTTTGTCCCTTTGGCAACTTCGGCGTTAATGTCAGCCATTGACAGGCTTTGCTTTCATGTAGATGAAGCTCCCATTACTCGTGTTTTGTGCCTCCTAAGGAAAATAGTGTGATTTTATTTTTGATTTGTTTCTTTGACTTGTGGAACAAATATGTGCGTTTTACAGATCTGACGTGGTGATTTTATCTTTGTCCACCCTGCCCGGGAAAGATTACCTTAAATCGTGCATACTTTACACGGACTCTGGCCTGGCGGCGCCGTTTTAATGTCAGGGTGGGCGATTGGTTCGGATGTGTTAACGTCACCTTGTCATTGGTGATGTGTGGGTGTCACTGTGATCTGAAACACGCCCTCAGGTGTGAAGCAGGTGAGAGGGTCGGAGTGTGGAGGCAGGTGGTCTCTGCTGGTGTGTTTACTGTCGTGGGAAAATGTGGGAGTCTGGCTGTCAGTTTATTTTTGATGGTTTGAGGTCATTTCTGAAAATTTTTTACAAGTTTAAAGGTGTGTGTTTCTGAAGCTGGTGTTTTTGTTCTGTGAGTCCAGCCCGTGATGCTGCCGTGGGGTTTGGAGTTTTTAGGTGCGTTTGTGTAATTTTATTAGAACACACAGAAATGGTACTGAAATAATCACACAGTGGTAAAAGTTCATCCTTCAATACTTATTTTGGGTCAAAGTCAGCAAACCTTTATTTTGAAATAAATGCTTCAAAGTAAACCTTTATTCATTTTAGTTTCACATCAGATGTGACAGTGATTCTGCACATAGACCACAAAATTAAAGGTAGTTCAGGAGATGCCTGAAGGTGGCTGCTGAGTGGTGGGACTTGCGTATGGACCACGGTAGGCCACAGCTTCTCCCGGACTCAAACCAAAGAGCCGTGGGCCCGACGGCTGAACAGAAACACGAATGCTTCAGGCTGACATCCAGTCACGTCTTTCATAAACGTGTTTATTTCATACACGAGTGAATGAGAAAAGCTCACTGTTTATGAACGTGGTGGGCTGTGGAGGCATCTTTATACTCTTATTCTGAACGTTCAGCTGCTCTGTTCTTCCTGTCTGGAAGCTGTGAGTTGCTCTGGACGCTGCTGCAGGTCAGACAGTCTTCTTCCCCTCTCTGTTGAATTGCAGCTCCTGCTGATGGTCCTGGTTTGGTTCTGGAGGGTCACTCGGACCAGAACCTGCAGCAGATGCTGCACAGAGCAGGTCCAGGACCAGCAGCTGCAGCTTCTTATCATTATGAGGTGCTGTTTAGTTTCCTTGTGGGGTCGAGTTGGTCCTGAGAAAGGCCCTGGTTCTGTGCTGGTTCTGTGTAGCTCAGATGGATTTAGTCAGGCATGTGGATCCGGACTGATTGTTTAGGTCTTGTGTAAAGATTTTGTCCTCCAGGGTTTGTGAAAGCGTGATAAAACAGAAAATATCCTGAGGTTTGATGGTCTGACCCTCTGGTTTCATGATCCGCATCATTATTGGCTTGACCTCACTGACAGGTGACTGGTGTCAGAGCTGCTCAGTCACACGTCGGGTAGAAAGCTGCAGGTCTGTAGCAGATCCAGGAGTTTAACCCGAGGACATGATCGAGCTCTCTCTGAACTCATACAGTCATGTGAAGGAGGAGGATCTCACTGGACCCTCTGCAGTGTGAGACAAACGGAGTCCACCCCATGATTCAGCAGCTCGTTGATCCTCCCTCAGCAGTGACAGTTCCTGTGTGACTTTATCAGCCTGTCAGATCTCTGAGGAGGAGTTTGGCTCCACTCTTCTTCACAGCGTTGCTGAAGTTTGCTCCATTCGTTTATGCACAGCTCTCTGAGCTCTGCACTCTGGACCGCTGCAGCAGCTCCGTCTGCGCTCGCTTCAGCGTCCTGCCGATTGGTCCGAGCTTCAGCTGCGGGACACATGGCCTCACTCTGACTTTGGAATACTCTGATGTACGGGGAGTTCACGGTCCACTCGGATCGTCATCACTCCTGCACGGCGCTCACAGCGAGCCGTTTGCTGCTGTGCACTTTACTCTCGTCTGTTGCTGAAGTCTGCTGCGGCTTTACAAACCTCAGCTGGCTGTCGTGACCTTTAACCTTCTAAATGAGGCCTGTGGAGTCTGAGATCTGTGGGTTTTTCAGGATGAATGTGTTGGGATGTTCACTCCTGGGAAGATTGTGGCATCCTGTTAGCACACCTGAGTGCTGCAACACTTCTGCTTTTACACAGGTGCTCACACCTGCTGCTGAGTCAATCAGTGGGCAGCAGCTAGTTGCTCCTCTTGAGCTCCTCTGTAAGGATGGACGGGTTTCAGTGAGACTGGTGCTGTGAATCGTTTTTCTGCCTGTGACATGAATGAATGCAGAATAATCCAACCCTGAACATAGAGCTGGGCGATAGAACGATAACGATATGTATCGCGATATAACTTTTACTCGATAGAGAAATTAAGCTATCGCGATAGACCTCGCCGCTCTTGTCCTCTTTAACAAAAAAAAAAAAAAAAAAAAAAAAGGTCAGCCAATCCAAATTAAGCAGCGCAGAGCCGAACCAATCACGGCCGCAGCGTCACGTCGCGTGACTTGTTACGTGCAGCACAAGTGCCAAGCCGCACGTGTGTTTGTTTGGGAAGCAGCCAGCGGGTAATGGAGGAAATGAGTGTGCCGGCTAGAAAAATCAACCGAGCGTGACCGAAGAGAAAACAGATGATGGTTCCAACGCCGGAGAGATTGTCGAACGGAAGAGCCATAGAAGCTCTGTAGTGTGAAGGTATTTCTGCTATTTCAAGTCTGACAAAAAACAGAGTAGCGTGCACTGTAAATGTGCCGAAAGCAAGTCTGGAAATACAATAAACTGGTGCATGCACACTGTGCGCCACGTTATTGTTTCGGTGAAATGAATTTCTACAATACTGTTAATTCTACTCTCTGCAGTGTTTAAATGCTTACATATACACACAGTTACTGTCCGTCCACACATACGACTCGGTTCTGCTTCTATGCCCCAGCTTTGTTTACTTTTTCCCACCGAGGCTTCTAGACTTCTGATTGGCCAACATTTCTGCACGGTTAGGAATCTAGCGCCACCTGCTGCTTTGGCATGTTCATAGCAGCGTTTTCCTTCATTTCTGCCTTTATGTGTGGACGGGATTATTTTTTAAAACGAAAACGGAAAATCTCCGTTTTCAAAAATACCCGTGTACGTGTGGACGTAGCCTCAGTCTCTGACTGGAAGCGCTAATTCGTCATTCGGCTTTTGTCAGACTAAAGTAACTGTTAAAACTGTTTGAAAAGCTCAGCTATACAACAAGGAGAGATTGAGAATTTCCTTTTAGTTCTCAGTTTATTTGATATTGACAAAAGTTAGTCAGTTTTGTCTGTTTTTCTGTAAAACAAACTAAGATTTATTTTTAGAATTAATATTTTGTTTCTAAGTGGAATTGACAGTTTAGTCTGTTTCGTTTGTTCTATTTTGAAACTGAAACGCTTTAGCGGCTGCCTTTGTGTAGTTTGCAATATTTGCCTTTATTTATCTGAAAAAGTCTCGTGTTCCTTAAGTACATCTACCCTGTTGAACTTATTATGGGAAATAAATATTTAAAAACAAGCTGCTGATTATTTCACATTTTACTTGTGAGCAACGGCACATTTAAATCTTACAAATATAGTTATTTGGCTGATATCGTGATAGATATCGTTATCGCCTGAAATGAAAAAAACATATCGTGATATGAAAAAATCTCATATCGCCCAGCTCTACCTGAACATGAATAGTGTTTGGTGCTCGCTCTCTGCGGGTCAGCGGTGCTGGTGTTGGTTGTTTAGAGGTGGGTAAACCTGCCGTCTGACATGCTGTGCCTCCTGTTTCACTTCACTGCTTTTCTTTCTGAACGAGGCCAGGTAAGAACACCTTTCGTGCAGGGCCAATACCTTCCTGTGTCTGCAGGCCACAACACGTAGCGTGGTTTTTCTTCTTTAGATTGCAGCTCGTCGGCAGTTTGACGTTCTTGCGAGAGGAAACGAGGCTGAGCTTATCTGACCTGAGAGCAGGTGATGGACATTCAGGTTTCCCCCCTTAGACCTGAGTTTGTAGCTCTGAGCGTGTTTCAGGTGTTTAATGAACTGAAGCCACAGCACGGAGATGTTCCCGAAGACGTCTCCGGTTTGGCGAGTTCGCTGCTTTCAGGGCTTCAGAGGGCGACGCCTCCAAAGGACAGCAGGCTACATAGACGTTCCCAGCAGCCTCTGAAGAGGAACGGCCCCTCTGCTTTTTGATCGCCGTCCATATGACTCTGTTTCTGCAAAGTCTTCCATATCTGAAGTAGGAAAAATGGCCAAACTCAGGGCTTGTTGAAAATCAGCCATTTGAAGCTGTAACCAAACGACTCCCAAAGAATTCAGTGATGAGTCAGTTTGTAAGGAAACATGTACGGGTCACTGACTCAGGGCTGCGAGGAGGTGATCGCATGTCAGTAAATCACCGTCACGCTCTCACAGGAAGGATGTCGGCTTTCAAGCGTTAAAATTAGAGCAGGATGTACTCTTCAAATGAATGTAGATCTGTGGCAGTGCAGATGAAGAAGTAAGGATAAACCCCCCACCCCCACCCCCGTGGGTTTTTCAGATCATAAACCTTATCAGCAGTCTGAGTGGGACGTCCTCGCACTGCAGGTGGAGCGTCACGTGGACACAGGACGGCGTTGTCGGCATAGAGGAGGATTCTTACAAAATAAAACGGGTCCATGTTGGAGTTAGCTCAGGCGTCCACAAACACATGGATGGAATATTTCTGAGCTAACGGTTTGCTGTGATTACACTGCCTCATTAGCGACGGGGAGCCATCTTTAATTATAACATTAGCGGTTTTCCAAATTTTGGGTTCAGAATTACAGGAAATCGGCTTTAGTTCGTTAAAAAGTTGCATTTCTGAACATGAAACTCTCATCCTGTGACAGCATGACGAGAAAATAGTCGCACGAACAGGGGCTTTTGTTTGGGTGTTGCTAAAGGTCGTTTTTGTGGGCGTGGCCTCCTGACGTTTTGTCCTGACTGAGAGGCAGACAGACGAGCTCACGCTGGTCACGCCGTCTCTGCGCTGATGTATACCGCAGCGTGTACGGCGCCTGCAGCCTGAAGCGATGGACACGGGTTGTGATCCTCATCAGCCTCGGCAGAGACGACGTCTCGGGCAGCGAGGAGGTCCTTCACAGCCTGAGGAGACACTGTGGGTGGAGCTAGAGCTGGGCGATGTCTTTGTGAGGGAGGTCATCTCATTATGGAGGGAAAGCGTTTCAGTCCAGTTTGTGTTCTTCCAGCTGAGCTCTGTGCTCGGCACAGGAAGTCTGAGTTTATTTTCAGAGGCCTGCCCCTTCTCACGATGGAGATGATGGCAGCGGCGGGCAGAGTCCTAAGGCGGGAGCAGATGTGTGGTTCGTGGCTGATGTCTCTGAATTCCCCAAACTTCACGGACAAAAAAGGAAATTGTTTGTTGTGATGAGTAAGTTTAGAAGTGGGGAACAGATGACAGCCTCGTGGCGTCACAGCAGGCGCTGATGGCGCCGTGCGAGCGCTCCGAGCTGCTGGTGGTTTCTGTGCAGGTCTTTGGAATGACATCATCAGCTTCCTCTGCAGAGGCCTCCTCCTCCTCGACGTTGTGCCGCTCGCGGTCCTGGCTCTGGTCTGTGGGACCCTCCAGAGCCCAACCGCGACCCGCTACACTCAGCAGACAGGAAAGGGCCGGGCTAGAAACTTTCAAAATAAAACCTGAGGCCATCATATTAGGCATAAGCTTTTTAGCACAAGTTGGATCTTTCATGTGGATAATGGAGCGTTTGAGCCGCTGTTCTGACTTCATTTGACTTTACTGTGCAGAGCAGCTTATATACAGATGAGGTCGAATAAAAGGTGGCAGCAGTTATGTCTACAGATGTTTATATCGCTGTACAGATGTGTTGATCAGTACATCTGCACATTGTCCGTAGTATTCTGGGATGCAGACGCGTGTACCTGTTTCTTTGTTCTGACCCCCGTGTTGGCGAGCGTGACCATAAACTGCAGCCTGATGCGTGGATGTAATGGCCGCTCGTTTGCGCCGCTCGGCCTGAATTAAACGGCGTTTGTGGACGAAGTTGAGCGTGGTTATGTTACGTGTCATGGAGGAGGAGCTGATGTTAAAGAGGAGGAGGTGCTGTGTCTGGCTCCTCCTCCTCCTCACCGTTTCCAGGAACGCTTCAGGAATACGTGGACGTGACGTGAACCCGACACAACCTGAAACCGTCAGAGCAGAACTCTGCGCCGTCTCCTCACATCTTAAGCTGCTCTTCAGTTAAACTGGCGCCGTCACTTCACTTCAGATAAGGAAATACCTCGGTGTTCACATCAACGAGGACCTCACTTGGAGCACACATACGGAATTCCTTATTAGTAAAGGCAGACAGCGCCTCTATCACCTGAGGCGTCTAAAGAGGTTTAAGATCTCCAAGAATATACAGAGGAGATTCTACACTGGTGTCATTGAGAGCATTTTGTGCAACAACATCACGGTGTGGTACGGGAACTGCACAGTACAGCAACAGAAAGCCCTGCAGAGGGTTGTGCGCACAGCTGAACGCACTATGGGAACATCTCTACCAGCACTGCAGGACATCTACGCTGAAAGGTGCAGATCCCGGGCCATCAGGATCACTAGGGACTCCAGCCATCCCGCCCACAAACTGTTCAGGCTGCTGAGGTCAGGGAAACGCCTCTGTAGCCTGAAAACAAGAACAGAAAGGTTCAGGAGGAGTTTCTACCCACAAACAGTGAGACTCCTCAACCAAAAACGCAAACCGGATAATATGCTGGACAATCTCACACATAGTACATAATTCGCACTTTACTTTCTTCTTTCCTGAACCTTATCTTATCTTATCATATTATATACATTTGTACTTATGTAAATATGTATATTTTTATAGTTTTTCCTGTCTCTTAGTTTAGGTAAAAGCTTTTCTAGTATGTTTCTCACAGTCGGGGGGAGTATTTTTTAGCCAGGAAAAACATTTCACTGTATGTTGTACTAGCTATAACTACATGTGACAAATAAATAAATAAAGAAAGTAAAGAAGAAACGGCGTCTGCGCTCCGCTGCTTTAACCTGACGTCCAGCTTGGTCCCCGGTTCCTGGAGCCGGGGCGAACCTGAGAGCTCAGACGTTAACGCGGCGCGGCTTCGTCGTTGGTTTGATGCATTTGAGCCGCGCAGATGGCGAATGACTTAAATCTGTTCCTCTGACGGACAGATCCGTCCCTCGGGTTTGTTTAAAGCGAAGATTAAACAGGAAGTTGCCGCTGCGCTCCTCTTTGGTGATCATCCAATCAGAGCTGGACCTGGAGCCTGAAGGGGCGTGGTCAGAAGGTTGAACGAGTTCCGTATGGCAGAGGATTGAGCCTGAGCATGCTCTGGCTCCGCCCCCTTGCTTCTCATTTATGCACTGGTATTTGCAGGTCTACAAAGATTGTTCTCTTCATAATTCTGCTTCAGAGACTTGGGTGTAAGGTAACCACGGCGCCCTCAGTGGGGCCACCATCTTTGTATTTGGATGCTTTTATGACGTAAACAGTGATGTCATCAATAATCCCAAATCTGTGGCGGAGACCGGTGCGAGGAAGCGGCGTTTTTCTGTGCAGGCTGAGCGACTTGTGCGGAGGTGAAGGCGGAGTCAGGCGGAGGTGAACGTGGTGTAGACGATGAGAAGAAAGCAGGGCTTTTTTTCACTCTTATCTGTAACACCATCAGCGCTGCTCTTCTTCCCACATCCACCCCTCCGCCTGCTGCCCTCGCGTCACCACAGCACCAAAGCATTAAACGCAACCTTTGACGACATCACTGAAGTGAGCAGGTAACCAGGTGAAGTGATCACCTGGTTACCTGCTCAGGTAACGAGTCTGTATGGGGAAGCACGGTCGGTGAGTTGCGGCTCGCCGAGGTTGTGGTCGTCTCATGTATTTGATCTGAGTGACGGTGTTTTTTTTTTCACAGCTCCAGGCCCAGAAGCTCCGCCTTGCCAGGAATCAGGGGCCGTACTATGGCGGCTCATTACCAAACGTGAACCAGATCGGCAGGACCCCTCAGGACTTCCAGGTAATCGACTGCTACTGCACTTTCACCCTGATGTCACTTCCTGTTTCTTTTCTTATGTCGTAGGTGCAGGACAGCGAGCGTCAGAGTATCGCTCGATCTCTGCTGACGTGATAAAGACGCCTGTTTTGTGTAAACGTTACTGCCTACGTTTGAGTATTGGAGTAATAAGGTGGAAATAAAGGTGGGCTGAGGATGGAGCCCTGTGGGGCTCCTGCAGAACATTTAAGGCGGTCTGATGCTTTCGGTGGTTTGCGTGCGGCAGATGTGATCAAAGCCACAGACGGTCTCTGTCGTCGCCTCTCATCCGCTTAGTTTCTCTTTTGGTTTGAATCTTTGGTCCTGATCGTATCTCTTTACTCTCCTCGTGTATATTTTTAATGCTTTTTTGTCCTTCCTGAAAAAAGAAATGTGAGGAAACGGCGCTCTGCCTTCAGCGTCAGTGTTTACTGATTCTTTTGTGACGAGGAATACGATTGGCTCAGTGTTTTCTCTCCTTTATTCTGGAGTCAATCAGGCACCGGGTCTCTGCTGTGAGCTCCAATCAGATGTGGGCAGCAGGAGTTAGAAAGCCGAGCCCGCTCATCATCTCTGACTCATCAGTGTTTCCATCACACTCGGTCTGTAATGGCGCTGTTCGTGGCTCCTCCTACTCTGCTGCAGTGGAGCTGAGCGTGGACAGAACGTCTCTCAGGTGTTTGAGTTTCCTCCTGTGGGTCTGATGCAGATGGCTGATCCCACATTAAAGGATCTGTCTGCATCACAGCGACCCAAACACACACAGGTAGCCTGCAGAAGCTCCACCCCCTGATCCAACGGGGTCTCTGTTGTGTGGCTTGTTAACGCCCTCCTGCAGCTGCTGATCCTCTGATCTAGGAAGGTCTCGTCTGCTCGGGGCTCTCCAGTTCTCCCCTGGGGTCATGCGGGGAACTCTGGGACCGCGGTTGCCCCGGGACACGAGCTTCACTTTACAAACAGCCGTTGGTCCCTACAGGCTGACCTCACCGCCTCATCTTTGTTCAGTTTATTTGAATTATACTCGAAGATCAGACAAAAATGCTGTTTCAATAACCACAACATGTGTCAGTGAACGAATTCTCTGAGTAAATATCTGAGATTACAAATACTGAGCAGAGTAATCCTGACCAGGTCACATTATTATGGGCTTTTATTTTGAAGTGTGTGAGGCTTCCTGTTTCCTCAGTATTTACAGGTGTGGAAATGATGCTGACTCTGTCCTCTCCTCTCATTCCTCCCCTCTCTGTCCCCCCCCCTCCTCAGGGCTCCTTCCCGTCCACTCTGGAGTCCAGTCGGGCGACGCGGCATCACGGGCTGGTGGAGCGAGTGCAGCGGGACCGCCGCTTCGTCTCGCCGGTCCGACCATATCGCAAAGTATCCTTCAGTTTACGCGAGGCTCCCTGTCTTATTCCAGATTGTTCCTGTGCTCCCGACTTCCTGTCTGTCTGTTTACTTCCTGTAAAGACTGTGAAACCTCTCAGCTGCACTTTGATTGCTGGGAACTATTTTCAGCAGCGGATGACCAAAAATCTGCAGCAGCAGCTCCAGGATGGAGTGTGGAATAAATCAGTGTGTGTGTGTTCGTGGTGACGGAGGATGGCGTGTCAGCTGACAGTGAGCGTTTAGAGATTTTGGCGTGGCGGTAAAATCCAGCGGTGGTGCACTCCTTCTCCTCTGTGGTCGCAGTGATGCGTCATGAAGCCAGTGTTTCAGCTTTTAGGATAACAGAAGGAGACAGGAAGTGCAGGAAAGGCGTCGGGCGGCGAGCTCACAGATGTCGATGCTTTATTGGACGGGTCGTTTTTGTCGCGCTCTTTCTCAGTCGTCCTCTGCGTCGATGGGGCGAGGGGGCGGGGCTGATGCTGAGAGCCACTGCGAGGAACTTTTATCTAAGAAACTCCGAGTGATCACGTTGAGTTTGTGTCACAGCAGCAGTGAAAAAGCTGCTCAGAAAAACAAGTCGTGCAGGCACGCTCGTCTCCACACTTGAAGCTCCTCCCATCTGACAGAAGTGCGACCTTTGACCTTGGTTTGAGTAAGAAGTTGTGGTGAAGCTCTGAGTTCTTCAGACTGCACTGAGCGTTCCCTGTGAGGGCGAGAGTTCAGAGTTCATCCTCTTCCGCTCGCGTCCTGCAGAAACCCCGATGATGAATCAGAAATAAGTTAACAATAAGTTTAAAGAAAAAAACGACATCGGGCTGTCGGGGTTAACGTGTTCTAACAGGGCGGGGTCATTCAAACCCAATGAGCTGATTTAGCCCCCGAGAAGCGACACAGGTGAGTTTCTACAGGTCAGCGTGGTGTCGGCGCCATCTGAAGCTCGTTTAGCTCCTCCTGATACTGAAACTGATGAAGCTCTGTGCTTTCCTTAACCTGCTGCTTCCTCAGATGGACAGCTCCCCGTACAGCCCCGCCTACCTGTCGCCGCCACCCGACCCCAGCTGGAGAAGGTGCTGTCTGTTAACCCCGCCCCCTGCTCTCCCCGCTGTGTGTGTGTCCGTGTGTCTGTCGGCAGGTCTGTTTCTTTGGTTTCACTCCTGCTTGCTGTTCCCTCCTGAAGCCTCAGCGTCGCTGCAGTAAAACCTCGACGCTCCTCTGAGATCAGAAACCGGAGGAGATGAAGCTCCGCCTCAGGCTGTGAAGGAGACACTCTGCTGCAGTCTGACCCGTGAATAACATCTGTACACAGATGTTCTGTGATTGTGACGGGCGTTTAACCCGTGCTCCCGCAGCGCTCGAGGAAGACTCGCCTCCCCGCTGCAGTGACTGCGAGGTGACTCTGAGGCTTCAGAGGGTCCCGTGGTCCTCGCGTTGACCGAGAGGAGCCGATTCCAGCCTGTGTTCCTCCTGCTCTTCTTCTTCTTCTGGAATCTTTGGCTCTTTCTTCTTGGCTTCTTCCTCTGCTTCCTGCCTTCTTTCTGCGTTTCCTTCAGAGGGAGGCCGGCTTCCGAACTCCAGGTGTCCTATGAAGCTCCGCCCCCGCAGGTTTCTGCCACTGACTGGTTTCAGGTCTGCCTGCGCTCGCTCCACCTCCTTTGTAGGAGCACGGTGGCGTGGTCAGGTTGGGGGTCTGAGCACAAACTACGGTGGCGATAACGCACTCAGAAAAAACCACAACAAAGCAGGAAGGGGGCGGGGCGGTTAAATGTCACGATGTGCAGAAACATCAGCTCAGATCACGTCCAGCAAGCCTCCAGCCGAGCTGACCCCTCCCCGCCGCAGGCGGAGCGTTACGAGGACTGAAGGAGCCGCGGGACCTGAAATCCTCCACGTGAACGCCCCCCACAGGGAGTGAAAACCACGACACATGAAAAGTGGGAGAAGCTCGACCTTCATCCTGCCATCACAAACAAATGAACAGAATTCAACCGCTCGGGTTTGTTTGGCAGCTCAGGGCCACCGTACAGCAGGACCCGGCAGCTCGAGGCCGCGGAGCCTCCCTCTCTGCTTGGCTTGTTTGTCTCTGAGCCTCCTCCCTCTGCTCCTCTTCGTCACCCTTTGACTTTTCGTCGCTGCTTCCTGCTCGTCAGACCAAAATAACTTTGTTTTTGTCGATCATAAAGGAATTGGTCTGGAAACTTCCCCGGAGATAAAAGCCAGTTGTTTCGTCTCCCCACCACTGCACTCAACAGGTGAACCCTCCTCGTCCTCCTCTTCCTCCTCCTACCTTCACTTCCTCCTCTTCTTCCTTCCTGCAGCTGTAACCTTCAGAGTGGACTTTTAGAAGAATTAGATCTTTTCGATGCTTCAGACTTTGAAGCTTTCTTCCTTCCTTCATCGCTCGGCCCGAGCTGCTGCTCGTGAAAACCTCTGACCTCGGGTGCAGCAGCTGCTGTCACAGGTCAGAGGTCATGTTGTGCAGCTGTTTGCAGTCAGAGCGAGCCTCCTGCGGGGAGCCAGAAGTGCCAAAATCACATTAAACACTCCAATATTTCCTCTTATTGCCTGTTAGACGTTTTTACTTCCTGTGAGTGTCGGTTAAACATCAGGCCCAAGTAAATGGATCAGAATGACTCCGCCTTCATTTACATACAGTAGCACAAATGCAGGAAGACGAGAGATCACATGACCTTCACCCCCGTGGAAACATCTGGAACTCGATCTGCAGATGATCCTGAAGGTCAGGTGTTTACTCCAAGGCAGCAAATCAGAGTGAAAGGTCAAAGGTCGATGAGTGAGCAGTAAAACACAGAAAACTGACGGCGTCGGAGTTTAGCTGCTCGTCCAGGACGAATATTAAAACCTGAAAGAAAACATCCAAACGTCGGGTCGCGAGGAGAGTCGCGATACATGCTAATGATTATTAGTTAATGATTAATCAGCACTGTGCAGGAGAAAAGACCAAAGTAATCATTGTTGTTATTACTATGTTTTTACACTCTGACATGACTAACAGCTGAGCATCAGTGAAAACATAAACAGATAAAACAGAAAAGTAAATGTCTGCGTTTTATTTTTTTCATGTTTTGTTGGTTTTTAAAGACAAATTCATTTATTTTTGAGTCGCTTCTTTTCATTTTGGCATTTTTGTCTCTCCGTAGTTCGAAAGAGCGTTTCTTTGGCGTCTCATCTCTTTGTTTCACCCTCGCTAACCTTCACCTCCTCCAAGCCTTTGCTCCTCTCCCCCTTTAACTCTCTGTCGGTGTCTCTCGCCCTTCAGGACGAACTCCGACTCAGCGCTCCACACCAGTGTGATGAACCCGCCCTCCGGAGACCCGTTCAGCACTGGCGGACCCACGCTCGCCCTCCAGAACGCCAGAATCGGCGGTGAGTGAAACCGAACCGAACAGACGCCAGCACAGGTGTGTGTTATCAGAGACTTGGAAGACGGTCCGTGTTCAGGGCGCGAAGCTTCAAACATGTTGGAAAGTTAAAGTGAAACTGTTCAGCAGGATTATCCTTTTTTAATAATTACAGGAAAACATTTAAATCCAGCTTTGATTGTAACGGCGACGACCTGAGCAGACACGTTTCAGTGATTCAGTATGTTTGTAATCACCACTGTGTGTGTGTGTGTGTGTGTGTGTGTGTGTGTGTGTGTGTGTGTGTGTGTGTGTGTGTGTGTGTGTGTGTGATGCTGCAGGTCAGAGCGACGGAGAGGGCAGAAGAAGTGAGTAACGCACATTTATCCTACGTCCAAAGGTCAAACTTCCTCTCACTGATGAATGACTGTGGATGTCAATAGAACAGGAATATTGTTTGTTGTCGGGCAGATGAGCATCTTTACAAAAGTAAAGACCAATAAGAGACTGTACAGGGCAAACATGAGAAGGATGCAACATAGTTACAAAGGAGAGTGCAGCTAGCAGGATAATCTTGTGCTGTATGTTTGTACAACAATGACAAATGCATGAAGGACGCCAGCTTTTCCCTCCTTGAGCTTTTCACATTAAAGCGTCACAGCCCTCCTCTCCATGTGTGAGTCACGGTGTTTTATGTCCCTCAGTGTTTCCATATCCTGTCCCTCCCATCGAGGAGAACGTGTTGGACGAGGGGAAGCTGATGAAACCCTGGGACACCAAGAAGGTAAAACCCACAGAAACACCATCTGCCTGTTTCACCCTTACATTAAATATTCACATTTATATTCATTTCTCCCTCCAATCTCCATAAATGTCCTGAGAGTATGCGAAGGACATTTCTCACTAGTTTATGGAAGTTAAATGAGTCAAAATCTCATTATCATCCTGACACAGCTGCTGCAGGGTCCGTTTTAGAAACATGTTGACATTTTAAGTTTTGTGTTTTTAGCTTGTTCTAAAGTTTACTGAGTGATTTTGTGTTTGATGCTTCTGAGTCATTTCTGTTATTCTGGATTTTTCTTTCCCAGCTGCCGTTGTTGTCATCCCGGCCGAAGTCCTGCGAAGTTCCCGGCATCAAGTAAGTCCCAAAAAGCTTCTCTTAATTCAATTCAATTCAATTTTATTTATATGGCGCCAAATCACAACAAAAGTCGCCTCAAGGTGCTTTATAGATACAGAGAAAAACCCAACAATCATATGACCCCCTATGAGCAGCACTTTGGCGACAGTGGGAAGGAAAAACTCCCTTTTAACAGGAAGAAACCTCCGACAGAACCAGGCTCAGGGAGGGGCGGGGCCACCTGCTGTGATTGGTTGGGGTGAGAGAAGGAAGACAGGATAAAGACATGCTGTGGAAGAGAGACAGAGGTTAATAACAGATATGATTCAATGCAGAGAGGTCTGTTAATACATAGTGAGTGAGAAAGGTGACTGGAAAGGAAAAACTCAATGCATCATGGGAATCCCCCGGCAGCCTACGTCTATTGCAGCATAACTAAGGGAGGATTCAGGGTCACCTGGTCCAGCCCTAACTATATGCTTTAGCAAAAAGGAAAGTTTGAAGCCTAATCTTGAAAGTAGAGATAGTGTCTGTCTCCTGAATCCAAACTGGAAGCTGGTTCCACAGAAGAGGAGCCTGAAAACTGAAGGCTCTGCCTCCCATTCTACTTTTAAATACTCTAGGAACAACAAGTAGGCCTGCAGAGCGAGAGCGAAGTGCTCTAATAGGGTGATATGGTACTACAAGGTCATTAAGATAAGATGGGGCCTGATTATTTAAGACCTTGTATGTGAGGAGCAGGATTTTGAATTCTGGATTTAACAAGAAGCCAAAACAGGAGAAATCTGCTCTCTTTCTAGTCCCTGTCAGGACTCTTGCTGCAGCATTTTGGATCAGCTGAAGGCTTTTCAGGGAGTTTTTAGGACTTCCTGATAATAATGAATTACAGTCGTCCAGCCTGGAAGTAATAAATGCATAATGTATGTAAACAGAATTGGTCCTAGCACTGAACCCTGTGGAACTCCATAATTAACCTCAGTGTGTGAAGAGGACTCTCCATTTACATGCACAAACTGGAGTCTATTAGATAGATATGATACAAACCACTGCAGCACAGTACCTGTAATACCTACAGCATGTTCTAATCGCTCTAATAGGATATTATGGTCGACAGTATCGAACGCTGCACTGAGGTCTAGCAGGACAAGCACAGAGATGAGTCCACTGTCAGAGGCCATAAGAAGATCATTTGTAACCTTCACTAAAGCTGTTTCTGTGCTGTGATGAGCTCTGAAACCTGACTGAAACTCTTCAAATAAGCCTCTGCAGATGATCTGTTAGCTGTTTGACAACTACTCTTTCAAGGATGTTTGATATAAAGGAAGGTTGGAGATTGGCCTATAATTAGCTAAGACTGCTGGGTCTAGAGATGCTTTTTGAGTAAAGGTTTAACTACAGCCAGCTTGAAGGCCTGTGGTACATAGCCGATCATTAGAGATAGTTGATCATATTTAAGATCGAAGAATTAATTAATGGCAGGACTTCTTTGAGCAGTTTTGTAGGAATGGGGTCTAAAAGACACGTTGATGGTTTGGAGGAAGAAATTATTGAAGTTAACTCAGAAAGATCAATTGGAGAAAAAGAGTCTAACTTAACATCAATGGTACTAAGAGTAGCTGTAGATAATATTACATCTGTGGGATGATTACTGGTAATTTTTTCTCTAATGATAAGAATTTTATTTGTGAAGAAGTTCATGAAGTCATTACTAGTTAACGTTAAAGGGATGGTTGGCTCAACAGAGCTCTGACTGTTTGTCAGCCTGGCTACAGAGCTGAAGAGAAACCTGGGGTTGTTCTTATTTTCTTCAATCAGTGATGAATAGTAAGATGTTCTGGCTTTGCGGAGGGCTTTCTTATAAAGCAGCAAACTATTTCTCCAGGCTAAATGATGATCCTCTAAATTTGTGACACGCCATTTCCTCTCCAGATTACGAGTCATCTGCTTTAGGCTACGTGTTTGAGAATTATACCACGGAGTCAGGTACTTCTGATTAGAGACCTTAGTTTTCACAGGAGCTACAGTATCCAGAGTCGTACGTAGTGAGGAGCTGAAATTATTAACAAGATAATCGACCTCTGTTGGGGTAGCGTTCAGATAGCTGCTCTATGTTGGTACAGGACATTGAAGATGATAACAGTGGGTGGATTATATTCTTAAACTTAGTTACAGCGCTTTCAGAAAGACATCTACTGTGATAAAGTCTACTCTCCACCGCTGTGTAATCAATTATTGTAAAAGTAAATGTTATCAGGAAATGATCAGACAGCAGAGGGTTTTCAGGAAACACTGTTAAATGTTCAGTTTCTATGCCATATGTTAAAACAAGATCTAGAGTGTGATTAAAGTGGTGGGTGGGTTCTTTTACATTTGAGAGAAACCAATTGAGTCTAATAACAGATTAAATGCCATGTTGAGGCTGTCATTCTTAGCATCTACATGGATGTTAAAATCACCCACAATAATTATTTTATCTGAGCTCAGAACTAAATCAGATATAAAGTCTGAGAAATCAGACAGAAACTCTGTGTAAGGCCCAGGTGGACGATAGATGATAACAAGTAAGACTGGTTTCTGAGTTTACAGCTAGGGTGGACGAGGCTAAGCATCAGGCTTTCAAATGAATTAAAAGTCTGTCTGGGTCTTTGGTTGATTAACTCATTCACTGCCATTGACGTCTATAGCCGTCAATTGCAGTGAATGAGTCAATGGGTTTAACTCATTCACTGCCAATGGCTGGCAGTGAATGAGTTAATAGGCTGGTGTGAGAAATTGCTGCCACACCTCCCCCTCGGCCTGTGCTTCGAGGTTTCTGGTAGTTAGAATGACTCGGGGGAGTTGATTCATTTAAACTAACATAATCATCCTGCTGCAACCAGGTTTCTGTAAGGCAGAGTAAATCGATTTGTTGATCAATTATTAAGTCATGTACTAACAGAGACTTGGAGGAGAGAGACCTAATATTTAATAATCCACATTTCACTGTTTTACTCTTTGGTTCAGATGTGGATACTTTATTGTTCTTTCTTTGTAATTGTTTATGTTTAAGTTGTTTGTTGCTGGTTTTTAGTTTGTTTTTTGTCTGTGTGGGAGCTGACACAGTCTCTATGGAGATGGGTTTTTTTTTGGGGGGGGGGGGGGGTAGCAAAAACCCATCTCCATAGCCGTTCTCTGTTAGTTTGTAGCCCCTGTTAGCCGATCTCTGTTAGTCTGTCGCTCCTGTTAGCCACACTCTGTCAATCTGAGTGATGCTTTAGCCTGATTTGTTAAGAATGGCCTGGTTTAACCGTTACCTGGAGACAGGTAAAGCTTCAGGAACTTGAGCTGTGATGTGAATCTCTCTGACCTTGTTCTGTTTCCTGTCAGTATCTTCACTTCCCCGGAGCAGCCGTCCACGCCGGCTCATGGTGTTCCCTCGGCGCTGAACACTGGCGGCTCGCTGCCTGACCTCTCCAGCCTCCACTTCCCCTCGCCACTGCCCACGCCACTGGACCAGGACGAACCGGGTTTCCCAGGGTCGTCCTCTTTGAGTGGTGGCAGCAGCACGGGAAACCTGGCCTCCACCCTCACCCAGCTGGGGATCAACGCCGCCAACGCGCAAGGAGGAAACGGCAGCTTCCACCACCCACCAGGTAAGTGAAGCTGTGACCTGTGAGTTTGTGCGTGGCTACAGGTGTTTAATGTCTTTTTGTAACCGCACACGTTTTGCGATGTGTTGAACTGCAGTCTGTCGTGTTAGCAGTGAAATGATTGACAGGTGTGAAATCTGTGCAGGTGAGAGCAGAAAAGGGCTGCAGCTATCGATTATTTTAGTAATAGAGTAATCTATTGACTATTCCATCGATTAATTAAGTAATCGGATAAGAAATACTTTTGTCTTATTAATGGGCAATAATAACAGGTCTGTCAGAACAAAGGTTGGTTTTAAAAACTGCAATGTTTTACTGCACACAACATAAACTAAACCCCCGATTGTATTCACGCTATATTAGGATTACATTTTTCAAACAGTTTTTGTGCTGCTGAGAACAACGTTATGATGCTGCAGATGTTTATTAATATAAATAATAACTCAGCGTCCAGCCTGACGACCCTCAGGTCAGCGCCTCGTGTACGTTTGTATTGATTTGTGAAAAAAAGCTTTTAAATAAACAACATTTAACATTGTTTCACTTTCAATGTGAAAAATGTTACAAAAGCCTTGATAGGGTCTCGTACACCCCACGCCCTCCTTTAGACACACCCCTGTTCGCTTCCACGTGTAATAGGACGGCCGCGGTCGGCCAGTATCAGACTAAGTTATCAGGAACTTCTGCTGAACAGCTGCTGTTTCCTCAAGATCTGAGTCTCCATTTGTTTCTCGAGAGGCTGTTTGGGACAGCGGTGACTCGGCGGGACCACACACGGTACAGGAAGTGAGTCCGTGGTCCCGTGTTTCAGAGTAATGTCTGCGACAGCAAGTCGGACAGGTCGTGCTGTTAGCTGCTGAAACGTGCGAAGGTCCGGGAGAATCAGGAAGACTGAAGCTGCCGTAGGAGGATGAGAGTTTAGGGTGGAGAACCAGAGGGTGTAGTCGCCGCAGCAGGAAGAGTGGCCTCTGCTGCGGCGTTTCTGACAGCGAGCGGCTCTTCTTTTGAGCTCTACTGTCAGAGTCGGCAGAGGAAGTCCGTGGGCGAGCGCTAAATTTAACCCGAGAGGAGGATTTTTGTTGAGGGAGGAAGCGGCGTCGGAAAATGTTGAGTCGTCTGTGAGGCAACCTCAGGCAGGAAGTGGCTGAGAGCTCGACCTCAGGTTACCGTCTGCATCGTTGTCCCGTGCTCTGACAGGCTGCGGACCAGGTGGACGAGGGAACGCGTGTTTATTGTAAATGAGGTCAGACAGGAACTGCAGGTAATGTTTACACCTGCTGCGACCTCCTGGGATGGAGCTGGTAGATGGCGAGGTGCGATCAGCTGAGTGCTCGGTGTTAACGTTGTTGTTGTTCTTGTGTCTTTCAGGACTCCTGGCATCGTTACAGAGCACGCTCGGTAACCCCTCCCTGCAGTCATCACTAAGCAACCCCAACATCCAGTCATCACTCAGCAGCCACTCCTTCTCAAACTCCCTTAGCTCCGCCTCCCTGCACTCATCGCTCAGCAACCCCTCGCTGCAGTCGTCCCTGAGCTCCTCGCCGTCGCTGCCATCCTCCCTCAGCAGCCAATCGCTGCACTCGTCTCTCAGTAACTCCTCCCTCCAGTCTGCGTCCAGCGGTAACCCTGGTTACAGCAGCGGCGTGGGCGGCTCTGGCTCCTGCTCCTCCTCCTACTCGCCACTGATGAGTGGGCAGGGCCAGCCACCGCCGCAGCTCAGCACGTCGCCGCGCCGCCGCGTCCAGCTGTCCCCGCTCATCCTGCCGCTGGGCGGCGACTCACGGCGGCATCACTCCAAACAATTCTCCCCAACTATCTCACCCACCCTGTCCTCCATCACACAGGTAAGCGATCACCTGTTCAAAATCAATACAAACAGGAAGTGATGCAGTTTAACAGAGTTTCCCGGGGTTAACGTCCCGCTTCCCTCTGCAGGGCGTCCCGTTGGACACCAGCAGGCTTCCTGTGGATCAGCGGCTGCCTCCGTACCCGCTCAGCCAGTCCCACCAGCACCAGCCCGGCGCGCAGCAAACGACGCTGCCTCAGCACCACCACCAGCCGCCGCTCCGCCTCCAGCAGCCACGGCCCAGCAGCCAGCAGCAGCTCCACCTGCAGAACATGCGGAACCAGCACCTGCAGCAGCACTTCGGAGCGGTACGTCCCCAAATTCAGTCCTGATTCTAAAGTTCCCCTCCGTTAGCTCTGGCGCTCACCACCGTGTTTCCTCGCAGCAGCAGAGGCTGATGGGACCGCAGATGAGCGCAGCGCCCCCTGTGAAGAGCGAGGGCGTGCCGGAGCAGTGCGTCCAGACCTCCTCCTCGTCCTCACTCTGCCACGCCAAACAGGAAGCGGAGCAGCAGAGAGCCGGCCTCCATCAGCACCAGCAGCACGCCGGCCACAGCCTCCCCGCCGACATCTACAACGTGAGTGACCTCTTCCGCCAACGCTCAAGTTAAACACATACACTCGCCTTAAAGTAGGCGGAGCCGGCCGCTGTCCCTGCAGCATAATGCTTCGTAATGCTTCGTTCTGCTGACGCTCAGGTCGCGGCGCCCATGCACGAGCAGTTCTGATTGTTTGAGACGTGGATTTCGGAGTTGTTGTGGTTTTGCTGCGTGTTTGTGGCGGATGCTGGCGTGTCCCACGTGATGATGTCGTCGTTGTTCACGCGGCAGATAAACTCCTGAGACTCGTCTGTGTCAGGGTCAGAGGTGAGGTCCTCCCACCTGGATCAGCTGGTTACTCTTCAGCAGTGACTTCATCAAAGACGTGTTACCGTGAACACTTTCAGAGCACGCAGACGTGTTTCCATCTTGACATTTTTTTGCAGCAGTTTGTGACCTCACGAGGTCAACTGCACTTCCTGGTTCTGAGGAGCAGTTAGAGGCCACGCCCATCATCACGCCCATGACACTCTACTTGGGGAGACCTGTGGAGCGGGCTCTCAGCCGGGAGGAGGACGCTCCGTCTGTATTTCGACGGCAACGGCTGTTAAACAAGCACCAAAATTTCATCTGTGCGCAGGTCATAGGGGGAGGAGTCACCTCCACCTGGTTTGAGGTAACGCCAAGGGGTGTGAAGGAGACCATTCCTCGCTCAGTGTGTTGCTGCTCCGGCCTCCAGGATGTGAAACATGCCGGAGGCGCCTGGCTGTGACTCCTGGGATGTGACTGCAGCACGAGTGTGGTTACTATAAAGCAAATAAGCCAATCAGGAGCGGCGCTCTGAGTGCGTATCTCGTAGTTTAGCGTCAGCGAAGGATTTCTGCTCTGAAAGTTTGTCTTCTGAGTAGGGGTGGGCGATATAAACGATATACAATAGAAACTATATAAATTTGGCCAACGATAGAGATTTTGACTATACCGCTCTACCACGATAGCGCATGTTGATGATGTCATCAAGCTGCGCCTGTTTTGGTCGAAAGCATCATGGGCAGTGTAGTCCGTGCTGCAGGGAGAATGGACTGCCGTACCCGTGATGTGTCTGTGAGCGAGGGAGGGAGAGAAAGGAAAAGTACGAGCTGTCACCGAGCAGAAACGGGAGCTGGAAGCATGTAAATATAATAATAACCTGCAGCCAAACAGAGAGCCTGACGAGCCCAGCTGTAAGTAAGCTGTTAAGACTCGACTGTACGCTGTGTTCCTGTTTTCCTCTGAAACAATAAAGTTCTGTTGCAGCAGCCTTTCGACGCCTCTCTCTGTCTCTCGCTAGCAAAGTGAAGCTAGTTTTCAGCTACGAGCCCGACACGAACCCGACGTATCAGCCAGAGGTCCCTTTACTATGGTTCGGAGCCGTGGACCTTCAGTAATAGTAATAAATCACATTCATGTAGTTGTAAACAGCATGATAATATATTAAGTAATCCAAAGTAATCAGAATACGTTACTCTCATTGAGTAATGTAACGGAATATGTTACAGAATACATTTTGGGGCATGTAATCTGTAATCTGTAGTGGAATACATGTTAAAAGTAACCTTCCCAACACTGCTCCTGACTGAAGTTTGGCCCGTGTACAGCATCCTGCTATGCGATTGCATTTGTCCCTGACCACCAGAATCCCTCACGTTAACTTTTATCGAGTGGAAAAAAAGTTAGCGTTCATCCTCCAGCTTCACTGTGCTAATGTTATGCTAACATAGCTGTGTCGCTAGCAATCACGTAGCACAACATTATATAGCAGGTAGTCCAACTTCAGTAACCCTGCAAACCCACTGCTGTTTAGTTTCCTGTCTTTATGTTAGAAGTGACAGCAGAGCTGTACGTTTGAATTAGTTTCAAAAATCTCAGTCAGAACATGGTATGAAATGTTTAGGTGGAAGCTAGCGAGCTAACTTCCTGTTAACTTCTAACTCTGTGAAATTTAATAAATTCTGTTTTCCACTAGGTGTGAATGTGCGAGTGAATGTGAATGGTTGTCTGTCCCTGTGTGTTGGCCCTGCGACAGACTGGCGACCTGTCCAGGGTGTACCCCGCCTTTCGCCCTATGACAGCTGGGATAGGCTCCAGCGCCCCCTGCGACCCTGAAAAGGATAAGCGGAAGCGAATGGATGTCTGGATGTTAAACTTAATTGTTACACCTGCTAAAGCAGCAACGCTGATGATTTAATTAAAGATGAAAGAATTTAGACCGTTTTTAACTCTGTGTTCGTTTGACTTTGGGACCTGAAGCAGACGGAGTTTTGGACCCAGCTTACTCCGAAGCTCCTCCCTACGGCAGCCGTAATGCTCTGACATCCATCAAGCAGTGCTGCTTACCAAAGTTACACTAAAACATTATTTAACAGATTTTTACAGCCAAAATTGGTTCGAGGTCAGTAAGCACAACCAGAATTCATACATAAGGAACACTCTCGATTTTTGAGAAAATTAAAGGATTTTAAGTCCTTATAGTGTGGAAAATACGTTATACAGAAGAAAAGAATATATCGTGATGTATATTGTTACCGCACGTGCTTCAAATTATACCGCGATATGGATTTTAGGCCATATCGCCCAGCCCTACTGCTGAGAGATAGTGGCGTTCCCGGGACAGACGCCAGACACGGGCCGTCCTGGAGGAGGCAGAAGGCGTAAACATCAGCACGCTAGTGAGGACGCTGAGAGTCATGTGACCAACATGAGGCTGACACCAAACAGATTAGTTTAAGTGTGTGTCTGCGCGCGTGTTTTACATCCTCGGCTGAAACTGGATTTAATCACTTTGTCTTTCTGTTGTCTTTTTCCCAGGATGCTTTGCTCAGCTCTCTGCTGGACGACCCCTACCTGAGCCTGCAGCTCACCGGCAGATCTGAGCAGCAGGTAAAGGAGTGATGTCACATGTTTGAATAGAAGGAGCTGATTGGTTGTCAGTATAGCTGCAGGGTGTTTGTAAGAGGGGCTGAGATCGTCTGAGCATGTGCGGAGGAGGGAGGGTGGAGGATGAAGGTGGAGAAGAGAAGGAGGTGCAGAGGGTGGGTGGGACAGAAGGAGATGGAGGCAGATGATTGGCTGTGGAGCTCAGGTGGAGGGTAGAGTTTCATCTGTATTCTGTAGCGTGGTTGGTTAAAGAGGTTAAAGTTCATGCTTCTTCAGGTTTTGATGATTTTGAGGATGACCCTCCTGCGCCGTGACAGCCCATCTCAGTTCTGCGCGGCGTCTCTATCGAGTCACGTGACCTCAGCTTTCTCTTCCCGTTGCAGTTCGCCACAGAGACCCAGGCCGACATGCTGTCCCTGAACCACAGTGGTCTGAGCTGCAGCGCAGACAAGAACCAGTTCCCCTCCAACAGCCAGGGGGCGCTAGACCTGCAGGACCTCAGTGACCAGCAGCTCCTCAACAATCAGAACCAGAACTTCAGCGGGAGCGACGGACGACATAACGTGCCCAACATCATCCTCACAGGTCAGCGAGACGCGAGCCAAGCGTCGTGTTTTCTGTTTGTTTCTCCTGCACGCCTCTAAACCCCTCCCCCTCCGTCTGCAGGCGACTCTCCGACGGGCCTGTCCAAAGAGATCGCCAGCGCGCTGTCCAACGTCCCCGGCTTTGAGATGGACTCCTTCTCGCTGGATGACCAGCTCCGGATGGACCCGCTGTCCCTGGACATGCTGGAGGGCAACCTGATGCTGGCCGACCCGGCCGTGGAGGACTCCTTCCGCTCGGACCGGCTCAAGTGACGCCGCCGACGCTCCGGGAACGGCGCCCGCACCTGGAGAGGACTCCACCCTTCCGTCGCTCCCCCACAGCCGGTCTGTCGAGCGAGCTTTGGAAGAATGCGCCTTCATCGATGAAGGAGCTGACATCTGTGTTGGGGGAGGGATAAACTGAAGGAGGCGGAGCCTCACTGTCAATGGCACTTAAACTGAAAACGCTCTCGCTTGCTTGAAGTCAGAAACCTGCTGCAGCTTTCTGACCACTCCCCGCCCACACCCGGCCGTCATGATGGCGTCACGCCACAGGAGCGGAGGCGTGAGAGCGGTGTGGAAGCCACTTTCTGCTCTGACAGCTACTTTAACAGGAACTTAGCCATGACCCCTGACCTTTGTCCTCTGACTTCTGTCCCCTGACCGTGCGTGCTGCTTCTGCTCGGGCTGCTCCGCTCTTTTATGCAGAACTCATTTTGACGTGTGAGCATGCGCCGACCCGCCCACCTTTACGTTGCCTCTGACTGGACACGAGCGTCGACCTACAGCAGCTGAGCATTGCCGAGTTTTATCCCGCCGAGGCTCGTCAGAAGAACACGCCCCTCAGCTGGAGAACTGCCGTGGCTGCACGGCGTCTGTACATGAAGAATGGACACACCCACCATGTCCCGCTTCGGCGCTGTGAGTCGACGCGTCCTGTGTCATCACACGATCTGCTTGCTCTTTGGCTTCTCTGTGTGAGTGTCAGCTGATCTGAAGGCGGAGCATCGACGGCGCCTTTGACCAGCTTACGTCTGTCTGTTACATCCACATTCCCGCCGCCTGCAGATGGTCAGCTGACCTTTGAACCCAAAGTGATGCTTTTCAAAGAGGAGTGCGAGCCTTCCTCCTCCTCGTGTGTTTTTATGAACTCAAGTATAAAGTTTTTATTTTTGTAAATAACTCAGATATAAAAATCATATTTAAGAAGAAAGCGTTTAGCTCGCCGCCACCTTTGTGAGATCAGCCCGCACGTCTGCCTGACCGCTTGAAGGTCGAAGCTCGATGCGCTCGCCCAGGATGGCGAGGTCCCAGCAGAGTCCCAGCCCCGCCTTAAAACAAATGTAAGAGCGCGTTATCAACACATGTGATTGTGATCAATCGGAGCCTGACAGGAAGCTGCACGACTACAAAATCTCTCTTTCTGTTTTAAACAGATTTTATTTTATTCTGAAAATGTTTGAATGAATTTAAATTTACGGAAGTTTCACGAGGAGCGAAAAACAAATATAAAAGTCGTACATTTACGAGGAAAATTATTTTTAAATGTTTCCTCGTTTGCTGCTTTAATCTGAAAATTCGACATCATAACCAAAATAAACACATAGATTATTAGAGCCGCGTTAATGAAAGCCGCCTGATGAGGTTTATTAGAAAAAAGAATTTATAATCCTGAAAGGATAAATGTTTTTTGTATTTAAAGATAAGATATTCCATCATGGCCCTGACCGGCTGCCGTAGGAACCACCCCGAACGATTAAAACGCAATCAAAATCCTTCCTGTTTCAGCCTGGAAGGTTTTGGGAAACCTTGAGTCCAAAGCAAGCGTGTTGGGGGAGGAGCTTCAGAGCAGCCTTGCTGGTTTCAGGAGGTCGGGAGGTGACGAAGGTGAGGAAGAGCAGTGGGACTGGAGGTTCAGGTGTATCTGCTGCCCCCTGCAGGTCGCTCACAAGATAAAGGTCACAGTCGAGGACGGGAAAAACGAAATGAAGCTGATCTCTGAGGACCTGCAGACAAGCTCCTCCCACCTCAGCCCGGCCATCACGAGCAGCAGCCGCTCCAGTCATTGATCGATTGACCTCGTCCTTCAGTCTCAGTGACCCGAGGCGAGAGGTCAGCTTTCGCTCCGTCGATCAATACCTGATCAGCTCATTGATCGCCACCTGATCTGACCAATATGTTCACACTGACAGGCTGCCGTAGAGCAGCCAATAAAAATGCACCGCACTTCGCGTCATCACAGGCGTCAGCCAATCGGGTCACGTCATGAAAATCCCAAGAAGTCAAAGTGCTGCACTCGGGTCTGGACGTGTGATCTTTGCACCTCCTCCTGGAGGAGGCGCGGCGGCGCCCTCGGGCCGCGGCGGCGCCTGTGTCAGGACCACCGCAGGTACAGAAAGATTAAAAAGCTCGAATATTTTCTGAGATTAAAGCCGTAATTTTATTAAAATGCTTTTTTCTACTTTTTGAATCTGAGAGAATATTACAAATATAATCGGACACGTTTCACAGGGTTAAATCTTAAATATTTCTTCTTCTAGTTTTCATTTAACAATAATAAATGACTCATTTTGAAAAGCACTTCCTGTTCCAGGCTGTAAAGTTCTGCATAATCTGACCTCCACTCTCACTCCAAACGCTAAGGCCTGATTGGTCAGCTTTTGGAAGCCTGCAGAGGAGCAGATGACCATATAAGGATGTCAGCCGTCACAGAGGCAGAAAATTTTTTTTAAAGAAAAGCTCAGAGGTGACTTTAGTGTTTATAGATGAAGCTTTGATCATGTTCACACCATGAATACAAATAAAAATATGAAATATTTTATTAAAAGTTTCTTTGGTGGAATCGGAGACGCCTTCGTGTTCAGCAGCAGCGTTTCTTTTTTCTTCTTCTGTTAGAATAAAACCAAAACGCGTTCGATCAAACGGACGGAGAAGCTTCGTGCGGCGATCCTGGAACAAAATCGTGTTTTACTTCCTGTTTAATGTTTTGTTTGTTTTTTCCTTTCATACGACGTTCAGTAGGTCAAAAAGTTCAAAACTGAGGAAGAAATCCCAGAATTCATGTGTGCGTGCGTGTGTGTGCGCGTGTGTGCGCGTGTGTGTGCGTGCGCGTGTGTGCGTGCGCGTGCGTGTGAGACTGTTTTCTTGTTATGCAATAACTGTGCAGAGTAAGCCTGCAGTTCCAGTCTCTGCCAGTGGAGGGCGCTGCTGACCTGTGTGTGGATTAGGGATCAGTTAAAGGCCATATTTCATATTTTTCATATTTTTTATTGATATTAATTTCTGTCATTAATGTTTATAGTTTTTTTTTCATGTTTTTTTTAGACTCCAGAGTTAAAAAACAAAACGAGAACAGCTGAGCGCTCTGCGTCTGTTGCTTCATATTTGAATAATAAAGTTTGTTTCTATTGAGATTTTTATTGTCATAACCAGGGAACGTTGAGTGTTGTACATATGAAAACGTTTTGAACCCAGAGGTGTTTTTAAAGCGCAGCGGCTGGAGGTTCACCGTGTTTTACAGAAAATAAAGAAATAAAGCTGAAACTGAAACGCTGACTCTCTGTTTCTGTGAAAAGTTTAAGTATCACAGAGGTGTGATGCTGCTTACTCTGGGAACCAGTGAACATACTGGGAGGTGTCCCCATCTGTCCGTCCCCACCTGTCTGTCATCACCCGTCTCAGACTTTCTGCTGATAACGAGCTGAAATATCTTCTTCTTCTTTTTTTTTGTCATTGAAGTCTTTATTTGTTTTTAACATTTAACCAAACAAAAACAAAACAACAACAACAACAACAAAAAAGACAGCTTCCAGTCCCATGGTTAAGTCACCTTTGCATTTTGGGTCGATTTTCAATAGTTACTATCAGTACACACAAAAAGGACAATAAAATCAAATTCTTAAGTTATTCCCTTCCTGAGTGCCTGAACAAACATACAACACAGCAAGCATAAAGTTTGCCTAAAGATAATTGCCCTGACAAAATAAAATCCAACCATCTCAGCCTAAAACACGTCCCCATGATTTGTCAAAACCCTCCCTGTCATCATTAATCTTAGCCAAGAATTTTTCGTACGACACCATTTCAGCATATTTTCTTCCCCCCTATTATAGAGATGGTTCCTCCCACACACTGAGAATAACTCGGGCCGCTGCGATCGCCCCCACCTTTATAACCACAAAATCATATTTTGAAACCCCAGGTAACACCGACCGATCCCCTAATAAGCACAGTCTTGGTGACGGGGGTATCATCAAACCAATCCACCTTCCTATTCTGTCCAATACTTCTTGCCAAAAGGGACAAACTTTCCCACATTCCCAATAGCATGCATAAATGTCCCAGGATCTGAACTACATTTCCAGCATATATTACTGGGACTGATTCCCATTCTATAAAGTTTGGACGGAGTGAAGTACCACCTGTGTATTAATTTGTACTGAGTAAATGTACCCCTGACCTCTCTTATATATTTATCAGAGAATGACAAAATTCTGCACCAGTCTTCTTTAGAAATTACACAACTCAGATCTCGTTGCCATATAATCCTCAAGTTCTCACAGATCCCTTTTTTTGGATTGTTAAACAGAGAACAGCTGCTCTGTGTGCTGAACTGGACAATTCTAAAAACTCCACCACCGTATTTGAGCTTTGAGTAAATTTTCCTTTACCCTTATTTGTAAATATTTCCAAAAAAGTTTCTCTTATCAAACCACATTTTTGGGTTATTTCAGTGAATGACGTAAACCCTCCTCCTGAGTAAAGATGACTCATCCTGTGTATGCCTTTGACAAGCCAATTCCTTCCAGAACACCGTGTCTGTACAGCAGTGTTGTTCCATAGCGATATAAGGTTGTCTTAAATGAGATGCCATTTATCTTATAACCTGACAACCTTGAAAATGACTCAACACATGTGAGTAGCGCTGGCAGAGACTGCATGGGATCCGTTAGTACTGCTAAGATGTCGTCAGCATATAGAAATAACGTGTGCTCCATACCCCTGCATGAACACCTCTGACATCCCTGTTAGCTCGAATAGCCAAGGCCAGTGGTTCCAGAAATATTGTGAAGAGCAGCGGGGACGAAGAACACCCCAGCCGGGTCCCGCGAGTGAGATGGAAAAACTCTGACACCAATCCATTTGTCAAAACTGCTGCCCTTGGACTTGCATATACAGTTTTGACCCAGTTACAAAACCCAGGCCCGAACCTTGCAAGGGTTGTCATAAGGAAGCCTTCTCGGCATCAAGACCACAACTGGGGCTAGATTTGCTTCTGTGCATGAGATGAAGAAGTTTAATGTTATCAGCTCAAGACCTATTCTTAATAAAACCAACCTGATCACCATTGATGATATCTGGTAATATGTGATCTAAGCGGAAGGCCAAAACCTTCGTCAAAATTTTGCAATCGACTCCTACGAGTCTTATTGCCGGTAATTTGCCGGGTCGTTAAATGTACTCGGTAAGGAGCCTATTTCTAGTGCATCAAGATAAACTTTATCAAGACTGGAGCTAAAATATCAATATATTTCTTATAATACTCAATCGGGAAGCCATCCAAGCCTGGCGATTTCCCGTTTTTCATGGATGAGATCGCAGCTCTGACCTCTTCTTCAGTTATAGTCTTGTTTTCTGTTCCTCAGAAAGAGTCATTGTAGAGCTGAAAAAATGTCCTCACCTCCTCCTCATGAAGTGCACCAGCAGAGGTGTACAAATCTGATAAAATGATTTGAAAATTGAATTTATTTCTTTTGATGAGTAACCACTTGGCTGTCTTTCTTAATCAAAGATATATTATTTAAATTTTCTTGCTGCTTCGGTTGCCTCGCTAATAGTCTATCATTCTTTGTTTTAAGCCTAAATAAGGCATATTCCGCCTTTTTGTTATAAATGTCATTCAGCTGGTATTTATCATTTGAGTATTGTCTCGCTAAATCCTTCTCCAATTCGCGTATTTCTTTATGTAAAGTTTTTTCCCGTTCTAGATCACGTTTCTTTTGTCGCATATGCAATTATCTTTCCTCTTATATATGCTTCGGACGCTTCCCAAACTGTGGCTACTTTATCTGTGGAGCCCATGTTGATTTCAAAGAAAATTTTAAGCTCGTTTGTTAACTCCTCACTAACTGTTGTTCTGCAACAACATCGTGTTCAGCCTCCAGAGACCCGTCTTTGTTCTGTCTGTGTTTAAATCCATTTGCACCTCTATGATCACTAACGGCAATGGCACCAATCTCACAGTCGACAACTGAATCGACCAAAGACTTTGATATTATGGCGAAATCTAACCTTGAATACTTTTTATGACAATTGGAGTAAAATGTATATTCCCTTGAACTAGGATTAACTAACCTCCAAATGTCCACTAGGCAAAGACCCTCCATCAGTAATCGAGTAGCCTCTCTGTCCCTGGGTTTGTTCTTATTGATTATCTCCGGCCAGTATTACCTGCCCCTCACGATCACACATCTTGTTAATTCTGTGAAAAAAATCTGGCTCTTCTTTATTAGGTGCATAGAAATCACACAAAGCCACTCGGACCCCACTGATTAAAGCTTCTTTATCATTATATTTTTCAGCAACACGAAGCTTAATTTTGTATTAATAAGGATCAAAACACCATTTTGTTTACTTGAATATGAAAAACGGAAATATATTCTGATGTTATTTTATTCAGAACATACCTTTTGAATTTTCAGAGTATTATTATATAAGTATATTTATGAACCCTTGAGAGAGATATGTTTACCTGGTTACTCGGGTGGGGGGTGTCTCACAGGAAGTCTGTGTCGAGTCTGCGTGGGTTCTCGCCCACAGGTGTGAGAGTGACTGGTTGTCTCGCTGTGTTAGCTTTAATATATAATAACATTAGACCATATCAAATGTAACGATTGTGTTAATTAATATGGCGAAATAACGAGACTGTGGAATTTTGTTGTTGTGGTTGAGGGCCGTTTAAAATGATTTTATTTTGAAGGGGTTTACCGGAAGCTGTCGGCGCTGTTGACGCCAATTGGCTGCTTGCCTGCTGCGGCTCGTCGGAGCAGACGGACAAACATGGACGTCACATGTGAGAGAATGACCTGATCATGGACCGTAGAGCCCGCCGCGGGAACAACCAGCACCGACACACAGGTACCGGGGACCGGAGGGGCCGAGGAGAACGGGCCGTGTTTCACGCGCGACTCGGAGCGACCGCCGCGCTAGCTGCGGGTGGGACTAGCTTAACGGAACCGCGTTTAATGTCAACATCTACAGCTGCCCGGTGTGCGAACCGGGAGGAACGGAACCGTGCTCCAGCGGGCCTCGGTGGGCTCGCCGTGTTCCCGCTGTTCGCGAAAGCGGGTCGCGTTGCGGTAAACGCGCAGAACGGGACTCAAAAACGAGCGCACCCAGGCGGCCATTCTCCGTCCGATAATGGAACCCGCGTCCAGCTGGGGCCGCTCGGCGCTCCGGCGGCGGCCAGCGTCGGTCCGCGGGCTCAGAGAAGGCCTAACCCGGAGCTATGTGGTGGTTTTCACCGTTCTTCAGTCTCGAACCTGTTTATTGAAGCGTGGAAATGACGCGTGCAGAGCCCTGTCCGATAATGGAACCCCGTTGGGATGTTGTGGAGGAGGTTTTGGATGTCCCGCAGCTGATGTCCCCCCAGCACCAGCACCTGTCTGCACACCTGTCTGTCTCCTTGTTGCACCTACGAGGCATGTTCAGCGGGGGACAAATTAAAGGAAAAGCCTGCATGAAGGAAGCTGCTGCTGCTTTCTCTTCTGCATCACTCCTCCAGCACTGAGCTCCACCATCATCCTCAAACTCCTGAAGGTAGACAGGGCCCTCTAACCTGCAACCACAAAGCCTGAGCTCAGGTGAAATCCACGGAGGCTCCTTCCTCCTCAGTCAGAGCCAAGCTCACCTTCCCGTTCTTTTTCCTTTAATTTGTCCCTGTCTGTGTTGTAGGTTTGCTTTCATGGAGAACGAAATCATCAGATTATTAAAACGGACAAATCAGAAATCAGCACGGTGAGCTCGATTATCTGATCATCTGGTTGCCGGTTCGAGCCCCGGCTCGGACAGTCTCGGTCGTTGCGTCCTTGGGCAACACACTTCACCTGCCGCCTACTGGTGGTGGTCAGAGGGGCCGATGGCGCGATGTGGCAGCCTCGCCTCTGTCAGTCTGCCCCAGGGCAGCTGTGGCTGCAGCTGTAGCTGCCTCCACCAGTGTATGAATGTGAGAGTGAGTGAACAGTGGGATTGTACAGCGCTATATAAATGCAATCCATTATTATTTATTATTATTATTAAAACTGATCAATACCGATCGATCAGTTTGCTGCTGATACAAACAGCAATCAATAGATTCATATTTTCATTGTACGGCAGGTCAGCGATTAACAAAGGAGGAAAAGTGAACACGAGCAGCAACAATCGAGGAAATAAAAAATAAATGTATTTAAAATTCAATAAAATATAAAAAAGAACTCAAAATAACTCGAACTGAAAATGAAATGTTAATAATTCTGATGTGAAACCAGCTTCATGCAAGTCACATGACTTCCTTCCTGAGGCCTGGCTTGGATGTGATTGGTCCGTGTGACTAGAACAGGTAAACGCAGCAAAGCTGTGGCGGCGAGGAAACCTGAGACGCCCGCAGGACGTGTCGCTTCTTGCAAAGAATTTGTAGCTGCAGAGCGAAGCCGCGGTCATGTGACGGATCACAAAGAACAGGAGCGTGTCAGACGCTGATAACATACCTGCTGCACACCTGAAGGCTGAAAACCGCCCAGACTGTGTGATGTCATCAGAGGGCGTGGCCTCGTAGCAGTTATTTAAATAATAATAATAATAATAATAATAATGGATACTTTATTGATCCCCATGGGGAAATTACTTGTTTTCCTCTGCATTTGACCCATTCACTCAGTGAAGCAGTGGGCAGCCCACTAAGCAGGCGCCCGGGGAGCAGTGTGTAGGGACGGTACCTTGCTCAGGGGTACCTCAGGGTAGCCGTTAAGTGGATTCGAACCGCCGACCTTCCGATCATGGGGCGACCACTTTACCTACTGAGCTATCCCTGCTCCTGATTGGACGTCTGTGGTTTTTTTGCTGACACGCTCCTGTCTCGTGTTAGAAATGAGACCTGCTGCTCAGACCTTTGATACATGAAGGTGACCTTTAACCTTTACTCTGAGCTGAAACGGAGCTGGTTACACATGAGCAGGTTATTACCATTGCAACCATAAAGGGGGCGTGGTCACATTCATCACATTCATCTTCATAATCTGACCTTCGGTGTACCACCTGGATGACCTTTGACCTGACTAACTGTAAATAGTGATGGACTGAATTTGTGGGTCGACTCTGAGACCCGGTCAGGAGCTGGTTTAGTTTTAGTGGTTTGTGCATGAGGACTGGTTAGTGCTGGTTTTAGCACTGGGTGGTTTTAGGGGTGCAGAATGTGGTGGGATGGGAGCGTTACGAGCCGACTGGAGCATAAACTGGAACGCCGCGTCTGCAGACTTGGGGCTCAGCATTCTTCCTGTGATGCGTTCACTGCCTCCGCGCTGAACTGGGACGCGTGAGCGACTCTGTTTCCAGGACATTACGCAACGACTCAGCCTCCATTTGGACGGTTTCATGTCCCGAACGTTGCTGCGGGGCGTGAGCTGACAGTTATGTAACGGGACTGGTCGGGCTGACCTCTGACCTCTGTCCTCCTGTGATGGAAGTGTTTTTGAACGGTCGCCACACGTCCGCGTTTTTAAAAAGGCCTCGGAGGTTTCCTGAAGCTGAAGTCTGCAGGGACTATTTTCAGCAGTGGATTGATCCACAGTCAGTGCAAGATGACTTCCTGTGACTGAAGTGGACTCAGAAGGGGGAAGCTGAACTTTGACCTCTGACCCGTTAGCTGTGCGTGTTGTCATGGATTCAGCGGTCTGAGCGTGCTCTGCCATGTTGGCCGACGTCCAGAGTTTTTTCCTTTTTCCTTTAGAATAACACGAGTGAACTTGAGATCGATTTAGTGTGGCCTTTTAGAGCAGAGTCTGAGAAATGACCTCTGACCTCGGTGGGGAGGTGGGTGTCAGCCATGTTGGAACAACAACATGCAGAAGACACAGCGTGCGTGTTGTTGAGGAAAACGCCTGATTGGTCTGATTCTTGTGTTGCTCTACAAGGCGCAGTTCCTGCCCAACGCGCACGCTGCACGCTCCCGTGGATTAGCTTGCTGCCCCATATGTGGAGTAGACGGGATCGAACCAGCGACCTACAGCATCACCAAACAGAGGTCAAAGGTCATTTTTAGTCTGTTGAACCATGCAGGAGTCGCTCAGTCAGGACGATCACACCGCACACTCGGTGTTTGCCTGCAGCTGTCGTGTTTTGAATCTGTGGTTTTATTTTGAAAGGGTAGCATATTTGTTTTGGGCTGGTATAACTTCCTGTTTTAGGGCAGACAGGAAGTCTGACTGCTGGCTCGGAGGAAGCGCAGGTTTGCTGCTTGGTGACGGTCAGCTGTTAGTTTCGTGCTCTTCAGTTTTTATTCTAGCGGCTCACCTGTGCACAGGTGCGTCAGCTGCTCTGTTTGTCCTTCAGTTTATTGCTGAGCCTCCAAACCTTCAACACTAAAACACACACACACACACAGATCCTGTTTCAGGATGTCCTCTCTCGTGTCCTCCATGTTTATCCTCCGGTTCAGGTGCTCACCTGGACTCACCTGACAAATATGACACTAACAATAACAACATGATCTGATGACTGTTTGTAAGCAGCAGACACTGTGATGAATAGCGTTTTATTTCCTGTGCTGTCATTGGTGTTTCCTGATGTCATCACTGTTATCCGTGATGACATCATCGTCCTATATGGGACCAGGAGCTGTGGTCTGAGGTGTGACTGAAGCAGACGCCGAAGCTTCGTCCTGCTGCCTGTTTGTGTGTCTCGGTTGTTCTTCTTCGTCACGGTTGCTGCATCATCATCATGTGACTTAATTTTGGAAGCTGGCAGTGTGTCCTCGGAGCTCCGGCGCTCTGTGGACAGACTAAATTTAGCCTCGTGTATCTGGACCTCCTTCCGTGCTGTCTGTGTGAGGAATATTCTGGATGCCGGTCAGAGTTTAAGGAGCAGCCGGAGCGTCGCTGACCGTCCCGGGCCTTTGTCACGATGCTTTAAATAGCTCGGCTTGCTGGGGGATTCTAAGCTCCGAGGGCCGAGGACGGGTTGGGATACGAGAGCAGCTTCAGTCACACGGAGTGAAGGCGACTCAGAGTAACAGACAGAGTTCTGGGAAATTTCAGCTCCCTGCTGTCATCAGATCGAAGAATTCATTTAATTATGGACTGAATAACTTTGCTGCTGTGGATTCTGAGCGACGGCGGCTGCGCGACGGCGGCTGCGCGACGGCGGCTGCGCTGTGGGGCTCTGAAGGAGCTGAGAGCTGCTGAGCTCAGGCGGCCGTAATGAAGAGTTTTAGTGTTTGTTTTAAAGAGACCACAGAAGAAGAAGGCCGGTGCAGTTGGAGTGACAGGCACTCAGTGACATCACGATGATGATGATGCCGGTCGGCTTCACTGAGGTTGTTCTTCAGAAAGCTGCACATCCCTGAAGCTCCAGAAGTGTGGAGCAGGATCAGAAGTGCGTCCTTCACTGTGTCCCCGTGAAACCACCTGATGACCCGATGACCTCACCTGTGCCTCAGCGAATCTCACGCACACATCAGAGGTTCTGGGTGGTTCTGAGGGCGGTCCCAGTAAGCTGCTCAGGCAGCGTGCTCGCTAACCTCTGATGCACGCTCTGTGGTTTTGTTCTGGTCCCTCAGCGAACTGCGCGCCGCTGAGTAATCACCTGACATTTTTCGAGGGTGCAGAAAGCATCCAAGTAAAACTTGAGTGGGCGTGGTTCAGGTGCACATCAGCCCAGCTGATCACCGACGGTCAGGGTTAAAGGTCGGGGTTTTATCCGGGTTAAATGTGTTTACGGTGTGGAGGTGAACTACTGAGCATGCTCGTACGGTTCCCTCGGTCTGCTCTCTGCGGCGTTCGGTATGACTAACGTTAGGTAACGGGCGCCGCGGCCTCGGAGCGGTGGACGGGGGGAAGTTTAATGGTCTGACAGGAAATAAAAAATAAAATGCCAGACTGGGACTGGACGCTTCCTGATTGGACACAGGGTCACATGCTCGTCCTAACAGACCAATAACAATAGTGTTCTCGTCACCGACGCTCACGCAAACACACGACTCTTCCTGGGCTCACGCCCTTTTCCTGAGATCTGATTGGTCAGCAGGTGATGGTTTCTTACCTGTCGATCTCTAATCTCGAAGGTGTGCGGCATTGGTTACCATGGTGATGTACCTGGTAAGAAGTGAAGCACCTTCGTAACACCCAGAGCCTGATGGGAAAATGTGAGCGAGTGACCGCAGCCGCAGGCAGTCATGTGACAGTGACGTCACTGAGGCTGCTGATGCCAGTGAGTGACTGCAGCGTGACGCCCCGGGAGACACAGAGGCGCTGTGATTCAACAAACCCCGCCCCCAGTGGCTAGTACCAGTTACCAGTTAACACACACACACACAACCCCGTTCAGCTATCTTAGTGAGGACCTTCATTGACATAATGGTTTCCTAGCTGCGAACCCTAACCATGAATGAACGCCTGACCCTGAACGTAAACCTAATGGTCACCCTGACACTAAAACCACATTTTGAGCCTCAAAAATGTCTTCAAACGTGTGAGGACCGGGCGCACGCACACACACACACACACACACACAGACACACCCACTTCCTGTTTGCTGTCACCTCTACTTCGGGGGAAACAGCGCTGCTTTCACACCTTCCTGCCTCGCCGCTCACGCTCACACTGGAAATGAAAGCTCTATTTTTCTCCCTCGCTGCACCGCTCACTTCCTGTGGCAGCCGCTCGCTCTAACGCGCTGCAGCGAGCGAGGCGTGTGACTGACAGCTCGTCAGCCTGGACGCACGGACCGATCCACGATCGCAGTAAGAGCCCGTTTGTGTTTGTTCGTGTGTTAGGCTTCGTCGCGCTCGTGGTCAGTAAAACCTCGCCGTCTTCTTAGCTCGGCACCTCGGCACGGTCCCGCCGGAGCTGCCAGATTGGTCGGTTTGGTGATCGATGCGTCGCTCAGCAGGAAGTGAAGCGTGCAGTCTGTGGAAGCTAGAGACCCGAGCAGAGCTCAGACACTCCTCTCACACACTCACGCTCACACACATGCAGTGAGGGTAACCTCTGGGTTCGAACAGAACAGCACACCTGAGCCTCACCTGGGCGGAGTCAGGCATCGACAGCTCAGGCGTTTGGCCCAAACAACACACCTGACATGTGGCTCACATCACCTGAGTCAGGTGTGACAGGTGATCAGCTGATGTTTGGTTTGCACAGGTGCAGATGTCTGTGCGGCGCAGGACGATGCTGGGATAGGAGCAGATGGAGGCAGGTGATTGGCTGTACCTGTAGGTCAGGTGACCTCCTGCTCATGGTTCCACGTTTGTAGTACATAGTTTCATGTACTTTGGTGACCTCGTTACACACCTGTGTTACTTTCCCTCACGCCGTATCATCGCAGCGCTGACCTCTAACCAGCGTCAGGGAGCGTGAGAAAACCAGGCGCTTCTTCAGGTGTGCGAGACAAACCGCCGCTCGCAGCGGAGGAGAGGTTCCGGTTTCAGCTGCGATCGGGATTATTATTAACCGTTTCACTTCCTCTTAGGTGCTTCACTTCCTGCTGCGCTCGAACAGTTTGTTGAAACTGTTTAAAGGGTCAGAGGTCAGACTGCTGCAGAGGGAGGCCCGACACCGACAGCCCCACCGTGTTTGTGCCGTTTGGTGCGTTTTAATGACAACGGGCTAGGCGAGCCCAGAGAGGCGGAGCTCTGGTTTGATGAGAGGAGTTTGCTCCACCCTTTTGTCCAAACTGCTGGAGACGAAAAGCTCAAATGTAAAAAGCAGGACCTCAGGAGTGACTTAAACCAGCGGGTGATGTCTGTGTTCTGGAGGTCAGAGGTCAGAGTGTGTGGTTGCCCCTCACGCTTGGCAAGGGCGGGGTTTTAAAGGTTTGAGTGTTTGATGCTGGTCTGTGAGGAAATCTAACCCGTCTCTGGGATTTCCAGTGTGTGTGTGTGTGTGTGTGTGTGTGTGTGTGTGCGTGTGTCTGTGTGTGTCTGTGTGTGTGTGTGTGTGCGTGTGTGCGTTTCCACTGTTGCATATTAAAAAGGGAACTGACTGATGAAAGCAGCTGTTTCAGCTGAAATGTCTGTGATAACTCAGCAAACACAGGCTGGTGCGTTTGATTTCAAGACCAGGGCGCGCCGTCTGATGTCACATTTTATTTAACCAGGTCGGACCCCTCAGGTGTGTGCAGACAGCAGGCGACACGAGCAGATTCTACCTGTGAATCAGCTGCTGCTCGAGCTCCGCACCCGAGCCCGTGTTCACCTGGTGCAGACTGGGTTTATGAACTGGTGCAGACTGGCTCAGTGTTGGTTTGGACTTTCAGCCCATGCACGTTCCTGTGTCACGGAGCTGAGTGGGTTTGTTTCATGTTTGATGTTAAACTCGTGTTTCAGGCTCACCGCGTGGGCCGGGCCTGGTCTTGGTCTGAAGGTGTCAGGTAACGGTGTTCGGGGGTTTTCCTTTCCTACTAAACGGTTATTTTGTCACCGGGGGAAGTTGTGTCGTATCTGCACAGGATGAAGTATTTTAGTGTTTACCACAGCAGCTGACTGTGACTCACTACAGCTCAGTTTCTCCTTTTCTTATTCTGCTTTTAGATCAGCTCAGGTCCAGCTGAGGCTTTTCTGACTCTTACACAGAACCTGGTGACAAACTGGGATTGTGCTCATGGAGGCTGGTTTGGTTTTACTCTGGGTTGGGATGGGCTCATTTGGGGTCTGATTCATCTTGGACCTTGGTTTTGGACCAGTTTCAGGCTGGTTTAAACTGGTCTGGCGAGCTCCTGTAGGCGGGTCCGTCTCTGATGCTGGGATGGAAACTCCTCGGTGGGCGGTGTCGTGTGTGGATGTGCAAACTGCTGAGGGGGTGGAGGTGTGCTCGGTGACGACGGACAGCAGGTTTGTGTTAAAGAGATAACGCCGTGTTTTATCACCTCGCTGCGTGACGTCATTGATGAACAGGAAGCAGGTCGCCTGTCCGCTTCCTGTTTGCCAGCTGACCTCTGACCCTCCGATTGCTGAACTTCCTCTTCAACTGGTCCCTCTCACTTTCACCTTGCGATGACAGCGACGAGCGCGGCGCCGCCCTGCGCGACTGAATATCTCCTCCTCACAGAACAGGAAGGAAAGCAGCTGTTTGGACGTCTGCTGACATCAGCTGTAAAAGTTTAAATCGCGTCTGAGCTGAGGAAGCGGCCGTGTCATCAATAAACCATGAAGAAGAGTCGCTCTGATATTCTCAGGTGAAACGGAGATGCTGAGCGTTTATGCTGAGGTGGAGCGCGACTGAAAAACGCTCGTTTTAAACTTAAAGCTGTGATCGGAGTTTGTCCGAACGCCGTCGCTCACGCTGGAGTTTCCCGGGTTTCCCGAACGCAGCGCTCAGCTGGTCTGTAATTCATGTTTGATGTTAATATCAAATGATTGTTTACCTTCGCACGGCGGTCATGTGATCATGTGCCTTTTAAATCGATACTAACCAAACTCGGCACACGGCTGTGCCCGCTGATGGAGATGTCTTCAGGTTGCCTAGCAACCAGCTAATCACAGCAGTGTAACGTGAACATTAGGGACATCAGCAGAATCAGTAAAAAGTTTTTATTTCACGTTTTCCTGTCATTTGTTTGTTTTTTCTTTTTAGCAGATTAATTTTCTGATTATTGTTTATTTGGATTTGATGGTCCGTTCACTTCCTGTCCGTTCACTTCCTGTCCATTCACTTCCTGTCTGATCTGAATGAGCAGTGATGTGTCGAGTTTTTAAATCGGGTTCTTCGCTGTGACGTCACATGATGGCGTGAAAACATCAGTGAGAGGCTCCACAGCCAATCAGAGGAGAGTTTACAGTTAGAGAAGACTGATTTGAAACACACACACACACACACACACACACACACACACACACACACACTCTTCAGTTTAATCGCACGTCGTAGCAGAATCAGCGTCGGTGTTTACCGTCACGCTCCGTCAGGGCGGATCCACACAGCAGCCTCTCTGCTGCTCTCTGATTGGTTGATTCGGGGCTGCGAGTCATCGTCCCGACCTCCAGTGTGTGTCAGATTCAAGGTCCAGTAATAATCTAACTATTTGAAAAAGTAATCTATTACCCTGGAGCGTATCAGAGTTGGTGTAAATACCGGCGTTGGGCCACGCCTGCTGGTGATGTCACGTTTGCAGTAATGTATTTGGTGTGACTGACTGTATTTTCTGCTGCTGTTCATCTGCAAGCTGCTTTGCAGCCCGCCTGCTGTGGTGACCTGTGCTCTCTGTCCTGCAGTGGAGGATCGACAGGAGGCATGACCGAGGAGAAATGTCCCCAGCTGGTGGACTACTTTGTAGTGGCTGGCCTGGACCCCGCGGGGCCGTGGAGGCCCCTGGACGAGGATGGGAAGGCCGCCGCCTCCTCGACGACGTCCTCGTCTTCTTCCTCGACGGGCCGGGCGGCAGAGCCCGTGACGGACCTGGTGGTGATCGCCCGGGGGCTCGGGGAGGACGTTCCCGAGGGCTTCACCTGCATCGAGAAGACGCTGGGCGGACACTCGGCCGAGCTGAGCGCCGGCCTCATCAACAACCCGCACCTGTACCTGTGTTACCGCCGAGGGCGGGACAAGCCGCCCATCCTGGACCTGGGGTGAGACGCACACACGTTTGTGGTTATGAGCTGTGATGTGTTTAAATCCTCAGACTGGTGCCGGCACGATTTCCACCTGAGAGCCGACTGATTTTGTCGATTCAGAGTTGAAGCTGAATGAAAAAACGTTTTCTTCGTGAGAATTTAACGTTAAAAACATTCGACGTGTTTTATTTTGCGTCAGCTGTATATCAATAAGAAATCCTCGTTATTCTTTTTCATCCAGCGCTCGTTTCGTGGTGTCTGTCAGTAACAGCTGGAGCGTGCGAGGCTCTGATGCAGCTGCAGGGTCTCTGGCTCGTGCGGTGCTTATTAAAGCCGAGGTTATGTCATCCACAGGATTATGTAACGCAGTGGGCAGGCCGTCGTGCTCGCCTCGTTAGTTTACACTCAGTGTTGGGAAATAACGAGCTTAGTCCTTTCAGATTAGGTGGAGCTGCAGGTTTGGACAGACCTCCAACCTCGGAGGGAACCCAGCCTTGTCCGCCTCCTGTTAGCAGGATAGGTGACAGTGGGGAGGAAGAACTGTGTTTAAACAGGAAGGACAGTCGTCTGAGGGCCTGGTTGGGGTGAGGGAGGGAGAGGGTGAGAAAAGGTGTGAGCAGCGTTCCTCCCTGCGGCGGTTCAGGCTGTGGTTAGCGATCATCGCACTGATGGTGCGACCGATGGAGGCGCTCTGATGCACTGCCCTGTCTGCAGGGTTCTGTACGAGGGGAAGGAGCAGCTGAAGCAGGGCTGGTACGTTATTGAAACCACGCCGTACAGCCGCTCGGCGAGCCTGAGCGTGGGCGGCGCCCCCACGGCTCATCGGGTCTTCCTGACGTACCGCCGGGCTCCGGACTCGCAGGGCCTCCACACGCTGGGCGTCACCGACATCGCCCTGCTGCTGCCCAGCAAGGGCGAGGTGGCGCCGCACACCTTCTGCAGAGTCGACAAGAACCTGAACACGGGCATGGTGAGTGCGGGGAGGCGGGGGTGTTTCAGGGGTTTGAGCCCCCTGTGAGTGCTGCGTCACTGACCCTGTCGCTGTTTGTGTGTCTGCAGTGGGGCCCAGCACTGCACGTGTGCTACAAGAGAGCCGTGGCTACAGCCAACGCCCTGGTGTTCGAGGCCGGTGAGTACCCGCGTGACCCCGTGTGTTTTCAGCCTCCTGCAGGAGGCGAGAGTTAGAAACGCTGCAGAGACACGGGGAGGTTCCCCCAGTCTGTGCAGCACAGCTCCCAGCTGCTCACATGGGTGATGGTTTTCATCATATGGAGCTCCCAGTATGCTCCCAGTGGAAAACCAGAACTAAGGGTCGCAATAAATCCAACAGGAAAAGTCAGGATCTGTGCTGGAGTAATCAGAGTATCGCAGGATCTGTGCTGGAGTAATCAGAGTATCGCTGCCCGCAGATCTGATCAGCCGCTACCCGGAGGAGGACCTGGACTCGTTTCCTCTGCCCGAGTCGGTGCCGGTCTTCTGCCTGCCGATGGGCGTCACCGTGGAGAGCTGGCCTCAGAACACCAAGTACCAGCTGCCCGTCTTCTCCACCTTCGTCCTCACCTCCGCCTCCGGGGACAAGGTGGGTTAGCTGGAACCACAGATGATCAGCGGGTGGAGGTGATCCGTTGTGTTGTTTACTGTGCAGTTACAACTTTGATGCTTTAAACCATTGTTACACAGAGCAGCGAGGTCGTCTTTCAGTCCGACCTCTGAACCGTAAACTAGCTCCTAACTCGAGCATGAACCGCTGTTACGTCTCCATCTTTGCTTCGTCCCTGCAGGTTTACGGCGCCGCCATCCAGTTTTACGAGTCGTTCTGCAGAGAGCTGCTGTCGGAGCGGCAGAGCATCCGCCTCGGTCTGCTGAGCGTCGTCGACCGGCGGCCCATCACCAACCGCAGCCTGCAGGTGAAGAAGAGCATCTGCGTCCTCTCTCACTGGCCCTTCTTCACCGTCTTCCAGAAGTTCCTCACCTTCGTCTACAGATACTCCATCTCCGGGCCCCACGTGCTGCCGATCGAGAAGTCCGTGAACCGTCTTCTCTCTCGGTCAGAGGCCTTCACACCGGCCTCTGACCGATAAACGCCTGCCAGCTGATTTAAAAACACGTTATCACGTATGATCTGTGCACAGAAGCGATGTGTGCTGATGTCTGTTTCCTGTTTTTTTTTGTTCCCCTCCTGCAGACACATCTCCAGCTTCATGCACAACGTCCCGTTTCCTTCCCCACAGCGTCCTCGAATCCTCGTTCAGGTAAGACCCAACGAACCGACCGTGCAAATGTTTCGCCTTCTGAAAGTTCACAGCGCTGTCATGTTGTTCCGCACTGATACAACAAACCTGACGCAGGTTTGTGTGAGCTGGAGCAGGAAGTGTTTGTCCTCCAGGTCATTGCATTTGCATTAGATTTCTTCCTGCAGAGCGCCTCGACGCTGCACGGTGGACAAATGTGTTGTTTGTGTGACTGCTTCCTGTGGCAGCTCTTCCTCCCCACAGTTGCCAAGTTTTCCCTCTGATGGACGGTGTCAATAAAACTGAGATCAAACGTGACTGACGTTGTGTAATTATCCTCACTTTGTAGATCGGATCGTGTTTTTCTGATGAAACGCGTAGATGGACGAAAACGCTGTGACTTTATTCTTTGCTCCCTCCTGACAGGACGTAGGAGGCGATCTGTTTGCAGAACAAACCGGGTAACGGCGCCCACTCAGAGCCTCTCCATGAATCACTCTCATCCTGAAATCATGATTTTTAACAAGAAACAAACCTGGGTGATGATCAGTGAGGGCTTCACGTGTGATTTTACTTGATTTGGATTAATCACGTCACAGTCGCTCGTTTATTCCTGGACTTTACCAGTGCGGCTTTGCATGAGTCACAGTTCAGAATAATCCTTCTTTGTCTGGTACTCGGTTCAAAGATCCTTTTAGTTCTTGAGAAGATGGTGTGTGTGTGTGTGTGTGTGTACTGATGCCAGCTGTGTGTGTTCGCAGCTCTCGCCGTACGACAACCTGCTGCTCTGCCAGCCTGTCTCCTCGCCGCTCCCGCTCAGGTGAGTGCCAGCTTTATCCAGACGAACCACAGTACCTTTACCGTCACGCCTGTGTTTGACCTTTGACCCCTGTGTGTTTACGATAGCGGCGCGAGCTTCCTGAAGCTGCTGCAGAACCTCGGCCCAGAAAACGCCTGCACGCTGCTGCTCGCCGTCCTCACTGAACACAAGCTGCTGCTGCACTCGCTCCGACCTGACGTCCTCACCTCCGTCAGCGAGGCCCTCGTCTCCGTAAGACGCGCACACGCCCTCATTCCAAATGACAAAAGTCCCAATGCTTCATCTTTATTCTCGTGGGCCAATTAAAATGAGGGCCCCCGCTGGCCCCTGAGCCACGGATGAAAACACTGAATCCAAAGCAAATCTAGAGTTTGTTCCGGGCGGGAGGATAAATCTTTCCTTGTGATCCCGTCAGCAGGTTCATGGTTTGCAGACAGGCCTGAATCTGTCCTGGAAGTTTGTAACTCCGGTTTCTGTGTCCAGATGACGTTCCCGCTCCGCTGGCTCTGTCCCTACATCCCTCTGTGCCCGCTGCAGATGGCAGACGTGTTGCTGGCACCGATGCCCTTCATCGTGGGCGTCCACTCCAGCTACTTCGACCTGCACGACCCCCCCACCGATGTGGTGTGTGTTGACCTGGACGCCAACACCATCTTCCAGTGAGTCTGACGCCACCTGTGCACCGAGCCCAGGATAGATGGTTAAAAAGCTCCCTTTATTCGTATCTTCAGCAGTCTTCTTCCTGCATCTGCTCTGATAATCTTTGATTATCCACAGGAACCAAACAGTTTGTGTATCCGGCTGTAAACATGTTTATTTCTGCTGAATAGTTTTAACACGGGAGTCTATGGGGCTGCCTCTCTGCTGCCTCTGCTGGACGTCAGAGGAACTGCAGCATTTGATGTTTCAGCATTATCTTCATTGGAGAAAACTTTCCTCTTCCTCGTTTCAGGTCAGATGACAAGAAGCCACTGTCATGGCGTTCGTTACCCAGGAAACACGGCAAGATGCTGTTCAACGTCCTCACCAACCTCCACAAGACGCTGGAGAAGAGTGAGCGACTGCAACGGCTGAACACATGAACCAGTGTGTAAACAGGGTTGCGTCATTTAGTGACTCTCACTTCTTGTGGCTGCAGTTTGCACTCCCGGCCAGGAGGAGGCGACGCTGGAGTTCCTGCTGACCGACTACGACCAAATCTACAGGCGTCAGAAGCAGCTGGAGCTGGAGATCCAGGAGGCCTTCCTGCGCTTCATGAGCTGCCTGCTGCGAGGCTACAGAGCCTTCCTGCTGCCCATCACGCAGGCGCCGTCCGACACCACCACCGACTGCAGCTCCCTGTTCAACCTGCAGGGTGCGCCCTTCGTAACGTTGGCGGCTTTTGTGTGCAGAGCTGTGAATCGGGGCGTGTGATGCACACGCTGTGAGTGAAGCTGCGCCTCTTCCTCTTTGTGCCGCAGGTTTCCTGAAGTCTCGCGATCGAACGCAGCAGAAGTTTTACACCCAGCTGACCAAGACGCAGATGTTCACCCAGTTCATCGAGGAGTGCTCGTTCGTCAGCGACCGCCACGCCTGCCTCGAGTTCTTCGACGAGTGCGTGCAGAAGGTCAGAGCGGCGATGCTTTCTCGCGTTGCTCGGCTAGCGCCCAGCTAAGGTTTTGATTGGTGTTCTCTTGCTAAGCAGGTGGACGTGGAGAAACCGGAGGAGGTGAGGCTGATCGATCTGGACGAGACGCACAGCGGCGAGCACACCGTCTTCATCATGCCTCCCGAGGAACCGCAGGAACCTGATGGGTCTGAGTGCCCCGCCCTCTACAGGTACAGCTCCGCCCTCAGGGGCCATTGAAATGGGTGGGGTGGCTTGTTTGCTGTGGAGGTGGGAGGATGGTCAGGATGTTAACCCAGGTGACCCGTTTCCTTCTGTATGTTAGCCAATGAGCTTCCATCCTTCTGCCATCACGTAGCGTCTCGATGTGAACAGACCGTTTCAACACTTTTCATTAAACACGTTTTTATTTGCTGCGTGCAAACAGACTGAATGGCGTCCTCTCGGGGAGGAGGAGCCACGTCAGCCGTACCACCTGCTCACACTTGTTTCCCTCTCACCTGTCCAGTTACGAGACCTTCCCCACCCTCAAACTAGAGCTCTTCGACCAGCCCCAGGACCAACTCCGCGTCCCAGCCAAGGGCAGCGCTCCCAGTAGCCCCGCCCCCCGCCGCACCAAACAGGTAAGACAAAGATACTGAGCAGAAATGATCTGGTCCCGTGTTGTGTTCATTCGTGTGTACAGAGCACGCTCCGACGGGAGCAGCGATGCGTTCAGGGGAGCGCCGCGCGTGGAGGTTTCCTCCCGTCCTCTGAGCTGAAGCTAGCTGTGACCCAGTTTCCCTCAGAGTGGAGGCGAGAGGAGGAGCTTTAACAGGCGTCCATTCATCATTGTAATTTAATGAACTGGTATCAATATTTCAGCACTCATTAAACATGCAGAGGCCACAGACGGCGTGACTGAGAGCGGCACAGACGGTGTTTTCTGATCTGAGCAGGAGGAGAGCATGCTGGGAGGATTTAGTCAAGTACACATCGCAGCAGTGCTGTTAAAGCTCCTCCTGCAGGAGAGCTGCAGTTTCATCAGTGGGAGTGAATCTCATTTCTACTGCTCGCTGAAAACCGTCACAGCCTGCAATTCCTCCCATGTCCACTTGAGGCTCCACGCCTAGCCTCAGCCCGCTCTCTGCTGTCGTCGAGCTAACTCACTGGACGCTCTGCAAACACAGACGACAGGCATCCTGATTAAACTAATAGTCATAATATCAGAGCTGTGATTGGTTCCTGTGAGCGATGCTCCTGGAAGTGCTGACACTCTGTGCGCAAAGAGCTGCATAAGAGCAGCGTGCTGCTGCGACGCCGGTCAGCTGTTAGACCGCTAACATTCAATAATGCGTCCGATCCTCAGCTGGACTCTGAGTGCTGTGAGTTTAAAGTCTGAGATTATGACTCAGGTCAAACTGTCACAGGTTTGTAGGCTGGCGTCGGTGCTGGGAGCAGAGGAAGGGATCCTGATTCTGCTGGTCGGAGACCAGTGCAGGCTTCCACTCTGTAAACCCTGCAACAGACTCGGGACCGTGTTCTGATCTGGAGCTCCACAGGGTTCTGTCTCGGGACCCCGTCCTGTTTTCTTTGCACGTGCTCTCTGCAGGTCGATCACCAACATTTACAGCTGTATTTACTAGGGCTGCAACGATACACAAAATTCACGGTTCGATATTTTTTCGATACAAAAAATGTTCATGCCTTTTTAATTTGTCATTTATTAAAATTATAAATATATATTTTAACTCAAAAGTACAGTTTTTAAATGTAATGTTGCTGAAACAACAAAGGGATAAAAAAATAAATATCTGATGGAGGAATCCCTCATCTTTGGAAAAGAGAGTTTATTACAGAGAAATGGCTCTTTCAAAATAAAAGCTCTACTATCTGCTTCTTCTGGGCTATATTCTCAGCAGCATATTAAACATATCAGGTCCCCATAAGGAGAATCCTGTGCTAACGGCTGTCTAAATGACTCGGGTAAAGTTTGTAGCATGGTGCTTGTTGTCTTTGTCTTTGCACTACGATGATGTCGGAGTAAATGTGCAGTCATATTCGTTGTGTTCCCACTAGTGCTGTCAGCGTTAATCTGAAATGTCGTTAACGGCACAACACGGCAAATCTCCGTTAACGAGCTACCGCCGATCGCCCCGTGCGTGGGGCTGGACGGCCAACACGTTAACGAGCTAACTGCGCTAACACACTAGCTCCCACCCATGTAACTGAGCATTGCATGGCACATCCAACATACTGTTTTACTTTAGTCCATGACGCGCTTACCTTCAGGGTCATACGTCACATGAAAACCAAAATAATTCCAAACGCCAGATCTGAATGAGGGTGCGGGAGGTTCAGTTTGCCATGTTGCAACAAGCTTAGCTTCTGTCTGCTAGCTTGCGCTGCGCTCAGTGAATCTGCATTCGACTACTCCGCCTAGGCTGCACTGTCGAGCGCATCGTCAGAAGGAAAGTTGATAAAATAAATTACAAATGTTGTATTGTTCGATACATATGCGTACCGAACCGAAAGCACTGTATCGAACGGTTCAATATCGATACGAATATCGTTGCACCCCTAATATTTAGCTTCCTAGAAGTGGCTGTTAGACGGCTTGCTGTGTGTTGGGTGTAGAAACTTGATCCTTCCTCAGTTTTTTACAGCGAAACGATCCAAACTGGAGGAGACTCTGCGCTGTTCACTGAGAGGTTGAAGATGAGCTTCAGAGCCTTTCATTAAAACACAAGTTAAAAACTTTGCAATAATCTTGACAGCCCAGAATAATCTCAGGGCTAAATGTGTAAGCATGACTTTGTTTAGGCTGTAATGCAGCGTGCAGCCAGTGCTCAGTTTATTCTCTAACGCGTGACTCGGACGTGATGCTGTGATATTCACATTTCTGTGTTTAAATCTAAAACGTTGATTTTAAAGTCATGATTCAGACGCTGAACACCTGCTCTGACCACCTCCTCCTCCTCCTCCTCCCTCCAGGAGATCAAGTTGGCTCAGAAACGGGCCCAGAAGTACTCGGCAGTGCCGGACATGTGGTCCAAGTGCCTGCTGGGTCACTGCTACGGCCTCTGGTTCATCTACCTGCCCACCTTCGTCCGTGCGGAGACCGCCAAGGTCCGCGCCCTGCACACAGCCTACGACGTCCTCAAACACATGGAGAACCGCAAGGTGGTGCTGCCGGATGAGGTGAGGCTCAGACGGGGTCAAAGGTCGCTGCTGTGACATGTTTATTTGACTTGTTGACCTGAGACGTTTAGAAAAATCCACCCGAGTTTCAGCTGTGACAAACTCGCAGATCGTTGGAGCCCCGAGTGCTGACACGGAGGACTCGAATATGATGATATGAGCACCAGGTTACGCTGTGTGTGTGTGTGTGTGTGTGTGTGCGTGTGTGTGCGTGTGTGTGCGTGTGTGTGTGTGTGTGTGTGCGCGCGCAGGTGTGTTACCGGATCCTGATGCAGCTGTGTGGTCAGTTTGGGCAGCCAGTCCTCGCCGTCAGAGTCCTGCTGGAGATGAAGAAGGCGGGAATCACACCGAACACCATCACCTACGGATACTACAACAAGGTCACACACGCACAGACACACAGTGACGTGGCGAGGACGGTGCGCGTCACCTGTTCAGGTGTTTTCCTGATGTTACGGCGTGAACTCTGAACGTCCTCGCTGACGCCGTTCTCTCTCCTCAGGCGGTGCTGGAGAGCAAGTGGCCGTCGACCAATCAGGGCGGGCGTCTCCGCTGGGCCAAGCTGAGGAACGTCCTGCTGGCTGTGGCCCAGTTCAGACAGCCAATCAAACGGCGGCAGAAGAGCGGCTCCGTGGGTTCGCGTGGAGGTCAGACATCTTTAAGTTTATGATTTTAATTTTCAGACGGCGGGGAGCGTTGATGGCTGACCCCACCATTACGCAGGAAGTAGCCCTGACCTTTCATTTATACGTTTGGTTACAGAAACGGCGGCGGAGTTTGACCGAAGGCCCCGCCCCCACTCCTCTCTGATTCGTCAGTCCAGTTGGAGCGGTCTGAGTGAAAGCTCGAGTCACGAGTCTCTGACTGGCCTGCTGGTGAAGAGCAACAGTCTGAGCAGCATGAAGATGGCGAGCGACAGTAAGAGGCGGCCTGCTCAGCTTCGCCGCGTCCTCCTCTTCCTCTGTGACATCATCGTCTCACTAATTCTCCTTTCTGCCCCACAGAGGTCAAATCGGGTAAGAAGTCCGTCCTCCGTGAGGCGGGGGCCAATGGCTGCGCAGACGCCGTCTCCCGTAAACCCCCGCTGGGACGGCGGGACACGTCCACGCCGCCTCCAGCGCCCTCCGGTGGAGCTCTGGTTCAGCGGAGTCAGGTCTGCCTCTCCAGCTTCTACAAAGAGTGCGTGGAGTCAGCCGACTCGGAGCTGGACTTGCCCGCTGAGGCAGACAGACGGTCAGTTTCACCTTCACCTGTCTGACATCGATTCTGGCCTCTGATTGGACGTTTCTTCACCCGTGTGCGTGTTTGATCCTCAGACCTGCCGACGTGCAGGGCTCGTCCGGCAGGAACAAAGCTGTCGATGAGAACTACAACAACGTCTCCTCCCCGAGCCGAGGAGGACTGGCGGGCAAACTGCAGCAACTCCTCACGCCGACCAAACACCGAGTGTCCGTGCGACGAGCCGCCAGCGTGGGCGACCGGCGCCCGGGAGGAGGGGGAGGAGCGGGAGGAGGAGTGATTGGACGAAGAGTGTCGGACCAGAGGCCGTCGAGGAAAGGTCAAGTGGCCGAAACTCTCCTAAAAGCAAAGGAGAAGCTGGTCAACGCCACATCAGAGGTAACGGCGGCGTCTTCGCGTTTGCTCGTGTCAGATCGTTGCTCGGAGGTGTGTGATGTGAGCCTGCAGCTGTTTGCTGCTGTTGATGGAAGTCTGTGTTGGTTCGTGAGCATCGTCTGCACACATTCCAGTATTAAAGTGTTCCTTGTTTTTGCTCCTCGCAGGTGTTAACAGACTCTCTGTCACTAATCTACTTCCTGTCTTCTCAGAGCTCGCTGTCTGTAGGAAGCGACCTCGACTTGATGGATGTGCCGAGTCCTGCGTATCCTCTACGCCGGTCCTGGGACGCCAATCAGGAGGGGGTGGGAATAGAGGTAAATGGAGCGTGTTTAGGAACGCTGCAGCAACTGGACTGGTCCCGTCGGTTAACCTGAGCCCCTCCCCCCGTGTGTCCAGGTGTTGATGTCCAGCTGCTCGCTTTGTCGTAGCTGCAACTCGCTGGTTTACGACGAGGAGATCATGGCGGGCTGGACATCGGACGACTCCAACCTGAACTCCTCCTGCCCGTTCTGCGGCTCCTCCTTTGTTCCCTTCCTGAACGCCGAGATCTGTGACCTTGGACCCGTCAGCAGGTACAGCTGGTTTAGCACGTTGCTGTGGCCTAAGGTAACCAGAGGTGTTCCTGCAGGACGGACGGCTGCTGGTGGTCAAACTCCAGAAGCATAGATCGTTTATGCCGCATTGACAGGTGTTTCCTTTCCGGAGCTGACTTTTCTTTGCCTTGTCAGTGCGGACCGCTGCAACTGGAACCTGGAGGACGAGGTGGAGAGTGCCGTGAGGCCCCCCAGTGGTCACGAGGCGTCCGTGCGACCCCAGTGTAACGGGCTGAGCGAGGACTCCAGCTCCGAGACCAGCAGCTACTCCGAGACCAGCAGGACCACCACGGTAATGCTCCGCAAAGCCGTTTCTCTCACACATCATCCTCACCGGACGTCTCACTCACAGACTCCACCCCCTCCATCAGGGTTCGTCAGTGGGCGGCGTTCCCCAGGTGACCGTGGCCTACCTGAGCCCTCTGGTTCTGAGGAAGGAGCTGGAGAGTCTGCTGGAGAACGAAGGCGAGGCGGTCCTGGCCCAGCCTCAGTTCCTGGACAACCACTCCATCATCTTCTGGAACCTGGTGTGGTACTTCCAGCGCCTCGGCCTGCCCAACAACCTGCTGCAGCTGGTCCGAGCCTCACCGCTGGTCAGCCAGTTCACACAGGTAACACAGTTAGGTGAAGTTATGGCAGCCAGGTGGGCGTGTCCAAGAGGAGAGAAAAACAAAAAGGGCAAAATGAGGTCGACTGTGGTGAATGTGGGGTCGGCTCGGTGCTGTGTGCCGGCTGGGGTTCGATGTTGAATTTGAAGCCTGCACTTTGGCATCACGTCCACCAGCAGCGTGGCTTTTTTGTCTGCATCGACAGACTGTACAGGACACCTGCTAATCAGTGACATCCCGATAAAACCTGAGCTCACGCCGCGGTGACCTCACAGCAGGCATGTTATCGGTTAGATGACGCCTGGCTGACTCTCGTCGTTTGTGTTTCCCAGTCAGAGAACTCGGCAGTGAGAGTGAGACTCCTGTGGGACACCCTGACCCCCGACACAGACCAGTGGCCCCCCCTCTACGTCCTCTGGAGGATCCACAGTGAGATGAACACACGTTTATTGTTGAGTTGTTGACTTTTTAACATTTAAGCATTTAAGCCGCCATCCTTCTTTCCTTCCAACAGGTGGCGTCCTGATGAGAAGCTACAGCTGGCGGAGGCACAACCACCCGTTCACCCTGTCCTTCCTGGAGGAGGTGCTGCGGTGGGTGGGCATGAATGAGGTGCACAAGGCCGTCACGCTCTTCCTGGACACGCTGGCCAAACAGCCGGGAACCCCCAGGATCCAGAGGTGAGCCGGCAGGCGCAGAAGTTTGTGAAACGGAGACGGGCAGCAGCGAGACGACCTGAAAAACGTTCAGCTGAGGTTTTACTTTGATGCGGTGAGATGTGAATTTTGTGTTTTCTGTCTGGCAGGAGTCTGTACAGAGAGTTCCTCTTCCTCACGCTGGCAGCCATGGGCAAAGATCACGTCGGTAAGAACACGCCACAGGCTAGCAGCTAGCATTATTATTATTAGTATGTTCTGCATTCGTGTTTGTGGGCGTTTCCTGTGAAGCTGATGTCTGTGAATAAATTACAGACATGGACCAAAGGAAGAAATGTTTAGATTTTGGAGGTCAAAGGTCGAGGCTGCCCGCCCGTCCATCCACCCAATCCACTCATCCATCCACCAATACATGCATCCACCCACCCATCACTAAATTGATGGTGCGAACTCTTGGAGTCCACCATTTAATCTCCTAACACGTCATCAGGAGGTGGAGCCTGGTTTCAGATGATCGCCACACAATCAATTTAACTTTATTCATACAGCGCCAAATCACAACAACAGTCGCCTCAAGGCGCTTTATATTGTACAGTAGATCGTACAATAATATAAAAAGCAACAAGAGTACAATAACCTCAGTTTGATCTGAATGAAGAAGCAGAAAGTTAGCGGCCGTCCGGGCCTTTATGTCTTTAAGACACTCAGGGAGTAAGAGCCAAACCGTGAGGCCCTGCAGGGCTCGAAGATCGCTCAGGTCCATCCTCCTGTCGTGTCACTCTGCAGTATGACTGCTGAGCTCCTCACGGCACCATCAGCAGACGTGTTCATGCTGCGTGGAGACTGCTCCCAGCAGAACAGAGTAACTGGTCAAACAGTGTTAAATCAGGAAGCACACGACTTTGACGGCTGTTCCTTTACATGGGTGTGGTCTGTAGTTCAGTCACAGACTCGCAGATTTTAACCTTCGACATCTTTGAGGTCAGCTGTTCGATGGTAACTCCTCCTCCTCTCTCTCTTACAGCGGCGTTCGATAAGAAGTACAAGACGGCGTACTCTCGGCTCAGCGGTACTCTGGGTCGGGAGGAGCTGCGGAAGAAGCGAGCACAGCCTCCCAGCCCGAAGGCCATCGATTGCAGACGCAGCTTCCACCCGCCTCTCGAATGCTGAAACGGGTCCTGGTGACGTCCCCCGCGCTCGTTCATCCCTGCGAAGGGAAAACGGCGAGCCTTTGGATCCCCGCTGCCTTCACCTGCTCGTGTTCTTCACCTCTCTGCTGCCTCCAGGTGGAGGTCGGAGTGCCGCACTCCTTCCTGTCCTGTCCTTCTTTTGCCTCGTCGGTGTGAATCCAGACGCTCTACGGCTCCATCAACGATCCTGAAAGTAGATCCGGCAGCAGGAGACAAAAGGAACGCACTTCTCTCAGCAGCATTCTGAGCCGTGATTGGTGCAGCGTCGAAGGCGAGGGCTGGTTAGAAGCTCGGGCCGGGCTGCCTGATTTAAAGATGCACTGCATGGTCACGGGCGAGCCTCACAGTTTGTTTTTAAAGCGTGGTCGAGAAGGACTTTCAGACGTTTTTTATTAGTGTTTTTGAACGACTCGTTGTGCTGGGAGTCGTCCAGAAGATGGTCGGCCTGTCACAATGAAGCTGCAGTTTGAGTCTTTCCATGTGACCACAGAGGCCAAGGTTAGGACACAGGAAATGGCAAAAAACCCAAACCTCTCACATCCTCCAGTCACCGCTGGATTCCCTCTGCAGCTTTGTGGTGCTGGTGCACATCAGCGAAGCACGACTGAAGCAGGTGACCTGACACGAGCTTCCACGGAGGCGGAGTGAAAGTCTCGGAGAGCGAGTTAGCAAGCTAAGTACAACAGCGGTCACCTGTAAAACCCGACCAGCGACAAAGATCACCGATCATAACGAGTAGAGTAACCTCCCCCACACACGGCTGTAATCCTCTCATCCACCGCCCGCTGCCTGACCTCCACGATGAAGCTCGAACTATTTCCTGTTAGAATCCAGATGGCAGTACAGGAAGTTCCCCTCTGTTTGGACCTGGAGACTCACCTGGAGGCCCGACGCACTCATTCGGGAAGTGCTGTGTGATGTGAAATCTGTATTATAACAAAGTGTAGATATTTATGGCTCTAATAAAGCAGAGGGTGTAATAAACAGGTTGTTTCAGCGGCAGAATGCAGAGCAGAGCTTTTTGATGGAGCTCAGCGACTCAGCGTTAAGGCTGAAGAGGAAAGAGGACGATTTAATGCACGCTGTCATGTGTTGATGCTCGGAAGCTTCGCTGGTTTCAGCTCAGAGCGTCTGGTTTGGGACAAGCGAGGTCAGAGGAAATAAACGATCCAATTTACAGACAAGTTTCCCTTGAAGGCGTCGCCTTCGCCTTACGGTCCGCCCTGCGAGCACCAGCAGCTACCCTGACCGAGGAATCCGCAGGTCCAGATGATTTGAATCCTGACTCGCTCCGTCACGTCTCTGAGGGTCTTCTAGTTGTACCTGGAGCATTTAGCCTTGCATGGGGTCTTTTATTTTGAAAGGTGGCTTGTTTCTGACTTCCTGTTCTCTGCTCTGAGTAGCTTGGTGTGGTTTCTGTCAAAAATAGCACCCCTGCTTATTTTGAGCAGCAGGAGTCAGGAGTGCCGCATCACTGTGCCCACGGCATTCTGGGTAACACACCTTACCTGATCTGAGAGCTCATTGGTTGTTCAGATAAGCAGTGGGTGGAGCCTCTGCAGATCTTTTGTTAGTTTTTTTTTAAATATTAAAAAACAAAAAACTTCATGTTTCCTTTTGAGGCCACGTTTGCTGCACGGCTGATGTTTTTGTTGGGTCGTGTGTGATTGTCCTGAACCAGATGCTCAGTTTGTGACCTGATGCCCGTTCACGTCTGGTCTGTCAGCTGACCCACAAAGCTAACAGTTTGCTCTAGGGCGTCTCAGCAGCAGCAGGAATCAAACCGGCGACTTCTCACTGATATTTCCAGCTTCATATTTTTAGTGTCATGGAGCAGCTTTGCATGATTCACAGTTCAGAATAATCCTCCTGTGTCAGGGCTCAGCCCCTCAGTCACCCTCTGCTTTGGCTACTGTCTCTTAAGCTGCCAGCTTTCCTCTGATTGGACAGCTTGCAGAAGCATGCGGGGGACAGATGGCTGAATAAATGTGAGTTTTTGGTTTACAGGGGGGGGGGGCACTGTAACGTGTTATGAGACTAAAGCACGCTCACGCTGATGATTGCGTCATCAGTGAAATAGTTCCTGCTGCAGCCGAGCGCCCCGGAGCCAGGCGTGAACTTCAAGCTGTGGTTAAACTCGTTTGAGTCTGTAACCAGCCAGCTGACCGCCTGTGGTTAGAGCCGGCTCAGGCGGGCGCATTTAAACTGATATTGTGTTTGCTGTTGTAATTTATAAATGCTCGTGATTTCAGTTGTAAATGTTTTTTAAGAAAACAAATAAAAGTGAGTAGAGTTTGCAAATACATTAAATTTATGATTATTTTGGTGTGATATTTCACAGCTGGTGCGGGCTGCTGGACTTCACCGCTGTGAAACTTCCACGTTAGCATTTTAGCGAATCTCTCTTTGAACTAGAGCTCCGACGTCCGTAACCTCACAGCACCGTCACATGACGTTATTAAAAAGTCAAAAGCTCAGAGTGCAGGTGAAGCTAGCGGATGGAGCCGCCGCCTGTCAGTCAAAGAGGCCACGCCCCAAATGCCAACTTTCAGCCTTTCAGCAATTTAAGAATAGAACAGAATATAATTTATTTTATTTTTATTGTCATTTTGCTCCAAGCCAACTGTGCAGGAATAAATAACACACAGGAGAGAAAATAAAGGCACACAATGGAGGGCAAGGGGCAAATTAATGCAGTTCATTTAATCCGCAACGGAACTCGCACAGTATTCCCGACAAAATAAAAGCATAGTTGGGTTTTGAAATTTCCAGTAAAGGACAAAACTTTTCAAACAAAGATAAATGTGTTAAAATTGCGTTACATGATATCCAGATATCCACAAAAAAACGTCCAGTGTATGCTCGCTCCCTGTTCATTTCCCCTGACATGGTGCTGATATAACGGTTTCATTTCAAACACTAGGATTTGTAGGCTTTATTTTGAAAGGTATGACCGGATGTGTATGCGTGTGATTTTCTCGGACGTACGGCGCTCGTGCTTTCTCAGCATCGCAGTGTGAGCAGGTAAATCTTTGTGGTTGAACCCCCAGCGCTGAGTCCAGTATGAGGCCCGCGGGGCTGACGGGATCCGGCCGGGAGGAGCACTGAGGAGCCGAGAGGCCTGCTGGGAGGCCCGGAGCGCCGCAGGAGTCAGGTGCGTTACATCCAGGTTAATAACCCGCGCGCCGTTTGCGGGTTCCATAATAAAAACCTGCAAACGGCGCGAGGACTGTGTAATCGGTGAAACGTGCGAACACTGAGACGTCTGCTTTTGTCTTGGAGCTGTAAATGTTAAAAACAGCGACCTGCGACGGCAGGTGTTGGATTCTCATCGTAATCTGCGCTGTTAGCCTTCATCATGCAGAACTACATTTAAAAATCTGCAAAATTAAAGATTTTTATTCAGCAGAACAAAAAAATCAGATGACTAACGTAAATTCAGTTTTCTTTCACTACGTGCTGCGATTCGGCTCGTTTATAAGTGGTGGTGCTTTTTCCCTGCCTCGTCCTGTTTATCAGGTTTCCCTCAAACGGCCTCACGGAGTTTGATTTTTTAGCGCAAGGTTTCGGGTTTACTGGCCTAAACCTTTGCCGAATTAAAGGATGACTAATTTGGGCCCTTCAATTTTTATGAATGAAGCTTAATCTTTTGTGAATATTTACTTATAAATAATGAAATATAAACTAGTCATTTTCTGAATGGTACCCTGAGGAGCGTGGAACAGCCAGAGCGATGCCTGGAATGGATTTTTGCGCTTTTAGCTACTGATAAACAAGCACGTGTTTGCTTCATGGGGAGATTTTTTTAATATCAAATTGGGTTTTTTGGCCTCGCGGGGCCGAAGCTTTGTTTTCAGTGACAGCGTGGCTGCTTCGTGCTGCTGGGCGGGGCTCCAGGTGGCGCTGTCCACCGTGACGGTGCTGAAACCGTGCAGGGAGGACCACGTCGCTGCTGTCAGGTGTGTGAGGAGCAGCGACGATTTTTTAACCTTCTGTGATCGATCGTTTCAGGCTGACGGACCAACCATGTGGGAAAACATGCTTCTGCTACTGATCCACGCGGTGGAAGGTAAAACCATTCAGAAATGTGGACGTGTCAAAAATGTCAGCATGGATTAAAACGTGTCATACCCAGGACTGTTTAACCAGTGTTGGGAAGGTTACTTTTAACATGTATTCCACTACAGATTACAGATTACATGCCCCAAAATGTATTCTGTAACGTATTCCGTTACGTTACTCAATGACAGTAACGTATTCTGAATACTTTGGATTACTTAATATCTTATCATGCTTTTTACAACTACATGAATGTCCTACTGCCCTTTGCAGTATAAAGCTCAGACGTCTGCAGGCTGCGGGTGTCTCTGCAGCGAGCGGACGCCCGCAGTTCATCAGGAAAAATGTAAAGCTGTCTCTCTTCGCATGCATCTTATTAAACCCGTTTCTCTTGCAGCTGCAGTGGCATCTCAGTGCTGGCAGGGGGCGACCTTCTCCGAGGCCGTGGTGTCTCCCGTGGTCGAGAGCAGCGGTATTCTGCGGGTGCCCAGCGTGTCGTCCCTGCCGCAGTGCGTGGCGGCGTGCTGCGACCTGCCCGGCTACGACTTGGCGTGGCTGTTCGAGGGCCGCTGCTACGTGCTGAGCTGCCAGCAGAGGGAGAACTGCCAGCCCCGGCAGACGCCTGGCGCCGACTCGTTCCTCGCCTTCCTGCGACGCCCGTCCCCGCAGACACTGGTGCTTCAGTCCTTGGTGAGGGGGGAGCCCTACGGCGGGCGCTGGAGGCCCCTCTCACGCTCGTCTGAGGCGCCCGGCGACTTGGAGGCCCTGAAAGATCTCTCCCTGTTCGACACGCCACATCGAGGCTTCCCAGACCCCGGGATGCTGGATGTCGAGTACTCAGAGGACAGCCAGGAGGAGAGGGGTGGAGCCAGCCCAGAACAGGAGACCAATCAGCCACCTTTGAAAGGGGGGGGCAGCTTCAATCAATCAGAGGCTGAGGATGGTCCAGAGAGGAGGCCGACAGAGAGCAGCGCGGCCCCGGGCGTGCGCCAGGGAGAGGAGGGTGGGGCCAAGAGACCGACGGAGGTGGCGCCACAGGAATCAGTGAGTTCAGAGCGTGAGCTCATATGATAACTGTCTCCATGGAGACCAGTCTGCAGCCTGTCATTGTTCTCCCTACAGACGCAGAGCAGCTCCACCTCTCCACCCCTGACACCCGAGGCCAGCTCAGAGCTAGCCCACACCTCCAGCAGCCCCACAGCAAACCCAGGTAAGCACCTCCGTCAGGTCAGGTCAGGTCAGCACACCTCCGTCAGGTCGCAGGTTCACTCCAGTTTATTGTTTTAAAGATAAACTTTAGCAAACGTGTCTGAAGAGCCTCACAGGTCCTGTCCCTCTGACCAGTGGAGCAGTAACTTGTCCTCCACATGCAGCTCCACCCCTGCTGGTGTCTCTTGGAAACCCCGTAGAGGCGACCACAGTGAAACCCGCCACTCCAGCCGCCACTCCAGCTGCTCCTGAACCTACCACGTCAGGTGAGTTTATGACTAAAAAAATGTTTGTTTAGATCAACATTTGATCTTTTTTAATATTTTTATTTAGTCTTTTTTAAGGAAAAACAGGTTATTGAGTTCATGTCAGGCAGTGGAGTCGCCCCCTGCTGGTCACTGTAGATGGTTCATGTTAAACCAGAGACTGTCACGTGTAGGAGTGTAGTTACTGCCCAGGAGAAACTTTGTGGTGGTTGGAGGTGACTCATTTTAGTAAGTGGGTGGTGTTCACCTGAGACAGTGTGAAGGTCAAAGTTCAGTTTAAAGACAAACAGGTGACCTCAGAGAGACCAGGTGAGGAAGCAGGTAAATGAAAGGAAGAATTTAACCTTCATTTCTCGCACAGACGCTGTGAAGATGCTTCAGTCTGCAGCCGGAACTCCACCTTCCACCACCCACCTGACTGTGACCTCTGACCTTACTACCCCGACCTTGTCAGCAGCCAGCTTTAACCCTACGACTGCGACTGAGTCAGCAGGTAAACTCGACGGGTTTAATGCTTTCTGTGGCTTCACACCGACTCTTTAAACCTCCTCTCGCTTTTCCAGCTTCAGCGTCACAGGTTGGAGGGTCAAACCGCCGTCCGGTGGCCGTCGTGGGCCCCGACAGGAGCCTGTCTCTCCCGGTGAGCAGCTTGCTGCTCAACGGCAGCGGCAGCAGTGACGACAGCGGCATCGTCAGCTACCGCTGGGAGGCGGTCAGGTAAGTCTGGAGCCTTTTTTCATGTTCCTGTGACTGAAAGATCAAATTTGTTCAGTCGGGTTTCGTGTTTTCCAGCGGGCCTCCCGGGCTGAGGCTGGACGACACAGATCAGCCCGTCGCCACAGCCTCGGGGGTTCGGGCGGGGCGCTACACCTTCAGACTGACCGTATCTGACCAGGAGGGGGCGACAGACAGCGCCTCGCTGACCGTCAAAGTCCCAGAAGGTGAGCGACTCGGTGTTATTTGTGGAAGGCGGAGCTCTTCCTGTCAGACTCGTTTAAATCACAAACACGCTAATCTAAGGTCGTCTGCTTCCTCCAAACTCCAGCCGGTAGTTTTCTTCCGGTCGCCCACGCCAGCGGCAGCCACTCGCTCACTCTGCCCAACAACTCTCTGGTTCTCAGAGGTTCGGTGACCAACGCCGATCAGACCGCGGTGCACTTCCTGTGGACCCGGGACAGCCAGAGTCCTGCTGCCGGGGTGAGTTCCGACCGGCGCTGTGACGCTTCAAATCAAACTTTATTAACGAGCGCAGGTGACCCGCGGGAAACTAAACTTCAGTTTAAATCAGTGGCGGCTCATCGACCTCACACTGTGTGTGTGTGTGACGGAGTGACCTTTGACCTTTGCTGGTTCCAGGACGTACTGTACGGCTCGGATACTCAGCCCTCGCTCTACCTCGCCAACCTGGTCGAAGGCACCTACCTGTTCCAGCTGAAGGTGACCAACGCGCAGGGGCGCTCCGGCTCCGCCACGGCCACTGTGGAGGTGCGACCAGGTGAGGCTGGAAGCTCGCCGTTCGTCCCGTTTTGTGTTACGCAGGCATGCGCCGACATAGATGTGTTGTCCCACGTGTCTGCAGAGCCCGGCGGCGGCGAGCAGGTGGAGCTGGAGATGCTGGTGTCGGTGTCTCAGGTGAGCGTGGCTCAGAGAGACACGGTGGTCCGACAGCTCGCCGCTCTGATCCACGTCCTTGACAGCGACCTCCACGTGCGAGCGCTGCAGGGACACTCCCACATCAGGTACCTGCACGCACCGCGGACTTGCCCCTCCACGTGCCGGCTCGCCATAACCTGTGATGTTTTCTCTGCTTGCAGCACCGTGTTGCGGTTCTCCGTGCACGGCACCTCGGGGCCCCTCTCTGCCTCCCGATTGGTCGGCGTGCTGCGCAGCCAGCTGCTCTTCGAGAAAAGCGACTACCTGTTGTTCAGAGTCCTGAGGGTGGACACCGTCTGTGAGTCCAGCCGGGGCACGGCTCACCTGTGACATCTCAGAAAGGGGCGGGGCATTTGTCTGTGTTTAACGCGCTCGTTTTTCCCTCAGTGTGTCTGCTCAGCTGTTCGGGGCGTGGTCAGTGCGATCCAATCACCAAGCAGTGTGCCTGCGACCCCTTCTGGACCGAGAACCTGATTCGTCGTTACCTTGGCGATGGAGAGAGCAACTGCGGTAAAGTATGATTTGTAGTCTTCGGTCACGGCAGCGGGTCATTCCTCACGTGACGGCGAGAAACGACAGAAAACTTCATTTACATTACAAACTCGTTCACAACGAATCCTTCAGTCGTTTCTGTTTAAACAACTTTCACACAAACTTGTGACGTTTGTCCCTCGACTGCTTCGTTCGTCTGCAGCAGCAAGTTGAACAGGATGTGAAACAAAGTTCAGTCTCAAAGTCCAGAAACTTGTGAACGGAGATGAAACATCATGTAGTGAGTTTCATACTTTTCTGTCTTACTGGCTGCAGTCAGCCCGTTTCTGACTGCAGAGCTGGGGCGGGGCCTGTGAGCAGCGTCCCCAATCACGCCTCGCTGGCTTAAGACAGAAAGAACTGGGTCCTGTTGTTGTAGCCGAAACGCTGCAGCTGCGCGTGTAAGGCGACAGCCGCACACGGTGCTGCAACCCGGGACTGGGGCGTGACAGACCCGCCCACATGTTCGCACTTTTCACGACACTTCTTTATTGCGGCTGTCGACTTACACGCGCAGCTGCAGCTTTGCAGCAGATGCGCATATTATTAATGTAACTGCAGCGAATTTCTTTGTTCCGCTGTGAAAGCGATGCTGATGTTAAACATGAGCGCCGCGGGACTTTTCTGCCTGGTAACTGTGCGTGTTAGTGTCGTCACTGATCCATCATCACCTTTATTTATAAAACCCTTTAAAACAACCCCAGCTGAGTGCTGTACATTGGAACTATAGAATAAAATTAGATATCAATAAAAGCCAAATAAAAGAAAGTAAACGAGGCCGACAGCAGCAGAGACTAATGCAGGAACCAGATTTGATGGTAAGCTGGTCTCCGAGTGCACGGAGGGAGAAAGAGCTCTTTATTCAAACTGGCCTCCAAACGAGCAGTGAAGCCTGTGCACACACCTGTAAATGTACCTGTACGCATCACACAGCACACATTCAGGTGAAGCTCCGCACGAGCCGCTGACCTGTCGGCTGTGCTCCTCTGACAGAGTGGAAGGTCCTGTACGTCATCCTGACCAGCTTCGTGCTCGTCGTCCTCATCCTGTCACTCGGCTGGACGTTCATCTGCTGCTGTAAGAGGTGAGGACGCCGCTGCAGGTGATAGACTGATCCCAGGTGTGCTTCCGTGCGTGAACTGGTCTCTGCTGCTTTCAGGAGACGACAGACCAAAGCGAGGAAGAAAACCAAATACACCATCTTGGACAACATGGACGAGCAGGAGAGGGTGGAGCTCCGCCCCAAATTCAGTGAGTCACATTGCCATAGTCCGCCTGCGGAGGCTGTCGGGGTCGGTCTGCGGCGGCGTTCTCGTTGGTTCATGAAGTCGTTTCACTGCGGCTCAGTTAGTCGTCACCTTGGAGGCGGTCCTGCGGGGTCGCTGATTCACTCTGCAGCTATCACGTGACCAGGGTGTGGTTCATCGCTCTTGTCCTTTCCCAGGTGATCCATGCGTTCTCCTAAAGGACTCCCACCTTGGGTCATGTGACTGAGCTCAGCTCAGCGACCTTCGGGACCTCAGGTAAGAGCAGAGTCGTCTTCATGAACCAAAGCGAAGCCGCTTCCTTCTTTTAAAGCACCTGACTGTTCCCACGTTCCTGGGAATGTCCCGCTGTTCTTTAGAGCAGACGTTTCCCCGGAGCGGCGGGAGGTCGTCCTCCATCTTTATTCAATGACTGAGACTTAAACCATGACCCCCGCTGACCTTTCCCCTGTGCAGGTATCAAGCACCGCAGCACGGAGCACAACTCCAGCCTCATGATGTCCGAGTCGGAGCTGGACAGCGACCAGGACACCATCTTCAGCCGCGACCGGCCGGTCCGCAGCAGGAACCGCATCAGCACCATGGCTGCCCGCAACGGCGACGCCTTCGGATGACGGGGCGGCTGACCTCTCGCAGACGCAGAATGGTGCATTCTGGGACGTGTATGAGGGACCACATTACCCAGTTTTCAAGAGAATGCTAACATGTCCCATTTCAAAGGACGCAAGGAACTCGAGACCTGGAGGACGGACGCGCGTCTGCTCGGACATAAGAGGAAGAGCAAGAGGGCGGGACACATCAGGCATCGCACCACCGCCACGTGCCCGATTCACAGCTGTGAGCTCGTTAGCTAACAGAGCGCTCACCAGGAAACACGGCAGAGTCAGCTGACGACGGCGTCCGATCACACGGTCGTGGTTCGTTTGAGCCCGGGTCACAGACGCCGTCCGCCGGGTTAAACTTCATCAACGTTTGTTGGCTAACGAGAAGCAGCGTGTGAATCAGAGACGAAGGATGTGAGCCGACACCTCCGACATAAACACACCAACACAGAAGTAACACAAACTCGTCTTTAATGTGGTCAGAATACAAAACGCACACATGAACTTTGACCCCATCAGCTAAAGTCACAGACAAACATCCAGGTATTAAACTGCTACGAGAGCGTTTCACACGTAGACGAGCCGAGTCGACAGGTTTGCACCCGTTCGTGTTTTCATGGCTCGATGCGGCGCCGGCTGTCGCTCTGTCGGCTTCGTTTCCAAAGGCGCGTCTCTCATCACGCACAATTTCTTTAGGAATGAATCAAGTTTCACGATTCAGGAGGATTCATGCGAGTTGGAAGCTTTATGGACACTCGCTGCGCCACGGGTGAAGCAGAAAATAATTTTTAAAAACAAGTTTCATCACAATGTGGCGGTTTGTTAGCCCCTCCCCTTCAGTTTACAATCCCTTAACACTGATAGCCAATCACAGCAGACAGGGCAGATAAACGGACTGAGTAGCGCCTCCTACTGGTGTGAGTTTGGGCAGTTCAACCAGTCTGAGACGGGTTCAGATAAGTTTAAGCTTCGTGCTGGTGCCGAGTGTGTGAGCGTAGAAGCGACAGCTGATTCAAAATGTGATTTACAAAGTCCGATGTTGGACGTTTTTGATCCTGCATGAATTCAAACTTTATTGAAGGAGTTATCACGTGTTAATAAAAGAATCCGACCACCTCCACCGAGTCACAGCTTTTGTACCGCCTCCTCTTCCTCCTCACGGTTTGAGGCCTCCAAAGCACATGTACTTCACTTCCAGGTACTCGTCGACGCCGTACTTGGAGCCCTCGCGGCCCATGCCGGATTCCTTCACCCCACCAAACGTGGCCTCTGGCGTGGACAGCAGCCCCTCATTGACGCTGACCATCCCCACCTCCAACGCCTCCGCCACCCGCCAGATCTGACTCACATCCTGTGAGTAAAAGTAACCTGAGAACAAAGGAGGAAATTAGAACTATGAGGCGCCGCCACGTGAACCTTTCTTCTACTGGGTCAGACGTTAAAGTCTAATTTACAGCTCTGAGTCCTGCTCTCGGAAACCGACACGTCTGCGACGACGCATGAACAGCCCGCGATCTGCAGTCTAGGAACCAATCGGCTGCATGCACGCAGGTGGACTCACCTGCCAGCCCGACGCTGGTCGCGTTAGCAATAGCCAGAGCCTCCTCCTCCGTGTTAAACCTGCAGATCAGACACAGGCGAGCTCAGACGGCTTCACGATGAACAAGAATCTGCGTCTAGCCAGGATTAAACCCGCAGATCAACAAATCCCGTCTCGATCATCTGTCTGGACTCACCTGATGACGGGCACGAGCGGCCCGAAGGTTTCCTCCTTCGTGCACAGCATGTCGGCGGTGACGTCGGCCAGCAGAGTCGGCTCCATGAAGGAGCCATCGAGGCGCTTCCCGCCTTTTACCACCTTCGCCCCGCGGGACACGGCGTCCGAAATCTGATGTAGCACCTGGGAGGCAGAGACGGCGTTCAGCGGCGTGCTGGTGCGGTCTTTAAACAAACTTCAGTCATTTATCGTCGGCAGTAATGTGGTGTCATGTAATTAATATATCCTTAGTATCCTTATTTTATTGCTTTATGTATTTTAATAATGAAGGTTTGTAGACTCACAAACTAAGCACTCAGCCAGGCTGAAAACAGGAAGTGTAGAGCTGTACAGCATGTTAATAAATACAGGAAGCCAGACAGAAAAGAGGAAGTTTGCCATATAACAATGTTTGTATTGAAACTGTGACGTGTAAAGTACCAAAATAACACCAATATGAGGCACAGGTTATGATTCTAATGTTAGAGATGCTGCAACTGGCGTCTGGGCTGTGCAGGGGTCTCTTCAGAAGATGATTGAATAAAAGAAATAAATGTTCTAACGCTGAGTCGGTTTTCTCTGCTCTGTCACGGGGACGAAACAATCCGGGTTAATAGTGGAAACGGCGTTTACCTTCTCTGCGGCGCGGGTGTTGATGAGCGGCCCCTGCGTGGTGTTGGGCTCCGAGCCGTGACCCAGACGCAGCTCGGCATCCATAGCTCGCCCCAACTTTTCCACGAAGCGGTCGTAGACGGCGCTCTGGACCAGAAACCGGTTCGAGCACACGCACGTCTGCAGGAAGAAGAAGCGTTAGTGTGCACAATGGTGGCGTTCACCTGTGGAACAGGTCAGCAGGAGACACCCTCACCTGGCCTGAGTTCCTGAACTTGGATGCCATGGCTCCGCCCACCGCTTTGTCAAGGTCTGCGCTGTCAAACACAATGAAGGGGGCGTGGCCACCCAGTTCCATGGATACCTTCTTCACGGTGTCAGCGGCCATTTTCAGCAACACCTGAAACCGAAGTTTTATTTAAAGAAGAGTTTCTGCTTTTTATGTGGATCTGCGGGCGGCGGCGCTGTGGGCGGTGCTGCGGGCGGTGCTGCGGGCGGCGCTGCACTCTGACCTTCCCGGTCGCCGTGGATCCAGTGAAGGAGATTTTAGCCACCAGAGGGTCTGTGCAGAGGACCTGCCCGACCGAGGGCGTCGACTCTCTGGAGCATGGAACCACATTGACCACCCCTGCCGGGATCCCCGCCTGCTCCGCCAGCTGAGGGGGAAAAAAAAACACGCCAAAACACAGGAAGTGACTCAACAATGTGTGTCCCACGAAGAAACAAAGTGCCGACCCCTATCCAGATGTTTGACGTACTCACCTCTGCCAGAGCGAGAGCCGAAAGTGGCGTGTCCTCAGCTGGTTTAACCACCACCGTGCAGCCGGCAGCCAGCGCGGCGCCGACCTTCCTGGTGATCATGGCGCTGGGGAAGTTCCACTGGAAACAACCAAAAGCAAATTCTTTGCGGGACGTCATGTGATGGATTCATTAGGGGTGGGTTTTGATTATCGATTAAAATCGATTCTAGCTTGGATAACGTGATATCAATTCATTAACGAGCTGCTCACCGGTGTGATGATGGAGGCCACGCCCACCGGCTGCTTCAGGAGGAGGAGCTTTCTGTCTTTGGCTGGAGATGGCACAATGTCACCGTAGACTCGCCGCGCCTCCTCAGAAAACCACTCGAGGAAGGAGGCGGAGTACGAGATCTCCCCGAGAGACTCGCACATCGGTTTACCCTGCAACACACGCACGCAGACGCAGAGACACGCAGACGCAGACACACGCAGACGCAGACAGACGCAGACGCAGACACACGCAGACACACGCAGACACACACGCAGCAGGATAAAGATGAGTGTTTGTTACAATAAACACTTTTACAAAAACTTCTTGAGGTTTTCTTATTTCGTCAAACAAACATTTTAAAGTAGTATTTATTTGAAAAGTACTACAGTACAAGTACTCACTCGTTGCTGACATGTACTGCATGTTCAGGTGTCCTACAGGTGAGTTCATGTGTCATACTCACACATTCAAACGTGATCAGCTGGGCGAGCTCATCTTTGTGCAGCGTCATCAGCTCAAACCATTTCCTTAGCAGGACGCTCCTCTCCTGCAGGACGACCAATCAGAGCAGAGCACGGGTCACCTGCACGCCTTCATCGTCACATTTAACCGTTCGCCCCTGTCCCCCGCCAACATGCTTCACATTGATGGAGACTCGGAGAGAGAACTTTAGTTTCATCAACAATACACAAACAATTCTCTTATTTACAAAAAATCTATATAAACTTGAGTGAAGGACCAGAGTGAGGAAACATCCCGTCCTGAGTTTATGAGCTGGAATGTGCAGAAAATAGGTTTAAATGTTAAACTAATTTCTTCCAGTCAGAGAATGTTGCAGATAATTAAATGTTTGCTTGATGCATAAAGTTAAAAGATTAAAACTAATAAAACAAGTTTTAAAAAGAGACTTTTCCATCTGATTACATTTTATATGATGGATTATGCAGAAAAAGTAGAATTGGGCTGAAAGATCTATCACTTTATCACCTACTCAGGTTGTAAATCGTGTTTTTAAAAAGCAACTAAGTAATAATAATAATAACAATAATAATGGATTGGATTTATATAGCACTTTTCAAGGCACCCAAAGCGCTTTACAATGCCACTATTCATTCACTCTCACATTCACACACTGGTGGAGGCAGCTACAGTTGTAGCCACAGCTGCCCTGGGGCAGACTGACAGAGGCGAGGCTGCCATATCGCACCATCGGCCCCTCTGGCCAACACCAGTAGGGTAAAGTGTCTTGCTCAAGGACACAATGACCAGGACAGGGAGCCCGGGGGATCAAACCGGCAACCTTCCAGTTACAGATGTGCTTCCCACCCCCTGAGCCACAGTCGCCCCAAGTAACTAACTAAGTAATGAATTACTTCTGAAAATAAGTAATCAGTAAAGTAACGGGATTACTTTTTGGAGGAAGTAATCAGTAATTAGTTACTGATTACTTTTTTCAAGTAACTTGACCAACACTGGCAGATACCTGCATTAAACACCTGCTGTCCACCAAACTCCGTTCAAATACGGCGTAATTGTGCTGTCAGCGGGGAAACCGCGTCTCCTTACTGCAGCTTTGTTTTGTGACTGTTTAAGGGGCGGTGCTCATCTCGGCTCACGTGTCTGTCTCCTGTCTGCGAGTCATTCTTCACCTTTGATTTGTGCGCATCCGCTCCGAGTGGCGCGGCAGCAGGAAGACACTTGTTAAAGTTTGGGTTTAGTCTAAAAACGGATTTCTGTGAATTATGAGTTAACCGAATAAACATTTCCAAACATTTAACGGTTACGAAAGCTGTTTGACGCCATACTCAGTCAATACTTATAATTTAAGGTAAATTTAGTTTTTTAGTGGAGTAGGGAGGGCGGAGAAGACCATGAAAGAAAGTTTTGGATTTGTGTGAAAATCCGTAAATCAGGTGGTTTCTGTGTTAGCCGTATTAAAGTCTGACGTGTGTGTATAACATCTTTGAGATAAACTCCGTCAGTCAATGTCAATCATTTGCGTAAGAGTTCCAGGCTTTGAGTTGACTACGGAGGGCAGAAAGTCCAATTTAAACAGTGAAACCTGCACATATCGTAGTATCCGGTGAATTTTATGACATCCGAATAAATGTCTGGCTTCTGTCAGTCGGGAAGATGCCAGCGTTGGGGTGTTTCGTTTAATTTTCAGGGCGGAAATGGGACATTAATTTTAAATAGTCGGTTTTTAAAGTGGAGTTCTGTGAGAGCGCAGCCTACCTTGGCCGTGTACTGCTTCCAGGAGTGAAACGCTTTGTACGCAGCGTCCACCGCCTGCTTGGCCTCCGCGGGGCCGCAGTCCGACACCCGGGCTATCTCCTGCCCGGTGGCCGGATCTAGGACGGGGAACACCGAGGCAGCGGAGATCCAGCGGCCGTCCACGTAGCCCTGCGTCCGGAGGAGCGGAGCGGAGACATCCAGGCTGTAGCTTCTGTGCATGGCGGCGGGCAGGCCGGGGAGGAGCTGCCGGAGGAAGCAGCGGGTCTTCAGCACGCAGACAGCAGCGGACATACCGGGGGGTGTGGAGCCGGGGAGCCGGACTCTATGCTGGATGTTTGATCCGTTCGTTCGCGCAGGTCTGCAGCTGGAGCCTCTCGCGGGTTTCCGTCGGTTTCAACCGGTGCGACAGTCACGTGACTCCGTTCAAACGCAGTGAGCCTTCCGTCCGGAGCCAGTGTTGCCAACTTAGCGACCTTGTCGCTGTATTTAGCGAGTCTTCAGGCCCCTTAGCGACTTTTTTTCTAAAAAGCGACTAGCGACAAATCTGGCGACTTTTTCTGGTGTTATTGGAGACTTATTTATGACGACTTTTTGACGTGAAAGAGCGTGTTTCAAATTCAAAATTCAAAATTCAAATTTTTATTTGTCACGTACACAGTCATACACAGTACGATATGTAGTGAAATGCTTGGACAACTGCTCGTGACCTAAAGAAAACAAAAAAGGAAAAGGCTATGAATAAGATAGGAAATAAATATGAAAAATTAAAAAGGGTAAATTTAACTAGGAAGGAATAAAATATAAATTAAGGTTAAAAATGAAACAACTGTACAACACAAATTAGAATGAAGGGTAAATTTAACTGGGAAGAATAAGATAAAGATAAATATATAAATTAAAGTTGAAAATAAAATAACTGTACAACAAAATACACAATATAGAACTATATAAGAATGTATGAAGAAATCTAAATATAAATAAATATATACACAATAACAGCGTTGCTCTTACTCTCACCAAGCAGCGGTGCTGCCGTGGGCACCTCACCCGTGCCAAAGCGCTCACGGGCGGAGGACAGTCCTCCCCCCGCTGCTACCAGGGCAGGAGACGTTCACACCTGTGCGTCCAAACGGCAAATGAATCGCGCATGAGTGAAGCCGCTGCTCCGCACTGACTGTAACGCAGTCAGTTCTTTTACTGTTATGCTGTTTTGGGGATCACAAGGTTTAAAAGTACTTATAAACACACACACAGTAACTCCACCAGAGCGCCTATCTCGGGTCACTTTTGCCGGTCCAGGCAAAAGTGGAGCAGTGGCATAAAGGAGCAGGGTTGGAATTGTGACATTAAAAAAACAATAATTGCTAAAAGAAATTTAATTCGTAGTTCTAAATAAACTATAAATGCATTTAGGACGTTTTTTACTCACTTTGTCTCTTCCACGATGTTATTTCTCTCTCCAACAGCGTAGGTTACAATAACATTAGCATGACCAATTATGCAAATTAGGCGATGACGTCATTTGGCGACTTTTAGGACAGCCAATAGCGATTTTCCTTACTGAGGAGTTGGCAACACTGGCCGGAGCTCCCTGTCTCTGCCGGGGACAAGTTTGTTTTTGGAGGCGGTAGAAACACACATACCCACACCAGTACCATCATCACCATCATCATCGTCGTTGTCGTAACATGATCAGAGGAACAGAATAAAGGTGAAAAAGAGTGAAGCTCAGTGATGGTTACCAGCAGGTCTGAGGTTATGCTGATGATATTCTCTCTTCAGCCTCCATCAGCATCTCCCACAGTGGTCTATGAAGCCGAGCCAAGGCCTAGTGCAGCTGGCACAGTCTGAGAGAGGAGTCTCATCCACACTCCGAACCCACGGTGAAGAAGGTGTGCAGGTGTGTCAGGGACCTTTCTGTAGGAGGACAGGATGGTCTCCTCCCAGTCCAGATACACCTGCGCCCTGCAGCATCCCGATGTAGGAACTGGGATGCTGATGCTTTTGATCATGTGATGTTGTAGGTCCCGGCCCTTTCTTTCCTCCCCCCTCCGCCTCCCAGTAACAGCAGCCTGCTGTCACCCAGTCGGGGTATGACTGCCCCTCCCTCAGCGGCTCGGGCCCTAACCCAACACGTTTAAGCTGCCAGACACAGGTACTGGAACCCTCCAGTGTGATCATGTCTGTGGGTTCAGTGGTGGGATCATCACCATGACAACCTTAGTCCAGATACACAAACATTGCAGGTTTGTTTAGCATTAGCATCACCACTAAACCAACATGACTTGCTTAAATTTGCCTGACAGCAAACCTAGATTGATATTAGGTATGTTATAAAGATAACACTTCCCATTGGTTCCTGAAAAGTGTTTGATATAAACAAAGGTCCCGCCCCCCACATTGCAAAGGTATGACATCATAACAATGCGATTGATCCCTTGCATGGTTATGGTGATGTAGGAACAACACAAGCACTCTGGGCTCAGTGTTGCACCTTCTTACCGCTCAGTGCACACTGCAGCATCTGCAGCCACCTCATCCAGATTCATCAGAAACCATCACATCATTTTTCTTCTTACAGCTGAGACAGTGTCTGACACGTAGCGTGCGATTCTTAAAATCCATGTAACACCCTGATACAGGGCAGTGCAGAGAGGTTTAAAGGGGCGGGTGCTCAAAGTTAAAAAGGGGCACGTTGAACCAGGCTGAATAACAACAACACACATTCATCAAAAATCTAATATGGGAGGGCAGGGCTGTGTTGAACTGAGACTGTAGACATTAAAAAGTCCACAGGAGAGATGGTAGCTGATTAAACAAGTGTCATGAGATAATAACTAAATGCAAAGATTGGTGACAGCGCTTAGGCTCTGCCTGTGAATCACTCTTTGCTTCTCTTCTTCCTTCCATCCCATCATGTAATATATCACTCTCCACTTGCTGTCTATCTGAGAACAAGGCACAACTTGTTATTGCAATAAACTATAATCTAATTATCCACACCTAACAACTCCAGCACTTAATCTATAATAAAATGATGACAGAAAAATGTTATAGCCCTGCCTTTAGTAGCCTCACACAGCTCCTGCTGTTTCCTCCTCATGTCCTTACCAGCCATGTCTGGACAATGTTATATCATGAGTAATATATTTTTTTAAATCCATATACATAAAACACACACATGCACGCACACACAGTGACATGTTAGACCTTCTTCAGAATACTGTATATACTATGGGCATCATGGTGCTGATCCAGAATCCTTACATATTTATTACTAGAGCTACAATAATAAAGCAATGAGGAGGGGGAAGTAATAAATATGAAATAATGTATTTATGATGATTCCATTTGTTTCACTATCCACTCTGTGCAGGGCAAAGCTTATTACATCTTTAAACTGTAGAGATACAATCATTTTACTGCTGTAAAATCCAAATTTTGTCTTATTTAAAATATAAATCTAATATAATCTGCTTCTTAATGCATGTTCTTTAAAATACAGCGTGTGTTTTAATATATTATAATAATGCATAATTATGTGGACATGCATATTAGATCGTTTTTTAGTGAAATATAATCCCTCCAGAAAGGCAGGAAAAGCCCGGAAACTTACTTTAAAACTAAATATGTTCCCTAAAACGGTGACAGAGCTACAGACCCATGACAGCCTTACACAGGTAGCCAGCAGCTATGACCAGCACTACCTGTGCAGTTAATAAAAGGACAGGTAATGTTTGTCGCGCTGTTGCACACACAGCACGCTCGTTTGTTTCAGTTTCAGTTTCTCCTGCAGCTCCGGACCGCTAAAAATGCGCGTGCTCTTTGTGAGCTCGTTCCCGGCTCGTAACCAGCGCGTTCTGCCGTCAAGGGCGATCATTGGTTAAATGTGGTCATGTGACTGATGCAAGCCAGATCCTTTTATTTAGCAAAACTGTGATTAATAGTTAAATATTATTGTTGAGGGGCACAGACAGGACTCCGCACTCACACACACATAAAAAAAAAATAATTTTTTTTTTAAAAGTTGCCTCAACAAAAGGGCACTTTGGGCACCCATCAGGAAAGGGGCGGGTGCTCAAGCCCCTCCAGCCCCCCCCCCCCCCCCCCCCTGCACGTGCCTGCCCTCATAAACACGAGGTCCCGTGTAACTTTATTTCATGTAATCACTGACATTACTGTACATCTCTGTAATGAATGTTTTTCTATATTTCTGTCGAAGGGCAGGAGGACGTTGTTTCCATGGCCACACATTTGGGGGGACACAGGCACGTGAACACATATGATCAGTGTTGGTCAAGTTACTTGAAAAATAATAATAATGATAATAATAATAATGGATTGCATTTATAGAGCGCTTTACAATGCCACTATTCATTCACTCTCACATTCACACACTGGTGGAGGCAGCTACAGCTGCAGCCACAGCTGCCCTGGGGCAGACTGACAGAGGCCAGGCTGCCATATCGCGCCATCGGCCCCTCTGGCCAAAAAGAGTAATCACGAAAAAAGTAATCAGTAACTAATCACTGACGCGTTACAACGCGTTACAAGTAACGCGTTACTGCCCATCTCTGCATATGATATTTCCGCTGTTGCAGGCTGACTTTGGTGGATCACCCAAATATCACCCAGCCCCTCTCAGCGCGTGCACGCTGCTATCAGCTATAATCAGCTGATGTGAAGAAATGAAACTTAAGGAAACACAGAGCGGAGGAGGCGCAGTTAGAGATCCGCGGCGCACTCACACCCAGGATGGGGGTTCAGGGTCTGACCACCTTCTTAGACAACCACCAGAAGATTTACCGGGACGTCCAGTTCGGCAGGAGCCGGCTGGTGATCGATGGATCCAACCTGTACCACCGGCTGTACTTTGAGTCAGGTGAGCAGCTCCGGTCTGAACTCCAGGAGTCTGTTCAGTTTGTGAGCTGCAGGTTTATGCGCACCCTCTTTACTGACGTCATTAAGGTCACTGATTCTGCTGATAAGAAGTATTAGTACTATTACTTAATACTGCTGTTAATACAAACGGACGACCACCGGACAAACGGAGGTGTGACCGGCAAAAAATGTGTGTGTGCGCGTGTGTTTGTGTTATAGAAGCAAGAATTCGTTTTAAAATTCTTGTTCTAACATACAGAGCATTAAACGGCCGCAGATTATTTATCCAAGCTTCTTCTAAAACACTCTGCGGCTCGTGTCTCCGCGCACAGACTCTGTCGGTTGTTCCTCGAACCCGTCTGAAGACAACAGGGGGCGGAGCTCTGGCACCACGGCTGTGGACCAGTTGATTCTGTGGATTCTTTTTAAAAGCAGTTAAAAACTTTTCTGTTCAAACAAGCCTTTTGTTGATCTACGTGTTTTATATTCTTCACATTTTTAATTTGCATTTAAACCTTTTACCTTGTGTATAATGTCTGTTGAGTGTACTGTTTATTATAATCTTTGTGTACAGCACTTTGTGACTGCCTGTCTGTGAAAAGCGCTTAATAAACTTTACTTACATAGTGCACGCGCGCACGTCTTCCCATGCGCGCACGTGTGATGAATGTTAAAACAGATAAGATTTTAAACGTGTCTGAGTCATTAAACCGCAGAATTATGAAACCTGACCGCTGCTGTTGAGCTCTGCAGATGTTGCTCTGGTGTGTGATCTGGATGTTTGGCTTTCAGCTGTTTTACACTAATGCGTTACTGTAATAAAGTAAGGGATTACTATTGCAAAAACGGTAATTAGATTACCGTTACTTTCCCGTAGGAACGCTGCCTTACTGCGTTACTAAAACCGTGATTTTTTTGCGAGAATGTCTCACGACAGTGACGTAAGCGAGTGCGACGTTCGTGACAACAGCTGTGTGCAGATCAACAGTGGATCATATATCGAGTGCAGAGAGAGTATGAGCGTGCAGCGTTTAAAGCGTGGAAGTACTGACCTTACTTTGAGTTTGATTCCATACAAAGTGACAAAAACATTAGTGTCCGCTGTGCGTGGGAAGAAAACTTCTTTTTACAGCGAAAAAACCCCTAAACTTCCAACAAGCACCGAGTAGCTACGACGTAATGGGAAATTCACAGAGACACTCGCGGATTCTTCCACTGACCGCAGCACACCTGCACCAGGGTAAACCTCCGCCTACCCCACTCCTGCTTTACAGGTGAAAATAGAGCAACAGGACCACTGAGTCTTTGACTTTATTTATGTTCTGCTGTGTTTTACTTGCATCTGTTTGAAAGAGTGAGTGAAAACACAAAAAATATTTTATTTTATTTTATGTGCAGAAAATAGGTTTGAATGTTAAACTAATTTCTTCCAGTCAGAGAATGTTGCAGATAATTAAATGTTTGCTTGATGCATAAAGTTAAAAGATTAAAACTGATAAAACAAGTTTTAAAAAGAGACTTTTCCATTTCATTACATTTTGTATGATGGATTATGCAGAAAAAGTAGAATTGGGCTGAAAGATCTATCGCTTTATCACCTCTTCAGGGTGTAAATCGTGTTTTTAAAAAGTAACTAAGTAACTAAGTAATTAATTACTTTTGAAAATAAGTAATCAGTAAAGTAACAGGATTACTTTACTGACTACGTTTTTGGGGAAGTAATCAGTAATTAGTTACTGATTACTTTTTTCAAGTAACTTGACCAACACTGCTCCTAACCAACCACAAAGTCACAGAGTTCAGAGTTTAGTGAGTTACTGACCCAGAATCAGCTGATGGTGCACTAAACTCAAAAACCTTCAGACTGTAGACAGTCACGTTTGATTCAGTCAGATCTGAACCCACAGACTGAGCTCATCAGGGGAGATTACTAAGCTCAGAGATCATTTTCCCAACCTGAGGAGTCGCCCCCTGCTGGAGGCCTAAGTCCCTACAGCTTCACTGTTCAGAACCAGAATCTATAAAAACCACATTACATTTAAATATGTGTAGTATGGAAGCCTTTAAGGTGCTGAGGGAACATCACAGGATCAGTATCTGAAGTACTGGTTTGAGTTCATGCACACTTTCATCACTCAGACGTGCTGAACATTACGCATGTCCTGGATATGTAAAACTACTCACCTCAGTATTCTTTGACCTTCCTGACATCTTCTCGAGCTTCCTGATGTCACAGCATGGTGACAGCATTTGTTTCAGACAGTTTCTGCTTGATGTCAGTTCAGCATGGTTTGTCGCCACGTGCAAAACTGACTCTTGGAGTCTCTTTGTTGTGTTTGTTTTGGCTGATTCTTCAGGTCTGGACCAGAATCACGGCGGGGAGTATGCTGCCTATGAAAGCCTGATTGAGAGGTTCATCACAGCCCTCAGAACCTGCGAGGTCGATCCTTACATGGTGCTGGACGGAGGCTCGGACCACACCAACAAGAAGCTCGAAACTGTGACAAAAAGGGCAGAGCAGCGGATCGAAAGAGCCCATCGAGCAGCAAAGGACGGGGGTAAGGAAGACATCCGGCCAATTATGACCAAGTGGGTGTTCAGACAGACGCTGACCCGGCTGAAGGTCCCGGTCGCCCAGTGCTTTGGCGAGGCCGACCGGGAGATAGCCGCCCTAGCTGATAAGTGGCAGTGCCCAGTGCTTTCCAACGACAGCGACTTCTACATCTTCAACCTCTCAGCAGGATTGTTGCCCATCTCTTACTTCCAGTGGCAGGATGTAAAGGGGAATGGCTCAAAGAGCTACATCCCTTGTAAGAGGTACTATACCTCCAGCTTCTGCATCTACTTCGAAATCCAGCCCCAGCTCCTGCCCACCTTCGCTGCCCTGGCTGGGAACGACTACGTGAAGCTGCCGAAGTTTATCTGGAGTCGGTTTGCCCCAGACGCCAGTAGGCCTCAGAGCCGCCTGGAGGGCCTGCTGTGCTGGATGAAGGACTTTGAGCAGCCAGAGGACACCTTGAAGGCAGCAGTGGAGCTGATGGGAGGAAAGAGCCAGAACAAGGAGAAGATGCTGCAGAGTTTGTCTGTGGGGATGGAGGAATACAAACTACCTCGCAGCTCGCTGGTGGAGTTCTTCGTCCGTGGGGTTGTTCCTCCGTTCCTAGATGAGGTAATGATTCTCATTCAAGGAAAAATGTCCTTTATTGAGGTCTGTCGTTCCACTGTGGAGACCAAATGTCTTCCAACCTGGAGTGCAGAAGGTCAGTTCTGTTTTCTCATAGAGGCAAAGCTGTGACAGCAGTCATTGGTTTTTGAAGTCTTGCTTTGAAGCCTCAAGAATGCATTTACACAGTGCAATAATGTTTAATTTAGTAAAAACCTAAAACGAGTTACTGATCACATAAACTCATCTAGAAAGTGTTTACAGAGGTAAAGACAGGAAGCCGCTTCCCCCTACAGCTATCGCCACCTGCTGGCTACTGACAAGAATGCAGACATGACGGAGCTCCTCACTGGCCTCACTTTTCAGACCTGGAAACTGTGTCCATCTTTCCTGATGTCTGTGGCTGTTCCCTGATGAAGAACAAGACTCTGTACCATCTGAGTCTTTGACCCTTTGAAGTCAAACACTGTTTTAAGAAGTTTTTCGGTTTATATGTTGAGGACCTAGATCACATGTGAACTCAGGGATGGTTCAAGTTGTGGACGGCTTTTCTCCCCGGACCCAAAGTCTAGAAAAAAGGACTTTGGGTGATTTCTTCTTCTCAGAGACAGAGGTCCTCAGACGGTCTTTAAGTATAACGTGCTGGAAGGGTTCAGTGCTGCAGATGCAGGTGGAAGAGTCTGGAAATGGGAGCAGAACTCAGGACCATGGCTACAAGTTCAAGACTGGAAACAGTCTAAATGTCCATCTGACCATCGTCAGGTCCAAGAAGTTAGTGTTACTGATGGAACTAAGGCAAGCTTCTGTAGGGATCGGGCAAACGAGCCTTCAGATTAGTTCGTGACGATCAGTACATATGTTTTCTGACATATCCTAAACTCAAACGCCATAAATATCAGAATGGTTTTTGTTCTACCAGCATCTGCTCTGATCTTGATGCTTTATAACCAGAGCTGTAAATTTACAGACAGCTACTTTCACCAATTGCTACGAAGATTTAAGATACGAGCAGCAGAAAGGATGTTCCTCTGAAGGGTGTCCAGGCTCAGAGACAGGATGAGTAGTTCAGGCACTCAGGAGGAAAATAGAGCTGCTGGTCCTTTACATCTAAAGGACGTCTGGTTAGGATGTGTCCTGCCTGCTGTGCCTGTGAGCTGGATGTGGATGTGCTGCAGAACATGGGTGGACTGGAGGATTCTCCTAGCTACTGGCAATTACACTAGAAAAAAAACACTTAAAAAACATCAAAATGTCTTTTTTCCCACCAAAATGACAGTTTTACTCTCCTGAACAAAGGGTTAGGGAGTTGGGACATTTACACCTCAGAGGGTTTGTAAATGTAAATGTTACTTGAGGTAAATGTCTGGTAAAACCTTCGTGTCCTGGTCTCCAGGAGCTCATTGGTCGCATCCCAGCTTGGATGCAGCTGTGTGTGATGCAGGCCCGGCTACCCGGGGACACCCTGGACGTACTGCTGCTGCACAGGCTGAGCCTCGGCACCCCCGTGGACCACAAAGACCTGCCCAGTGCTAACTTGACCTCCAGACCTCTCCGCCAGGTGATGTATGGGCTGCTGCTGGGCAAAGAGACGTCATATAAGGTGGAGGAGAGAGACAGGGAGGACCTCCAGCTGAAATTCATCCGAATCAAACCAACCTTCAGTCGAGTGGCTCAGCGGCTCCAGCTGAACTCACTGCATGAGGTGACAGTTTTAGTGGAAATGAACTGCGGTTTGTGTTTTTAATCCTCAGTGCAGCAAGCTAACTTTAATGTCTGTCACAATGTCGTTTCGACTCTTCGTCCGGCTGTCTCGTGGCCCCAGGCGCAGCTCTCTGAACGTCTGGAGGTCTTACTCGAGGCTCTCGGGGTGAAAGAGGAACTTCTGAACGAGCTGCCGCCTCAGCTGCGCCTCCTAGTGGCTGTGACCTGTTACTGGTGGAACAGAGCTCGGCCTCGTCCGGACCTGAAGCTGCTGAAGTCGTTGCTGCTGGGAATGAACCTCAAAGACACATCGCGACTCAGCGCAGGTAGGAAACACAACCAGAGGAGACGTTACCAAAGCCTGCAGTTCCTCTGGTGTCCAGCAGAGGCAGCAGTGAGTCAGTCCCCATAGAGTCCCATGTTAAAACTACAGCAGAAATAAACATGTTTACAGCCTGATACTGTTCTGTTCTCGGACATTCTCTGGACAGTGCTCACCTGTTTAAACTGGATTAAGGCTAAAGGTTTATTAGCAGCAGAGACGTGTGTGTGGACTGTATCATGGATATTATTACCTGTGAAATAATCTCCAGGCTCAGTTCAGTCCAGAAATAACAACCGTGTTAGTCTGTTTTACATTACACGACAAAGAAAGGTTCAAATCTACGATTCTGAAGATAAAATCAGCTTTTAAAACTTTGATTCTTCTGATCTTAGTTTTTATTATTATGTTTAGTTGAAGGTTTTTCTTCTTTCGGTGCTGCAGAAATCTTGTTGGTTTAAAAATGTTTCTAAATAAGTCCCTCTGTGTGTGTGTGTGTGTGTGTGTGTGTGTGTGTGCTTTGCAGTTGTCCAGGCTTGCTGTCATCAGAAGCCTGATGTGGGCGTGGCTCACTCCTTCAGCCAGTGGCAGGTGTGCATGAAGGACAGCATGCACCTGAACCAGCTGCTGGGCCTCCCTCTGCCTGAACCAGACGTCGCACGGTGAGGCGTTCTCTCAAAGCGCTTGTTCACGAGGTCGTTTGTAGGCATGGGGCAGATCAGTGTGCCAAACGTGCATAGGCGTGTTTTTATTATGGCGTGCTGTAGAAACCGTTACATGACTTCTTCTATGTGACGTTTGTGTTTGCGGAGGCTTTAATCAGTACAGTTCTGTACAATCGCTCTGCAAGATCAGTGACTCGCAGCTGTTTCACAGTATAAATGTGCATATGCAGGCAGACTCACACAGCTGTGTGTTTGCATGGAAAAGCCTCAATTGGCTCCTGATCCATGGATGGATGGAGCCCCTCCCTCACAGTTTGATGAAAAAGTGGCAGCAAAGAGCGGGGACTGTGTTGTAGAGTTTCAGGAGGTTCTCACATGAGCTCAGAGCGCTCTGGACTCGCCTGCTTAAACCAACATGTTTGTCTGGAAGGAGAAAGAGAGCAGAGCTTAGTTAAAGGCTGGTTTGGACAAATGATCCAGCAGAGTGAACATTCTCCATCTTCTCTTTATGATCTCCAGGTTCTATCAGGGGACGCTGGTCCACCAGCTGGTCCACATGAGGAGGACAGGGAGCAGACTGAAGCGTGTCCTGAAGCCAGATCAGGCCAGTGTGCAGCAGTACCGCGACATGCTGTCAGCCATCCACCGGCTCCGGCCCCGGCCCCGCCAGGGCTCCGAGTTCTCAGAGAGCGAGCAGGCAGAGAGGCGGGCTCTGAACGACCACACCAACCTCAGGCTGTTCCAGCTGGACTACGACGAGGAGACAGAGGCTCGCAGCTTGGCCCGGGCACAGGAAGACCTGCGGCTGGATGATCGGCTGCTGCTGAGAACTCGGTACAAAACCAAGGAGAGAAGGAATCGCTGCAACAAAGTGGAACTGAGCCGGAAGGAGGAGGGCCGAGGCATGGACCTCCTCTGACGGACCGTCGCTGGAACCGCCGTCAGCATCCACTCTGTCTGGCTTCAGCCCACTTTTTTTTAATTTTTTTTTTATAACTTTTTATTTATCATTTTACAGTATGGGAATACAAAACTTAAGGTCAGCATGGGAGACATTCACAGTTCCAGTAATAGCATCTACTTACATCATGGTAATATTCATTTATTCAGTGCAAAGGGGAGTACACAACCCATTTTTCCCAGAGCTTCTTAAATTTCTCGAGCTCGAGTCTAAGGACAAAGGTAAGCCTTTCCATTCCAAAAATTTCTTCCACTATCCCACGCCATTGGGCCGGAGTTGGAGGGTCTGCCTTTAGCCACCTACGGCTTCAGCCCACTTTCTCCTCCCTCTGTTGGCTCCTGTGCTCCAGACTCTTTATGGGACAAATATCTGCTAGTTTTTCCACAATCTGGGTCATTTCAGAGGATTTTACAGCCTTTTATTTGTGATTTTACAGGAAGCATGAATGTAAGTTTAATAAAAGGAACCTCATCAATAAAGATTTAAATGTTTCTGACCCCCAATCTTTTTTTCCTGTCCTGTCTGAAGGATAAGAAAAATGCCCAACAGATTTCTTTTACTGCTCCTGCTATACTGGTCCACTTGATTGTCATATTTATCCAGTCTTTTTTATTATTATTATTATTATTATTATTATTATTATTAGTATTATTAGTATTATTAATTTTGATTTTATTTGGAGTTATTACAGGACCGGGCGATGGGAAACAGAAAGAAAGAGGGCAAGAGAGAGAGAGAAGACAGCAGGGAAACCATGGCAACAGCCAACCTCAGCATCAGCAACAGTCAATACTAAACATGAATGTTACTGAGCAGCACACAGGACTGATAACGCACGAGATGTTTGGAGACAGCAGCCAACCCAGACAGTGTGTGTCTGTTTACACCTGTGTGTGAGCGCTTGTGTTCATCAGGTTTCTCCATGTAAGTGTCTGATAGTGGGACTGGGGAGCCATGGCCCCGCCCCCACAAGTCCTTAGGCAGGCATGGAGGAGATCCCCCCAGAGCCCGAGGAGGACCGACTCCCATCCAGGGCCGTCGTCTGTGGCTCTTCTGCGCAGCTGCTGTCTCTGCTGCTATTTTCGGGGACTTCTCATTTTAAGGACAAATTTGCGTCACACTTGGATCAATTCTTGCTTTTTCAGAACGTCTCACCGCGCTCCTCATTTCAGTTTGTTAGAACATCACATTTGTGACAAGTTACTAAACATGTGGACACCAGATGGCGCTCTGCGGTGATCACAGCATCGTAAGTGTTTGTTTGGACCCGTGCAGCTGCAGATCATAAATCAGCTTCTGAAAAACACATCTGGGTGTTTCAGCTTGTTGGAAGTGCGTCGGGCATTTTGCAGTATTTTGGTTGCAGACTGACGTAATATGACGAAGGTTTCAGGCATTTTACGAAACGCACGCGGCGCCCACAGGACATCAGAAGATCTGTCCGGTGGGTTGATTCTCAGGTTCGTGTTTGGCTCGGTGCTCTCGTACTGTCAAGTACTTGTAATCCTTTACAGTTTCTTCTGATTGCTTAAGCACATTTTTTGTAACTATTGGCTAATTTTGCAAAACTCTTCACACAAATAAGAAAACCTGTCACCCAATCATCAAAACATTGTAGTTCTCTTGCAAAAGCAAACACAGCTGGATTAACTCTTCACACCTTCGTAAAAATGGTGTTTCCGTATCAAACAGTACACACAAGCCATCATCTCCTAAACACACAATGGGCCAACTGCACACTGATGGTATGAATACAAAACACATCTGGCTTTTGCTTTCTCTGTGCACAAGGTAGGCCATGTCAGTTTGAGCTCATACTTCTGTCATAGATCCATAAGCATAGAGGGATCCAAACTTCAAGTACTGGTGTTTAGTCAAACACATCAAAACAAACACAAGTGTTTATTTCCAAGTATAGGATTATTTGCAGTCGCCATAATGACTCTATGGTTACTTGGTCTGCAGTGAACATGCTTCCTCTGCCCCAGCATCTGGTCATCTAGCAATTCTGTAAAAGTAACAATTTCAGTATTTTTACATCAATGGTATTGGTGTGTTTCTCATTGGCATATGGCAGTGCTACAGATCTTTGTGCGAAGTGACTGTACTCACCGATTCTCATTTCAAGATGTCCTTATGGTGCTTGCTACAGTGTAGCGGCTCGAGTTAGGCTGGACCCGTTGGCCAGCTACCCTCAGGGTCATTCCACGGTTGATTACATGGTCCACTATTGTAGCTCTGATGTCATCAGCAATTCGATTTCTTACTCTTCCTACCCTTCCTCTGCCCCCTCCTCGTCTTCCTCTCCCCCTCCTCGTCTTCCTCTCCCCCTCCTCGTCTTCCTCTTGCTCCTCCTTGTCCTTGTCGTCCTCTTCATCCTACTTCTTCCCCTCCACGTCCTCTTCCTCGGCCTCCTCTACTTCTCACTCTTTCTGCTGCCTCCATTGTACTCCGCACACACAGCTTACCTGTATTATAGTGCTTAGGCTGATTGCAAAGTGAACTAATTATCTAAAAAAGTTTTCACATGTGAAAGTGTGCCAGACAGTTGGCAAATTAGTGTTAATGATAGCCACACATGTGTATACTTTTGCTAGGAGTGTGTTGGAAATTTGGTAATTGAGTGTTGTGCAGTGAATTGTGCCTGCAGTTTTGCAAAGTGTGTGTTACAAAATTGCAAACTGAGTGCAAAGCAGTTTTTGTGCTTTTAGTTTTGCAAACTCAGTGAGTGGTTTTGCTATAAGTCTGAATAGTTTTAGAGATCGTGCTACAGGAATCACAGTTAGGGTTTAAGCATTCAGAAAAAACTGTAATAACAGCCATAACCTTAGGGAAAGATTTAGTATTCAAAAACACTTAAAGTCCATAAAGCAGACGCACTGATTCTGCAGAATCCTAAACAGACATTACCTGATTCATGAATCATCCCTTTAGTGTCACAGCTGGAAACAGCTGGATAGTTTTATATCTAATAAAATATAAAGAAATGAACATTTTCAAATCAGCGGTTTGCAGAACAAAGAACAAAAATTTCCACACGAATCCTAGAAAGTAGCAGAAAGGACATAAAAACTGTACTGCAGTGCATAAATGTACAGCACTCCTCGCCTCTGTGCACGTTGATCTGAGCGTGCTCAGCTGCGTGCGTGAACGACGCTCTGCTCGTGTTTCCATTAAAGAAAAATCGATTCGATTTTAGCAAAGAGTGTGAAATTCAGAGCAAACAGAAGCAACAGTGTGAAGACAAAGAGTTTGTCTGCGTTTGCTCTCTCCGGCCGTCACGTCGTCTAAAACAAGTCCTTAAAGCAGCCGACTCTGGTTGTGAAACAATAATCACAATAACTGATGATTTAATTTATTTTTTACCTGAAAACAAAGAAAAAAATCATTTTTATGAGGTTTTTATCAGACTTAAATTTGAAATGGAATAAAATAAATTGTGTCAAAATGTTTGAATTAAGTTTTAATTAAAAGTGGGGAAAAATCCACTTCATATTAATCAAGTATCAATCAAACCAGATGGGGACATTTTTGACCCCTGAGGACCACAGCTGTGATTATGTGCTGCCATTTAAAATTTATAGACGCTTCAAAAAAAACTTTCTCACTAAAGTTCAACATACAGCACTCTGTAGTTAGACAAATAGTAAAATTTATCTAAACAATTAAATATTTTATTGTGTCATTTTGTTTTCGCTCAAAATCAAAGTATGCTTTATGTAAACAATGTCTGGTGGCCATAGAACAAATAATGTAGGGTAAATTTTGTGTTAATGTGTTGGTCTTAAGTTAAACTAAGGTGTAACACTGAATTGATTGACAATTTATACTTTATACTTTAAAAAACACTCGAAGTGGGGACATTTTTGACCCCTGAGGACCACAGGTGTATGGAAATCGGGAGGACATTATGAGGGTTAAAGAAGCTTCTTTATAGAGCCCGAGAAGTGAAAACACATGAAGGTAACTGCATGTAGTGGCTTCTCCTTCCTTAAGTAGTCGTTCTGAATACTGACTTGTAAATGAGGTGGTAGGAACAGACGTGCTTTTCCAGCATAAACCTCGTGTGCAGAGATGTGTTGTTCGAAATGAGCTCATGGAAGCTGCTATGATTTCATTACAATGTGTAAGTGTGTCTGAATAAACACAAAATAACCAAAGTTAAAGATGAATTTCACAGTAACATCACAGTGAATGATCCAGGCTGCGATTACTGTTTCACGCAAATCTGGCTGCGCTCTGCACAAGACAGACGTTAGAAAACAAAGAACTCAAGCAGCTTGTTTGTTGGCGGTGGTTCATCACCTCGAGGTGCTCCAGCTTCCTCCCACAGTCCAAACACATGCATGGAGTTTCATTTGGCCCCCAGCCCTCCTCCTCCCCCTGCAGTGGGGATGCCATAATCTGCAGTTTGTTCTGTTAAAGGAAGCTTTTTCCGTGCTCTCAGTCTGAAGTGTTTACAGCAGCTGTTCAACATCACACTGCTGGAATAAAAACTACTTCCTGTTGAGTTTCCTCTGCACGCAGAACGCTGTGTGCGCTCACGATTGTGATCCAGATGAACTGACGCGTGCTTCTTCATCATCAATGTGCTTTGCTACGGGATCCGTGGGTACCTCAGTACAGTGATGCATGGAGGCAACTTTACTGCAGCCACAGAAATCCTAAACTGGGAGAAAGAAAGCGACACCGCTGGATCACAGCAGCAAAACAGAAGGAAATAAGATGGATTTCATTTTTCATTCTATCGGACAGATTTGCTGCAAATATTTGTGATGCTGCAACCACGGGGTGACCTAATAATGCGCTGCAATAACAGTGCAGTAAAAACAACATTCAGCATGAATTACTGCCTCCAAGATCCAGTGCGAGCTCAGGCAAGTGTTCAACAGCGAGGCCGTTCAGATGGACGACAAGAGGCTGAAGGAGAACCTGCTGTTGCGATAACAAATGACTCTTCTGATAGAAATTGCTGAGCAAAAGCTTGGGAGGACTCAGCTGCAGATGTATCCAGTGGAGAGATGCATCAGAACAAACTGCCCATGACGGTGAAGTCTGTGACAGCTGACTGTAGCATGTGCAGGAGAGCACAAGCCATCCCAGCACACTGCAGCACGCAGGCATCGGTGTGACGCTCGCTGTGCGCACTGCTGAGAAACAGGCGCTGAGCTCCCCGTCAGTATGTGACTGATGGGTTACAGTGATGATGATGATGACATCACTGGTAACATTTTGTCCTGAAAGCAGAAAAAAGTAGAGACGTTAAGCAGAGGCCTCTCTGTCTCTCCTCTACATCCATCCATCCTCACAGGTGATTGGATGCTTTACCTGCTCTTCACAATCAATAGCAAAGCTAATAATGAGAGCGGGCACAGCTGATAGACAGAAACAGCCCGGTGAGAATCTATCCGATCTTCTCCACACATCCTCGCCCCTTCGTACAGTCCGCTCTTCTTCAGCTTCCCTTCTGTCAGTTCCACCTGCTCG